CAAACTATTGTGGTACTACTTTACTACGTACTATACTATTGTTAAAACTACACTTTTTTTGTTTTTACAGTTCCAATAAAAATGCTCTTTAGTAGCCGGATTCAAAGTTATTGTTACTACTGGCTAACATTTGTGAAAGCCAGTTATGATATTACTGGTGTTGTTGGTCCATTACTTAGCGTTTTGGTGTTATACATCATATACTGTACAAGAAGAAGTGTTCTAAAAGAGTACCAAGCTATCTTAATATTGTATTCGATACACGACATTTTGTATGAAATTGCGTCATCTTTGATACATTTGGTACGCTTGCCTTTTGTAGTAACGTTGAAGTGCTGTTTGATTATACGGTGTTTTAAAAATAATTTGTTTGTAATTGTATAGCGTAGAAAATATGTTAATAAAACCGTTCAACTTCAAAAGAGTTTTACATGTTACAGTATCATTTTCAGACCTCAAACATTAAAATCACTGGAGTGATAGCTGGCGTTAGTTTGGGTACGGGCCAGCCGTTTATTGTCGTAATGTGTGTTGTAGTCTACGCATACTGCATGTACATGCTCATGTTTATGTTACTTGTTAGCTGCCATTGTCGATACAAGAATGTGCAAAAGTAAGCAATACAATAATACAGTTTTTTAATTGTTATGGCGTTATCCTGATATAGGAAATAAGAAACCGATGTGTCACAGTATATACAAGTTTATTGATATAAGCCTCACTATAAATTAGGCCGATGAGTGCAGAGAGAATCGTTCTAAACAGGACCGTTTGCCTGGCCTGTAATCCCAAAACCTGATTGATAAGTCCGAGTTGATTCTCAGCCAAGACCTTATTTACTTTAAAAATTTTTAGTATGCAAGCCGCCGGCAACAGGCAATGGCTATCATCGTATGTTACAGTATCAATGTTTACAATTGTATTGTGTATTTTTACATTTTGTATCCTAAGTACACAAGGAGAGTATCCGCATCAAGAAGAATTTGTTGCCACTTGTTTTGAAAAACAAACTACCAACTTTTTGAAATTAAGCAGCGTAAGTTTTTGCGTATTTCATGAAAACTCCGACGACATTTTGAGTATTCATTACACCATAATGGCGACGCAAAAGACGCTTAAAAACTCGTTGACATTAGCAATTATCAGCAACGTAAAAATACGGATAACCACAATTTTAGACCAACATGGGCGTTCAAATAATGATCTCAACATGGCTTTTGACATTCTTTCTTATATATGTAGTATCAATGTATTTTAGCGCGAAAACATTAAAGATACTTCGACAAAATGCAGCTTTATATTCGAAGAGGACTATTGCAACACAAAAAACGCTCACTAGAGTGATGATTATACAGGTATGTTTAAGACAACACATACAACAATAATATCATTAAATACTGACTTAGGGAAGTTTCACATACAGTGGAACTCCTGTATAACGAATCGCCCGGGGGCTTGAAACTTGTTCGGTATAAAGGAGTTTCGTTATACAGGAGTTTAAAATGCACTGTGTAGTGGTAGACGGGGATTCAAAAGTTGTTCGTTATACGGGATTTTCGTTATAGAGGACTTCGTTATACAGGAGTTTTACTGTATAAAGAAAATCCTTTAATATAACTACCGAGAAAAGTCTTACAGAGTATTATCCCAATGGTAACGTCGATTGGCCCGTTAAGCTTAAGTTTCCTCTGCATTTTGCTTCAAATTGATGTTCAAGGTCTTGAAGTAACCTTGAATGGATTTATGTGCTGGATCCCGGTACTAAACTCACTCTCCACCATTGTGTTTATCAAGCAATACCGACAACATTTAATGAAAATGTGGAGAAACAAAGCAATAAACGTCGTTATAACGTCTAGTGCTCAAACTAGTACGGCAAAAAGTTAATGCAAAGTACATGTGAACTTATAGTAATACAATAAAAAAGTAACAGAGGGCGCCGAGTATACAATTTTTGTTGTTTAAAAAAAAGGCAAAGCTTGTGAGTTAGTGCGTTTGACAAATTAATAGTACACTACAAATCCAAACTTTTCGTGGTATTTGTAAACCGGATTAGTCTTTTATTGAGATAACTATACAGTCAACAAATACATTGTCGTTTACTTTGCTTTCTTTTTATGTTTTGCTATTATTTTGGGTATTGTTGGTTTTGTTTTTGTGTTCATTATCATGTTGGTCGCAATCGCATCTTGAAATAATTTTTTGATCTACAGTGTTAAATCTAACAAGGTGTCAGGTTGAAACAAACTTGGTCTTTTAGATACCAGTAACAAGTCAATTAGAGTTCTGTTCACTTGGTACTATAATATCCGTTATTTTCAAATGACGAAGGCTTTTGCCAAAGAAGTTATTAGAAAAATGACTAACGGCTATAGTCTATTTTTCTTCAAATACAACAATTTCCGGAATCGCCTTGGTGCCTTCCTACATACGTATTGGCATACCTGGTTTGACAAAGGTGTTGGTCAGAGTAGGGCAAGTACAATAACCGCGAGGTTGCCATTAAACCGGATTTTTAGACGTTCATTAAAGGGCCAGTTCGCCCATTCAAATATCATTGGCATTCTGTCGCAAAAATTCGACGTTCATTTTTTTCGTAAAAAACCTAAGCAGGTCGGTCCCAAGTTGAAAAATTCATTTCGACACCGATCCACTCATGTTTTTTGAGAAAAATGATTTTGATTGAAATTGCCTGATTTTTGACGCTTTTTGCGACAGAATGCCAATGATATTTCAATGGGCGAACTGGTTCTTTAAGTACATTAATGAACGTCTATTTGACGGCCGATGTTAATACAGACGTTTGCCAAAAGAGAAATAACAAAGAAAAGCGACATAAACCTAACTTATAATTTTATAATTCTGCTCTTTGCCAAACAACATTTCACATCATAGCTTTTTAGAATTGAATGGTATGTAGTCTAAAATAATGACAAAGTATAGTATGATACGGTAGTATTTGGAAATTGTATGCTATAATTATATTTTTTTACAGACGTACAGATGCTCAAAACAGGTCATTAAAAACGGGTTTCTGACTAAGTACTCTTTGTTTACGTGTCGTTTCAAATGTTAAACCATGCTCTTAACAACATCATTAAACCAGCAATGTCAACTTATGACAATTCTTGGTTAACAAGGAACGTAATTGCTATTTTTGTGACAAGGTTTGTTATCAGTAAACTTGACAGACACTAATATTATTCAGGTTACTGTGCAGTTCTAGTAATTTTGACGTTTTATAATGTAGGTAACAATTCGATCTTTAGTACCGCCTTGGAGTTTTTCCTTTTTTTAGTGAGTCGGGTATATATACGTGGTCGATATTGGAGGCTAGGGTGTGTTGTAGAAGACACCAAACTTTGGAGTCTTTGAAACAAGCATTGATCGAAGAGTGGGACAAACTGTCACCGGAGGTACTGCGGCCCATCGCTGAAAACTTTTTGAAGCGTTTGCGCTTGTGCCAAGCCGCAAAGGGGGGCACTTCGAAACCGATTGACTATGTTATAACTAGTACTATATGTTACTACTGTTAGATGTTGTTTAATAAATACTAGATTAAAAAACTGTGTAACAGAACATGTGGCGCATCCTGCATATTTAAGAGAAGTTTTCTGTTTCAAGCCAAATGTTATGAAGTTTTAATTCAGTTATGAAAAATTCATGTTAATTTAAATCTTTAATCAGTATTAGTGTTATTTTATATTCAAAAAGCTTTTTTAGGTCTACTACTGCAAATTATTTATTTTAAAGCTAGACTTTCGAGCTAAAGAAAATGATTTGTAAAAACGGTTAACAGGTAAAGTACCTTACCTGCCTGCTCAGAATCAACTCAAAATTTTATATGAATTCCTTGTTCTACCAAAAGTATCCATAAAAAATTTCGATTGCGCTTTTGAGTTTTAAATTTGAATTATTTTGGTTTTCCGCCAATTTGGCAAACTTGGCATTCCGTTTCAGGCAGAATGCCAAATTTTCTACTTATTCGTCTTGAGTAGACATAAGCAACGGGCCGGTCCGGGCAATTTTCAAGCCGGGCCTAACTTTCACGCCCGGCCCGTTGCTCCTGTCTACATATTGAGCGTACTGTAACTTGCTAGCCAAGGCCGTTTAGGAGTTTTTAAAACTAGTTCTCCTGGTAACTTTTTATGCTTTTTCATCCTAGATAGGTCTCGTTCTATCTAAGATGAAACTCTTTGGATAGGTCTCGTTTTGCCCAAGGAATAATTGGCGCGATTTCTTTGTAAGAGTACGGTTTTAGGCGCTACTAATCTTACAATATTTTGTTTCTTTGTATTGTGTTGCCAATCTTCGATTATCTAGTAATGCGTGGGTATTCAGCTTTGTTTCTTGAAGAGCTTGTGTCTTATTTTACCGTTCCACTGTTTTATGTTTTTCAAAACCCTTACAGTATTGAAGTACTTAAAAGTTTTCATCTAATTTTGTCTACGTTTACCAAGTTTCATTTTGCGTAAGCACTTGTTTTTTTTAATTTAAAAATTCATTATTTAAAGGTTAAACTACAGTAAGTTTAATTAACGGAAGTTTATTGCCCTCACAAGGCATTAAACAGACTACAAAATAAGCTCTAATCTTTTACACAAAGTTTTGTCCTGTTGCTACAATACATCGTGAAAAAGAGAATGCCTACAATAACATACTATATCACGCTGTTGATACATTACTTTTTTTGTTTTTGTGTAAAGAAATGTTGTGTGCCAATGGTTTTCTGTCATGCAGTTTAAAATTGTTTGGCCAGTCTAGCCAATGCGATGCTACCTTTCTAAGTAACCAATCTAAACCACTCTGTCATTATTTCTTTTTAATTACCTTTCTTTGGCGTTATATATACTCGTACCGTGTTATAAATTATTCATAATTAGGGTTAGTACAATAAAAAATTTAATTTCGAGGTTCATTTCAGACTTTTCTATTATATTACGGTATCGTTTTATTACAGAATCTTTCACCGTTTCAAGGATCAACATACCGTACTAACGATGTATTGTGATTACTACCTAGAATTTGTGAAATGGTGCTACAGGATAACCACCGGCGTTGGACCACTAGTTAGTTTAGTACTACTGTTTATAATCTACAAAACAAGAAAATCAGTACTGAAGGACTACCAAACTATACTAGTACTGTATTGTATCCACGACTTGTTGTTTGAGATTGTGTGCCTTTTGTCTTACTTGGTAAGTTAAATTTGAATTTTGTTTTCCGCGCTTTTTTTCAACCGGTCGGATCAATATGAAACTTTTCCTATTCTTGTATATGGATTGGTGGTGATATTTCTATTCTACCCTACCCTACCCTACCCTACCCTACCCTACCCTACCCTACCCTACCCTACCCTACCCTACCCTACCCTACCCTACCCTACCCTACCCCTACCCTACCCCTACCCTATCCTACCCTACCCTACCCTACCCTACCCTACCTTACCATACCCTACCCTTCTCACTAATCAAGCCCTTACAGTATACCAGGTTCTGTTATAATCTACTTTGCTCTACGCTACCTTGCTTTCTCTTGCTTTACCTTATCCTACCGTTTTGAATCCTATTTTTTTAGCAATCAAACATAAAAGTAGACGTCCTAATCATTGGTACACGATTTGGTGTAGATCAACCGCAATCTGTAGCAGTTATGGCGGCATTATATTTGTATTCTATGTACATGCTATTGTTTATGTTATTGGTTAGTTGTCACTGTCGGTATAACGTTTTAAAAAAGTAAGACTTACTTCAATACAATTGTATATTTCGATATTGTAGTATATGTATATATAAAAATAGTAAATAATATGTCTTTAAACCTTTTTTTGGTTTTTTTTTAATTTTAAAAAAATCTCTATGAAATAACTATAAAATGCTGTTCTAGTGTTCATAATACAAACAAAAAGCAATGGATAACATCGTACGTGACCATAAACGTATTATCTATCTTGTCAGCTTTACTTACAATATATGTGTTATTAGAAGAGGGAAACGTCATAACGAAAAAATACAGAGATGACATTTGTTTTGGCGAAAGTACAAAAAATTACCTTGAAATTGATACGGTACGTTTAATTAGTAAGCAACACTTATTGCTAGTAAGGCCGGGTAGAGTAGAGCTTAATATATAGTATGGTTTAGGAGTGGTGAAGCATAACGCATCACACACCCTAGTATACGGTAGGTAGGTACACTACGGATTGAAATAGGAGACGGTTAGTAGGAATTGAAATAGGGTAACGTAAGATGGGGAAAGTAGGATAAAGTAGGGTAGGGTAGGGTAGGGTAGGGCAGGGTAGGGCAGGGTAGGGTAGGGTAGGGTAGGGTAGGGTAGGGTAGGGTAGGATAGGGTAGGGTAGGGTAGGGTAGGGTAGGGTAGGGTAGGGTAGGGTAGGATAGGGTAGGGTAGGGTAAGGTAGGGTAGGGTAGGGTAGGGTAGGGTAGGGTAGGGTAGGGTAGGGTAGGGTAGGGTAGGGTAGGGTAGGGTAGAGTAGGGTAGGGTAGGGTAGGGTAGGGTAGGGTAGGGTAGGGTAGGGTAGGGTAGGGTAGGGTAGGGTAGGGTAGGGCAGGATAGGGTAGGGTAGGGTAAGGTAGGGTAGGGTAGGGTAGGGTAGGGTAGGGTAGAGTAGGGTAGGGTAGGGTAGGGTAGGGTAGGGTAGGGTAGGGTAGGGGAGGGTAGGGTAGGGTAGGGTAGGGTAGGGTAGGGTAGGGTAGGGTAGGGTAGGGTAGGGTAGGGTAGGGTAGGGTAAGGGTAGGGTAGGGTAGGGTAGGGTAGGATAATGTAAGGTAGCGTAGATACTGGATAGTGTTAGTCAGGGAACTAAATGTTAGTTGTTATTGGGTTCTATTGTACAATAATTTCATTTTTAGAAGAAGCTACGTGTAAGGCTATTGATAGGTAAATGGCTACTAACACTGTTTATTGTATATGGTATTGCTGTGTGGTATGGCGCAAAAACATTGAAATTGCTCAGTTCTAGTGCAGCAAAATATTCAACTAGAACTTTAACTACGCAAAGACAACTTACCAAAGTTATTATTATTCAGGTAACAATTTGTATCAAAAACAAACATAAAACACCTTAGCCTATCCTACTGTACCCTAACCCACCCTACCCTACCTGAAATTCAAACTTGTATATTGTAACTGTTCAACTTTATATCAACTCAATATATTGATTTCAGGGTCTAATCCCAATGATAACATCAGTAGGGCCATTAAGTGTCACATGTTTATGTATAATCTTTGTAATTGATCCTAAAGGCATGGAAGTGACTTTATATGGTTGTGTGTCATGGATCCCAGTCCTAAACGCCTTGTCTACAATAGTTTTTATCAAGCAGTACCGACAATTCATCGTCCGCATTTGGCGGACAAAGAAATTTAATCATAGTGTCACATCGCGGACTAGTTATCAATAACTCGCTTAATTTGTAAATAAATCTTTTTTTTTACTCGGAATGACTCCCCCCCCCCCAGGGCCGATCCGAAAAAAATCCACAGGTAGGTACGTAAAAAAACGAGAAAAAAAATTTTCGAAAAATCTTATTGTCCAGAAAAAAGGGACAACACAGGTAATTTAAATTATAGCATAACATATAAAATATATAACAAGACCTTTGTGATAAACAAATTTCAAGTCCGAGCGATCTGATACACATGGTTAACAATATTTTTTACCATTGTTCTAAATTTACGGTAGATGGTCCATAGGAAGTAATTTAATCAAAATTAGCAGGCATGGACAACAAAAACAACACTTAATAATATAATACTCAACATATGTAGCCTGTGGTACATTTGTCTTTTTACTGTTTTGTTTACTACGACTTTAATATGCATGACGATACAAAAAGGAAATACATTTTTTTTCACATTTGTCATGCACTACAATAAACCATATTTAAGCCTTTTTTAATTTGTAATTCTATCACTTCAAGGAGTAAATATGATGTACTGCAGCTACTACCTTCAATTTTATACATGGAGTCATCGTATAGTCTATTTTATTGGTCCTATGTCAAGTTTAATCTTGTTTTACGTTATCTACCGTGCCCGCCAAAGCGTTATAAAGAACTACCAGTCAATACTGATTTTGTATTGCATCCACAATTTGTTGTTTGAGGTTGTTGTTTTTGCTGGCGGATTGGTATGTTTTAAAAGAGAGTTGCCCAAAGTGGCATTTGCCTTTTTAACAAAACTTACTGTAGAACTCCAGCATAACAAACCAATCTTAAATTTTAGTAATGTTTACACATTAAGAAAATTAAAAAAAGTTTGTTATATAGGAATTTTACTGCATATACAGGATGTGCCAAAAGTCCCTGGACTCATTATTTTAGCCATATATTTATTAAATTCATGATTTGATGGTATATTATCTGATTACTGTTAGCTTTTGTCACCAGTTGTAACTTTGAAATGAGGAATAAATGAAATGAAATGAAATGAAATAGCACTAGTTATAACATAGGCGTTTTCGAAGTGGCCCCCCTTTGCCGCTACGCAGAGGCGTAAACGCTTCACAAAGTTTTCAGCGATGGGCCGCAGATCCTGAGGCATAAGTTTGTCCCACTCTTCGATCAATGCTTGTTTCAAAGACTCCAAAGTTTGGTGTCTTCTACAAAACACTGTTGCCTCCAATATCGACCAAATACTGTAATCCATCGGGTTGAGATCGGGGGAGAACGAAGGCCATTCAGCTGAGGTGATAAAGTCCGAAAAATGGGTCCAAATAGAGACAGACGTTAGACATGAAAAACTCAGTTTTTCCTTATTTATAACAAAAAAACTGTGGGGAATAAGACGATCTTTAAAAAATAATATAAATCGCGTACAACATAAAGAAATCGACCGGTAAAGCCAGTTCAGGGACTTGGTTGGCGCACCCTGTAAGTCACGTTTTAAAACTCCAGTGTCACGTTGTGCACTTCAGAACGCAAACATAAAGCAAGACATGCTGATAATAGCCATACGTTTTGGAAAAGATCAGCCTTATTTGATTATGATTTATGTTGCATTATATACATATAGCATGCTTATGTTGCTGTCCATGTCCTTAGTCAGCAGTCACTTTCGATACAATGTCATGAAAAAGTAAGTCGTATTTTTCTATGTCTACCCACATACATATAACAAACCATGAAATTACTTTTTTTTCTTGTATTTGCTAATTTTTGTAATTCCCTTTACAATTCCAATTTTTTCTAATGTCTAGAAATTTTTTGTAGCACACACGCAACCCAAAATAATCCATGGGTAATGTCGTACATCTTGTTGTCGATTGTATGTGTAATCTTTGCGTTACTAGGAGTATGGGTGATGCACACAGACGGATCTTCATTACCTTCTGATTTATGCTTTGATAAAAATGCAAGAAATTTTTTACTGATGAAAATGGTGAGTTCCAACGCTTGCTGTCTATTATAAATACATTTGTTAAAAACTCGTGCATAACGAAATTCCGCGTAAAGACACTTTGTTATTGTGAATTTTTTTGGCCATTATACAAGTTTTGCTTCCGGCCCGGTGGAGGACGGTTCGAAATTTTGAATTTATTTTTTCTGCTAAACTCATATCTCAGGAAAGGGCGCTAGGACAAATGCGGTTTTTGGACATTTGCGGGTCTGTGGTTTTTAGACACTTGCGGACCTTCGGTTTTTGTCTCGTCGCGCAAGGACAAATGCGGATTTTGGACATTTGCGGATTTTTCAAAGGTTTTTTATTATTTTTTAGTTAATTTAGTTGTAGTATGGTACTAAATTGTACTAAAATTTGAATTGGTACGGTTTTAACGTAAAAGTACCATTTTGGGCCTTTAGTACCATTTAGTACCAAAAATAAAAAACAGTACCAATTTAAACTTTAGGACCATTTATTACCATACTAAAGCTAGATTAACTTAAAAATAAAAAAAACCCCTTTAAAAAATCCGCAGATGTCCAAAATCCGCAAGTGTCCAAAAACCGCATTTGTCCTAGCGTCTTCGAGAACTATCATGGATATCAGAAAAACTTTTATACGCTTAAAAAATAAAACAAAAAATGTTTAGACATGGAAAAACCTACTAGTGTCGTGTTTCTGGCTTTTGTTACTATTTTTTGTTTACACAGCATCATTGTATTATGGTGTAAAAACATACCAAATCTTAAACCAAAGTGTAAATTGCTTCTCAGCAAAAACCTTAGCAACACAGAAACAAATTTCTCAAATGTTGTTTGTCTAGGTAAGTTTATTCACAGTGAAACCCTTGTAACCCGATTCGGAAGTTTTAAAATTTTTTGTTATGTGAAAAGGTTCGGTGAAAAAAGAATTAAATTTAAGCAATTCTAACAAAAAGACTTAAGGCACTCATACCTTCTTTAACATGTGTTGGGCCGCTATTCCTGTACTTGTTTTGTATTCTAATGGAAGTTGACGCCAAAGGCTTTGAAAACACAGTATATGGCTGTATTTCGTGGATCCCAGTTCTAAACGCTTTGTCTACCATGATATTTATTAAACCATACCGAAGATTTATAATGAAGTTTTGGAAACAGGAAACGTCCCGTGTTAGTCATTCGCTTAATAGTTTTGTCAATATACAGTTGAACTCTACACGGCAAACGTAATTAAATGAGTTTTATTAATATAAAAACTACTGCAAATAAATACGGTTTTTTATGGCTTTAGTAATGCGTAAGAAATACTTACAAATCATTGATTATAAACAACTAGGCTGGGAGGCAATTTCTTGCTATACACATTGAGTGCTTCTGATAGACTGGGTCGGGCCAAATGAGCTAGGGCCAATATCAAACAAAGTTTTACGATAAAACAATTTTTGGTCTTTCCTGGTTTCAGCGACTGTGCCAAGATGCTCGTTTTGTCCTTGCACTTTCTTACCTTTTTCACTATACATTTTTGAAACGCTATATTAGGCAAAATGTCTGACATAACATTACTTAAGTATATAGTGATATTAAAAAAAGTTACTTTATCCATGATTCCATACCAACTGGCTCGTTTTTGTTTTTGCATTCTTCAATTACAGTTAACTGCTTTCTTTTAATCTTCTGTAGTAATTCTTTTTTTTTTAATTCAGCAGGGAAACGGGGTTATTCTTTAAGCATGTCTCTGTGGTACATTATGCCTTTGTCTGAATTTGTATATAGCGCTGATTTTCGTTCAAGAAAACCGCGGAATACTTTGAATCCTTTTTTGTACTCGGTTTTCTTTGGAGCCTTGATTTCTTCAACCCAGAATTAAAACCCTCTGCGTGGTTAAAATAGTTTCTTGTCTTTGTAGTTGGACTCCGAGACTTGGTCATTCGTCTATTGACGCGTTGATTAGGGTGTCAGTATTGTAGTCGATGCAGTCTTTGACGAATCCGGAGTTATCCAACTGCATAGGACGGGGATTTACATGGTCGGGCTCGGCTGAAAACAGAAACATTAGTGTTGAGAACACTGAAAAATGAAAATAAGTATTGAGAACATTGAAAAAGTTGATGTACTATCATAATCTTTGTAAAATTTAAAACTTACCAGGCAAAAGCTTAATTATGATCCTTTCGAGCGGTACAATATGGCATCGTGCCAATTCTCGATTTTCGTACTCTCCATGAACATTGAACAACTAGGTCGCTCACATTGTATGGAACATTGTGATAAAAGCAAAATCCTTTGTATTGTTGAAGAGTACACATTTTCCACAAGTCAAATGCAAAAGCAATGGCAAAAGCAACAGCTATAACCTATAAGTGGCCTACTGACCCCACCTAGCGCTGACCAGTAGCCCGCCCAGAGGTACATCATTCAACAGAGCTACTTATGATTTTACGGCCATTCGTCTGCCATGTTATACCCCTGTGCGGTAGTGTGCTTTGTTGCGCTTTCTTTTGATGCCGCCTCTGAATACTGTCGAAGGACTAATTGGGTTTTTAGTATTGCAAAAACCAGACCTTTCTTGGGAAGATTTGATCAAATTTTTAAAGTTTTGCTTTGGTAAAGCGTGTGACGAGGATTTGTGGCGTTCTTACTACAATATATTCAAATTTAGACCTTTGTATTGGACATAATGTGCAAGATAGAGGACTTTATCCGTGAACTTCTCGAGAAGAAGCCTTTTGAAATAATGCACGCCAACCCATTCACCAAGTTATTTGACAAAAACATAGAACTAGCTGTTGATGAATGCATTGATCAATTAGTAGTTAATGCTAGTAAAGATGGCTACATTAATCTCAACGAAGACGATGAGGTTGACAAAAACGGCACCGAAAAAACCACGGAAAGCATAAAAGTCATTGTCTAAGCGGCCAAGAAAGTTAAATTTCAGTTCATAAAACGCATATTTAGCTTATAATCAGCAAAAAATAATAGTAATTTATCAATTGTTTAATGATAGGTTTTTAAGAAAAGACAAACTTCATAATTAATGTAATTAAATATAAAATTGGAGTAAAGCGTTATTCATAAAACCTAAAACTGAACTACGAAAAAAATGAAAGTCTTACTTTGGCCATCTAGATCGCGAAGAATGATTTGTAAGCAATAAGATCTTTTTCCTTTTGTCAGCGCTAAACGACGGTTGTTTTCGTGTCGACGCCTTTCCTAGCGTTCCTCAGTAGCGCTATTGTTTTGGCTTTTCTCTTTCCAATTGAAAAACATAAAAAACTTTAGCGGTAACATTATATTTTACAGATTGTATTTACTTTCTAAGTAAACTTGAAAGGTTTTAAGATTGTTGCAAAGCCCAAAACAACAATTTAAATTTTTTTAATTTTGAAAGTTTTTGACTTTTTAAGCACAATTAACAATTTGAAAGGTTTTAGGATTGTTACAAAGCCTTTATAATTAAAGAGGTGGTACCTCTTCGACCCTGGCACTTTTTTGGCCCGGGTACCTCTTTGAACTTGGTACCTCTTCAACTCTGGTACCTATTCGACCCTGGTACCTCTTTGACCCTGGTACCTCTTCAACTCTGGTACCTCTTCAACCCTGGTACCTCTTCAACTGTGGTACCCCTTCAACTCTGGTACCTCTTTGACCCTGGTACCTCTTCATTCCATATCTATTAATAATGTATTTGATTAGGTATATCAATAATTATGTATTATATACTGTTTTTTAAATAATGAGCTACAAAGATTGCTTGTTTGAGCAGTGAGTTTTCTTAGTACTACGACATGAGTTAATTACACCAAATTTTCTTAACAATTGGCTTGAATTTGTCAGATTACACATGTTCTACATGTTTTTTATCATAATATGTATTATACTTACTTAAATAGTGTCAACAAAGTTCCTGTACTACAAAAGTCTCAAACTTTATTTGGGCTTTACAACATTGTTAGATGTATTGCCACTACTACTTGCAATTTACAACATGGTGCCATCGCATTGCTTTTTTTATTGGCCCTACTTTAAACATATTTTTATTTTATATCATATACCGTACGCGGAATAGTGTTATAAAGAATCATCAAGCTATTATAGTGATTTGTTCTGTACACAATGTGTTTTTTGTGATTGCTTACTTTTTCGGCGGTTTGGTAAGTATTGTATGATGTTTTTGGGTTAGATACATCTGTAGTAGAGCAGAACGTTGTGGGCTTGCATGATTTGGCGCGGCCTCTGACGAATTTTATACGTTTTAAACTAGTGGGCCCGCTTAAAGGTTTAATAGGTTTTTGAGTAAGGTGAACCAAACACTCTCTTTAAAGGTGTTCTATAACATTTAGCTGGGTTAATTTATTTACTTTACTTATTCAAGCGTCTACAATTACAACTCGGGAGGTATAGATTAGATTAGTAGCTTGATGCCGTAGATTGTAACGTACAGTGCTTTATGTGCAAGGATGTTCAAGGTTCAGATGAAGACCAACGGAGCTATCCTTGAGTCTGAAGTTTCCCATAATTGGGCCTCTCCCCAGGTATTTCACTGTCCCTCGCGTCACTGTGTTGTGGGTGAGGTGCTCCATAAGACTTCTGGCGTTTGATCATATATTCGTGTAGGCCAAGTATAGATGTGCCCAATCCCCGTGCACTCAGTACTACCCATTCCTCAAGGCGCCTGGGTGGGGCGGTGCGCGGGGTCGAACCAAGGTCCTTCCCAATAGCGAGCGGCGCCACAGCCACTGCGCTATCAACGCAAACAAAATTTTCTTAATTGTTCCAGACCGCAAACATAAAATCGAGCTTCATGATATTTGGTGTGCAAATCGGGAAAAATCAACCTGATTTAGTCATAATAAACATAGCCTTTTTTACGTACAACATGTTTATGTTCATGGCCATGCTTTTAGTCAGCAGTTACTACCAATACAATGTTATAAGGAAGTAAGTTAGAAACCTTACTACAAACGTTTGTTATACACAAATTCCACTGTTCAGTAGTTTTTGTAGCAAAACAAATTCAATACGATTTCAGTAGGGATGCCTGGCCACAACATAAACACTGGGTAGCGCCGTATGTTACACTATCTACTTTATGTTTAATATTATGTTTGGCTACAATTTCCATAATAAAAACGGATGAAAGCCACACCTCCGATTCAAAGAAGTCTTTGTGTTTTAATAAAAACGTAGTTAATATTTTAATAATAAAGACTGTAAGTTTTTTATCTGTATTTTTAATGCCACTTTTTATTGGGTTTTTCAAATAAAGTCTCTTATGCCGTCAAATTAAGCAAAAAAGTTTCGAGCGGTCGCAACCACCTCATCCTCATGTTGTCCTCTGGTGCAGGGCCGGGCACTGGAGAGGGGAGGGGGAAGGGAATCTCCTCCCTCTGAAAAAAAACTTGGAAAAAAGTTGAACATGGTCTCCCCTGTGGATTTTTGGAAAAAATTTTTTGCAAACAATCGGTAGCTACTTGTGCCGATTTTTTCAACCTCCGCCCCCAGACCAAGAGACCCCTCCCGGTCCTGCACTAGTGCCTCCGAGTTTCTTGCTTCCTTTTTTAAAATAATTTTAAACTAATTTAGGAAATGCCAAATGTAATAGTGGCATGTTCGTGGTTTTTATTTATGGTAATTGTCTATGGCGCTACATTGTATTATGGAGTAATGACGTACAATATTATAAGTGAAAATTTTGTTCTCTATTTGGCAAAAACAATAAACACACAGAAGCAGCTGACTAAAGTGTTGATTGTTCAAGTAAGGGCCTAACATTAGGCATTACTATGGCTCTAGCCATCTTCTGAATTCAACCTGTTTTAGGCATTAATACCTCTTCTAACATTTGTCGGTCCAATTGGTTTCATTATTTTGTGCATACTACTGGAAGTTGATGTAAATGGTTTGGAAGTTACAGTTGCTAGTTGCACGTCATGGATTCCAGTGCTGAATGCTTTGTCTACAATGTGGTTCATCAAACCATATCGAAAGTACATAACGGAGCTTCGGAAAAAAACAATATTTAATTCTACTTCATTTACCGTTAGACAAATTCATAATACTACTGTGTAGCTCGGGCATACTTCGCTATCTAGCTTGCGTATATTATATGATTTTTGCATTTATGTAAGTATATGTTTCTAATATAAAAAATGAGCGGTTGTGGCTCAGTCGGTTGTGGCGCCGACTAATAAACCACCGGACTCCGGTTTGACCGACCGCTCCGCCCGACCCAGGCGCATTTGTGATTTACAAATGAATGGCTAGTGCTAAGTGCACGGGGACTATGGCAAATCGGTTGCTTGGCCTACACAGGCTCCGACTACGGCCTGAAGTCTTGAGGAGCACCTCATCACGACTCGGTAGCTCGAGAAACAGGATCATCTGGATGAGGCCCAATTGGGAACAGCTACAACGGATTGCGCTGACGGTCTTCACCACACCCTCATCATCCCCCCTCACGTCTATATATATCTTGCTTTGAAAAAGAGAATAAATACATTAAAAAATTAGTTTAATAAAAAATAAAATTTAAATATAACGAGTTTATTACAGTTTAAATTCGTAACAATTAACCATTTTGATGGTTTGGCAAGTTTTCGTAGTTGCATGACTTTGCACGAGCTCGTGTACCTATAAAATAAATTTTAAGTTTCTGAATGTCGTAGCGCGGTGCATGTAAAACATCAATATTTTTATATAACAAACAATTTAGAGATCCTCGAGCAATTTGTTATACATGAGTTCCAATGTAAATAGCTAGACATTGTAAAGAGGCCGGGCCTAATTTTTTGGCTTGGCCCAATTTCTTTCAATTTACTTTGGCTCTGCTCTACTCGACCCGGCCCCTTTTTTATTTTCTTATAAAACTTTCGTTGCGGGGCCTAGGTTGGGCTTTTAGGGTTTTGGATTGTGATCTGAGTTCCGGGCCTGCACAATCCGGCCTGTCCCAGTTTGGAAGCGGTGTTGGGCTGGAAATGGGTAGAGTAGGCTGGATGGAGTAAGATTGAACTGGGCTTAGGGACGCTAAGTCTATATACGACAATTTTTTTCGAAAAAGCTTCAAATTCCTTACATTTTTCATTCCATATCCTATTAGGCTCCGCAGCTAAACATGGGTCTGACGATGAATTCAAAACACTTTTGTTACACCGTAAATCACCCGATATACCGCTGCTACATTCGGAAACGGCTGATAATTTTTTTCTTACATTGGAGATTGTACTCAAATCAAAAAATTTGTTTTCCAAATCTAATGGATTTAGTTTGTTATCGACTTTGGTTTCATTTAACCATAGGGCTCCGCTGACTGAGTTACGAATCCTTGAAAAAATGGTCGGTTTGCCGTTTTTGGTAATGTCATCGTTCACATATATGTTTGAAGTGGTTGAGGTCAATCGACCGTTTTGCACTTTTTCGACTGCTGCTCGGATCTAGAAGATATTAACTGTAAAACGTAAGGATAATGTACTGCCGTCCCGGCTCTGTTTTTGTATGCTCCGGTTCGGTCCCGTCTTGGCCGGACTGAGCTTCATAACGAACAAATTGTGACTCCCAGGACGATTCGTTGTAAAAGAGTTACTGTATAAAAAACTGTATCCTGAACTCACATCTCTCAAAGCAATAATTCCAACCAACTTTCCCTCATGTGTAACGTAACTTCTGGTCAAACCCAACAACGAAAACAGAAAATGAACTTTGATTAGGCTTGTATCGTCGACTAGTTGAAAAGGTGCTGGGTCAATTCCAATTTTAGTCCAATCCACTTTCTGGGCTAGTTGCTTGTGCTCCCATTCTCTTCGTTCTTTACCGTGAAGATCGTAGCCATTCAAGTCAAATGTCTTCCTTTGTTTTGAAAAAGATACTTGAGTTATTGTGCGGAAGAGGTCTGGAAAGTGCAGTTTTAGATAATAATACGTAGGGGTGGCGTGTAGGTTATAGAAGTGATTAGATTACAGTAAGACTTAAAACACAGTAGGGCTTAAAGTGCGGTAAGAACTAGGGTGCGTACAGAATAGAATACGATACGATAGGGTACGGCAGAAAGGGTAAATTGTGGATTGGGTACGGTAGAATATTGCGAGCCTAGGATACGGTACGGCCTACGATACGGTGGGGGTTAGAGAGGAGTGGACAGCTAATAGGAATGAGCAGGGTAGGGTTCAGTAGGGCTTTGGTTAGATAATGCAGAAAATGTCTGAAGATCTTACGGTGCGGCTAGAGTACGGTAGGCAAGGAATAGAACAGGGTAGGAAAAGATAGAATAGAGTAGCGTAGGGTAGGTTAGGGTAGGGTAATCTAGGGTGAGATAGGATATGATGCAGTAATAAACTTACCCCCAACACCTAATGGCAGGAGATGTTCAACCGACTTCTTAATACCATGATTTTTTTGACCACCGACCTCTGGTTTAATAACTTTTGTTAAAGGTGGCACATCTACAGGTGTAATAGAAAACCGTGAAGGAGGTTGAGTCAACGTTTTCGGACAGTCTTCATAGTAGAAGTTGATTGAATCATCGTTACTCAACTTAAACTCAACATGCTTCGTATGTAGAATATCTTCGTTGTCCAGTACGATGCTATTCCGTTGAGCATGGACTGGCTTAAACCGGCGGTTTATGGTCTAAAAATCCTCAAGAAATTCATTATACAGAGTCTCTTTCCGCTGTACTTACATTAATATTCTCCGCGATTTGCCTAGCAGCTTTAGCTTTTCTAGCCGTTGCCCCTACCGTAGCTTCCAATGCTTTCAGAAGCTTCACTCTTGAGCATGATCCTATCAAAACCTTGTTGCCTTCACTCTCAATCACTGGAAACACCTTGACTTCAGCCTCGTCAAACAGTATGTTCTGAATTGTCTTATAGGTAGTGTCTTGGCATAAATACCACACGTTTTCAATATTTGTCATAAATTGTCGTGCCAAAATACTGTGGTATTTGGAAGAGGATGGTATGTCTGGTAAGTATGGCAAGTTCTTGATTAGAATAACAGAATCATAAAATGAGGGTTGAAGGTTTGAGCATATTGCATTTGAGATCAGGGAGGCAATCTGGAATGATATTGAAGTTGTGGATAAAGTAGAGAGGGTAGTTAGAATAATGAAAGGTATGGTACGGTAGGGTAGGGTTGAAGACAAGGAGGTCTAGAATACGGTAGGGCATAATATAGAGTCAGGTTTTAGGGTATGACAGGGCTTGAATTACGGTGGGCGACAAGGTACGGTAGAGCTTAATATACGGCATGGCTTAAGTTATAGTAAAGTCTAACATATGGTAGGGCTTAGGGTAGGTAAGGGGTTGGGTTTGTATGGTAGAACTTGAGATAGGATAGGGTAGGGTAGGGTTTGTGAAACCTACCATAACAGGCAATATAAAAACTAATTGACCAGTAAGTTCAAATGCAATTACAGCTACTGATAAAGTATGAGTAACTCCACCGGAAAACGCAGCTGCTCCTGAAATAGTAACAATCATTGCTCCAAAGTTCATTTTCCCAACTTGTTGTTCATCTACGTATTTTACAACATACCAACAACAGCATAACCACCAGGATAAATATGTGTCCCTAAGCTTCCAAAACCTCGTGGGTAAGCTACAGCAGTATATTCACCCAATAATCGCCCGATTGCAGCACCTATTGTGAATGAAGGGCCGAACACTCCACATGGAATTGGAAGGGTTAAAGATAATATTGTTAGGAAGTACTAAAAGTTCATTTTTGATATGAAAGCAAGGTTGGGCTTAAGATTTTAACTTCTCTAAGATTATATATGTTTTAAGAATGTGTTTGCTAAAAGGTATTTAAAAAATCTTACACATCCAGCCAGAAATATCCACATGACTTCAAAAACATCCCGCTCATAGTGCTTTCCAAGCCAATCTCGCAGGTTTGGACAAAAATCAGAACTGTTGTAATTTGCATTCCAAGTGCAATTTAAAAACAAATATTGTGGAGATTCACTGAATCTTATCTAAATATTAACTTAGTAAACATGTTCAAGAATACAGCTAAGACTAAGCCTAAGTTAAGGTGTAAATAGGGTCAGGTAAACCCATCAACAGGGCTATGGATAGAGCTACAGCTAGGTTAAGGCGCGGATAAGACTACAGTTACGACTGCGTTAAGGTGTAAATATGGTTAGGTCATGTTATGAGTAAGGTTGCGGCTATAACTAGTTTAAGGCGTAGGTCGGACTAGGTAGAGTCTAATAAATAGGACAAGGACTAAGGCTAGGGCTGATGCTAGGGCTGAGGCTAGGGCTGAGGCTAGGGCTGAGGCTAGGACTGAGGCTAGGGCTGAGGCTAGCGCTTAGAAATAGGCGGAGGCTAGCGCTATAAAAAGTAACTTACAAATCCACCCAAATAAGCTCCAGACCACTTAGGATATGTTACTACGGCAATCAAAAATGACGCCACGATAGGATAGGTTAGCCAACTGTAAAATCACATTGTTAAGACATTTTTAAACTTATAGCATGATTTGAAACAAAATATTGAAGTGTTCTACTTACTGTATAATAACTTACTGTATTCGAAATATGTTGACCAAATATTTGTTGTTTCGTAATAGCAGAACTAGGTTTCTATGAAGTAGAATGAACAATGCTGAAGTGATACCGCAAATTATCCTAAAATGCTAAAGATTAAAATTTACAAGATAGAAAGAGTAACTAAATAGCCGTATCTTACCCTAGAATTGCAAAGATGACCAGCTCTTCGGAGACGAATGCTTCTTGAGGAAAGTAGGTCTGGTATATTGCTACTAGGTTTTCTGAAAAGATGCGTTTACAGAGGAATTAAGCTAAATACTCCTAGGGTTTTAATAACCTAATCTTACCTAAACTTATCCTTATAAAATAGTTACCATACCCTAACCCTAGCAACTCTAAGAAGGCAGTTGCACCAATAGCCTTAAAGCCTTCAATAGATTTTCACTCTTTACCTTCAGGATGAAAAAGAACTTTCATTAGTCTAAACACCGATGCGGCGCAGGCAGCGGCCAAGAATCCTCGCCAATAGTTTCGAATAGCAAAGTAGGCACTAGTTACTTCAATTGAAAATAGTACGCCTGGAAGTACTAGTGTGTTGTAAATATTTTTTTAAATTTAATTTTTATAATTAGTATTTTATAGTATGATACAGTACTATATAGTACTATACTGTAATAAGTAGGACGATACAGTACTATATAGTACTATACTGTACTAAGTAGGACGATACAGTACTATATAGTGCCATACTGTACTAAGTAGGACGATACAGTACTATATAGTGCCATACTGTACTAAGTAGGACGATACAGTACTATATAGTACTATACTGTACTAAGTAGGACGATACAGTACTATATAGTGCCATACTGTACTAAGTAGGACGATACAGAACTATATAGTACCATACTGTACTAAGTAGTACGATACAAAAAATGAGTTTAATTTTTTAATATTTGTACTATATAGTACGATACTAAAAATGCGTTCAACCTAAAAAGTTAAACTAGAACCCACCTCCCACAGGAGCGGAAAACACACACGCCACACCAACTGCACATCCAGCGGCTAGCAGTTCAGTATGTCTACTTTCATTCGTATATATCGGGTCGATGCTTTGCACGAGTTGGCCTAGTATATTGGCCATAATTGATGCTATGTGAACGAATGGTCCTAAAATAAGTTTTTTAGCCAGGGTTGAGGCTAGGGCTTTGGGGCTAGGGCTCTGGGCTAGGGCTCTGGGCTAGGGCTCTGGGCTAGGGCTCTAGGCTAAGACTCTGGACTAGGGCTCTAGGCTAGGGCTCTGGGCTAGGGCTCTGGGCTAGGGCTCTAGGTTAAGATTGTGGGCTAGGGCTCTGGGCTAGTGCTCTGGGCTAGGGCTCTGGGCTAGGGCTCTGGGCTAGGGCTCTAGGTTAAGACTCTGGACTAGGGCTCTGGGATAGGGCTCTGGGTTAGGGCTCTGGCCAGGGCTCTGGCCAGGGCTCTGGCCAGGGCTCTGGGCTACGGCTGGAGCTCTAGGCTGGGCTTACCTTCTTTCCCTATAGGAATTCCAGAAGCCAGTGCCAATGTTAAACCGATGATTTTAGAAATCATTGTCCTAAACGCCAGATATTCTTGTAGTACCACTCCTCGTAAGATGGTCTTCATTTCCGGTATACCAGATCCAATTGCTTGTGGTGCCATATAATGTGCCACTGAGGCTGAGCATGTTACTAGTGCCACTATGTATAACACCCAACAAAATATCGAGAAGATTTGAGCTATGAGGTCGTCGTATTCGGATATTGCTAACATTAATGCTGTGTGACCTGAAGAACACTATAAGTAAAACTTAGCCTTAGCCTTGGCTTTAGTCTTAGCCTTAGCCTTGGCCTTAGCCTTAGCCTTAGTTTTAGCCTTAGCCTTAGCCTTAGCCTTAGCCTTAGCCTTAGCCTTAGCCTTATCCTTAGTCTTAGCCTTAGCCTTAGTCATAGCTTGAGAAAAAAATATTAGGCTTACCATTAGAAAACAAAGCTACTGTTCTGTCAAGTAGAATCGAACAAAATGCCATTCCACAGCCTAACATGATAACTATGACCCAGTCGTTGAAAATCCAGTTCAATACATTTCGAAAGCGTTCTGAATTTAAAAACTGTCATATTTTTAAAAAATTAAAAAAATTTTTTTTGAAATTTTGTGTCTGGTTGTTCAAAAAATAATGAGCTACTAAACTATTATACATTTCAAAAAAATTAAAAACATACTATTTAAAAAAATTTAGGTAACAAATTGTGAAAAAAGTTTAAAAAATCATAAATTACAATGTTATATGACCTCATTCTTTTTTGAACACGTGTTATAGCTCATTACTTTTTAAACATATTTCGTAGCTCATTCTTTTTTGAACACGTGTTATAGCTCATTACTTTTTGAAAATTGATCATAGCTCATTCTTTTTTGTACAATTGTCATAGCTCATTCTTTTTTGAACATGTCTCACAGTTTATTATTTTTTAGACATATATAGCTTATTCTTTTTTGAACATGTTTCATAGCTTATTATTATATGAACATGTGTCATAGCTCATTATTTTTTTAACAACTGACGTAGCTCATTATTTTTTGAACAACTGTATATTATACTTTACCAACCCAGCCATCACTCACGTTTCCATCGTTCCTTCTTATCACTCGAGTAGAAGCTGCCGGCATAACTTTTGTAGAACTCGGCATCAGCCACCTTGGTGCCATTATCAATACTGCCATTTACTTTGTACATGAGATATCTAAAAAGCCTTATAGTAAAGGTAGGGTAGGGTAAAATACAAACACGAAAAAATAACAAATGTTTGAATTATATAATATTTAAATTCGACTTTGCATACCGATTAGAGGAACCGCTTCTGATGACGTCGTGCTCTTTGTTTAGATTCCGGTTGATATTCGGCATGATATTTGCGGGTATTGTACTTGATATGTTGTGATTTTAATTGTTTATGTCTTGTTATTATTATGTTACCGTTTTTTTGAAAAATTATTTACTATATAAATTAGATATAATATATAAGTTGGAAAATAAGGCAAGTTAGAACAGGATGGAATAAGGTAGGGCTTACGATTACGGTAGAGCTTAGGTAAATTAAGAGTTAAGGTAGGGTGCAAACCGTAGTGCAAGGGAAAAGTAGCGCAGGATAGGGTGGTGCATAATTAGACAGGGTAGGGTAAAGTAAGGTAAGGTAAGGCAAAGATTACCGAACTGGAGTGCATGGGTACTTTAAGGTGTGGGACAGCACAGTATTTAGAATACAGTATATACTAAACACCTGTAAAGGCTAGGATGGGGTAAAGACTAAAATATGGTAAAGCCTACAGTACGGCAATAAACAGGGTAGCGTACAATTGGGTAGGGTAGGATAAGTTGGGGTATGGTAGGGCTAAGGGGCAAGGTGTAGAGCAGGGTAGGGATAAGTATAAGTTAAGGTGGGGTGGGGTGGAGTAGGGTAGACTAGAGCTAAGAGGCTAGGTTTAGTGTAGGGTAAGGGTAAGTATAAGATAGGGAAGAGTAGGGTAAAATAGGAAAAGGTAGGATACAGATAGAGTAAGACTACGATAAGGCTAGGTTTATGCTGAGGTAAGGTTAGGGTGAAGCTCAGCTACGGCTGCAATATGGTTAGGGTAGGATAGGGTAGGGTAGGTTAGGGTAGGGTAGGATAGGGTAGGGTAGGTTAGGGTAGGGTAGGGTAGGGTAGGTTAGGGTAGGGTAGGGTAGGGTAGGGTAGGGTAGGGTAGGGTAGGGTAGGGTAGGGTAGGGTAGGGTAGGGTAGGGTAGGGTAGGGTAGGGTAGGGTAGAGTAGGGTAGAATAGGGTAGGGTAGGATATGGTAACGTGGGGTAGTTTAGGGTATGTTAGGGTCGAGGAGGGTCAGGTAGGGTAAAAATCCGTTGAAATTTTAACAATTTTTATATTTTAAAATTTACAATTTATAGGCAGTTATGGGCAAGTTATGGCAGTATAAAAATGTTTAGATATGATTTGTATTATGATGTGTAGATCTTGTTGGTGTTTGTACACTAATTGCTGCTCGTACTAGCATTGGAGAAGCGGTCGTTTGAGCATCGACTCGACCGACCATTGCCAAACTCTTTTCGCCGCATTACCGTCTTCAGGACTGGGAACTGTAACATATAGTCATTTAAAACCGTAGCAATCATAAATTGTAAATTTTTAAAATTTTTATGTTGTCTTACCTCATCATCTTGAGATGCTTGACCATTAACAGTGTCTGCTTGAATAGGAAGGTGATTGGGTATTGAGTGAAGTGACGCTGCTAGTGATAGGTCTGAAAACACAAAGGTTAATATACTCTACCTTGCCCTACCCTACCCTACCCTACCCTACCCCACCATATCCTACGCTACTTCACCATACCCTACCCTACACTACTCTATTCTATATTACCCTACCCTGCCATACCCTACCCAATCGTACTGTACTGCACGATACCCACCCTTACCATACCTTGTCCTGCAGTTCCCTATCCGACCCTACTCTACTTCAATTCCTACTGTACCGAAAATCCTAATCTTATCCTAGGCCTTACTATGTCGTAAGCTTTACCATATTCTAAGCGGTACCATATATTAAGCCCTATAGTACCCTAAGACCTACCATACTACAAAGTAGTGCCTTACGCTAACTTTGCCTTACAATATCTTATGGCCAAGCTTTGATGTGTATCTAATGTATGCTTATCCTACCCATAATTTTCCCTACCGTATCTTTTCCCCACTCCTTACATAGCCTTACTAAAGACCTAATGGTACTTCTGCCCTGGTCTTGCCCTACCATACTATACATCATTATACCCTACCTTATGTACTCTGCCAAACCATATCCTACCCTACAATAGACAACCCTGCCTTTATCCCTACTCAAAAGTACCATGCTTATCACAATACCCCACCCCACCCTACCTTTTTCAAACAGATCCACATCATACATCTCCGGCTTCATTGGAGTAACACACCGTTCCACGACAAAAGGTTCATAGAACAGTAAGATATACACCTTGGTGCCAAACATGAACCCCAACAACGTCAATGCCATCAAGTTCAACTCAATGATATCAAGTTCTCTATGCAAACTCATTGGTACAACATGTCGTAGCACAATCCAGGACACAAACAACGTCAATGCCATCAGATTCGCGACGAACAGCCACTTGGATTCCTTGTAGTTTCGTCGTATCTTCCGATTCTGAATGTTAATAACCAAGGCGAACATGGCCAAGAACAGTATATATACAGAGTTGTATATGTCATCATGGCTCGGGATTTCAATGTTGCGAACATAGACGGCTAGCTGAACGCCAATGATGAAGAACAGGGTGATCCAGTAGTTCCAGATGCCTACTTGGCTACGGTTTTTGCCACACAAGTCTTCGGCGTTCCTGAGGCACACGGCTTTTGTTAGGATCACACCAAAGCAGATGACGTGTCCGATGGAGTTGAAGAAGAGACGGAGGTCGAGGAGCTGAAAAATGTCATTTTTTATTGATTTTATAGGTTGAACCAAAAGTAGCGGGACACTTTTAATTTAATCATAACTTCACAAAACAAAAATTTTGAGAAAATCTATTTCCAGGTTCAGAATCTAAATAAAAATTGAATATAAAAAGATGTAAAATACGCCAAATTTTGAATTTGTTTTTCTTTCATAGTCTAGTGGTCTTAACGGCCCGAAATTGTGCAATAAAGGTCCTTGGTTCGAATCCGGTCAGACGCAAATGGGAATTTGTTGCGTTTCATTGCGTTATAGAAGTTCTTTTTGCGTTTTTATTGGAAAATACGTCTTTTCCTGTAATTTTTAATATAACACGTGCTATATAGTACAGCACGATCAGAAAAAATGAACCTTTAGTGCATTTTTTACCAAAAATTTTCGGAAAAAGAGTAATTTTTTGTTTTTAATCGGTGTAACTTTTTTGTATACGGACCTTTTCACAAAAAAAATTTGAATTTAGATACTCTACAATACACCACATATAAAAAGCCACACAAAAAAGAATAGTAACGTACCAAATTTTTCGAGTCGATGATGTACATCAAGGCGGTCAAGTTCAACAATATTATGCCAGTCAAACTGAACATTCCAAGCGATTGATTGCCCTTGATCACTCGATTATAGACCTTGTATACAATCAACAGTAAGATGAGTACAGTAACCACCATTAATATTACTGTGCTGATCAGGAAACCATAGTTCAATGGGGTATTGTCCCAGTTGGCAAAGAAGTTGACATTATTGGCATGGAACCACTTGATGGAGCCGGTCATCTTCTCGAATGGTCCCACTTTGTTCTTCATGGTACCACGTTTGCATGAACATAATGGTGCTGTACATAGGCTAGTGTAAATTGAGTCGGAGCGAAGGATTCCGGAGACGTAAAGCTTGTAGTCATTGATTGGAACATAGGTAAGGTCGGTGGTGAAGTTGCCAATCTTACGGTACCCTAAGTTTCCTGAAAACATTCAAATATAAAATATTAACACATTATGATGACACACCCAGGACCTACCCTACCCTACCCTACCCTACCCTACCCTACCCTACCCTATCCTACCCTACCCTACCCTACCCTACCCTATCCTACCCTACCCTACCCTACCCTACCCTACCCGACCCTACCCGACCCTACCCTACCCTACCCTACCCTACCCTACCCTACCCTACCCTACCCTACCCTACCCTACCCGACCCTACCCGACCCTACCCTACCCTACCCTACCCTACCCTACCCTACCCTACCATACCTACCCTACCATACCTACCCCTACCCTACCCTACCCTACCCTACCCTACCCTACCCCCCCCCCTACCCTACCCTACCCTACCATACCTACCCTACCCTACCCTACCCTACCCTACCCTACCCTACCCTACCCTACCCTACCCTACCCTACCCTACCCTACCCTACCCTACCCTACACTACCCTACCCTACCTTACCCTACCCTACCCGACCCTGCCCTACTCTATTCTACCCCACCGTACCCAAGATCTTAAGATTTACTACACCCTATGCCGTACCGTATATTAAGCCCTACAATCTTTTGAGACCTAACGTACTTCAAGCCCTACCACATCCTGAACTCTACCGTAGTATAGATTCTAATTAGCTATAATCAGCCCTACCGTAACCCAACCACAACTGTAAATAACGCCATTTTAGCCTTAGACTAACAGCGACATTTCTCTACTAACACCCTACAGTATACTTATTCTAACTCTACAGTATGCCTATTTCAACCCTACAGTATGCTTATCCTAACTCTACAGTATGCCTATTTAAACCCTATAGTACTCCTAATATAATCCGACTGTATCAGTACTAAATTAGGTATAGACTGCACCCTGTACTCTCTATTTATCTTCACCTTACCATGATGATCCAGCGGCATAAACTCATCCACCTCGAACTCCATGATCTGCCTTTCCGTATCCAACAACTTCCTCATCAACTCCCTGGACCGGTCCATAAATTCCGGGCAATAATCCGTAGCCGCGTTGCCACACGTTCTTCTGAAGGCATCGTTCAGTGCCAAGACCAGCCGTTCCACGCCCTTGATCAGGTAGCCGGCTTCGATCATACGACCCAACTCGACAATGTTCATGAGCTCGTCGCCAGTACACATCCGACCCTCGTAGAGGTCACGGTTGTTGAGGTTTAGGGCACAACGCCAACGCTTCTCCACAAAGTCCCAGAACCAGGGCTCGGCTAGGTGAAGTGGGGTTACCTATGATAATATATGGTTGGAAATGGTAAAAACTTCTTTACAAAAACTAAAACGGCAAGAACTTTCTTTACAAAATAAAAAATGGCAAGAACTTTCTTTACAAAACAAAAAATGGCAAGAACTTTCTTTACAAAACAAAAAATGGCAAGAACTTTCTTTACAAAACAAAAAATGGCAAGAACTTTCTTTACAAAACAAAAAATGGCAAGAACTTTCGGGGCCATACTAGAGAAAGCACCCAACATACAAGAACTTTCTTTACAAAACAAAAAATGACAAGAACTTTCTTTACAAAAGATAAAACAGCAAGAACTTTCTTTCCACCCCTTACCTCCTTTAAAAAGTCCACAAAGTCCTGAGGAATCACGTCTTTCGGTCTGATCGCTACCGTACCCGTATACTGTACCGCATTCAGTGGGTCGGCCAGGTAGAAGTCTTGAGCTTCGCCTACCATAACATCAACATTACCGGTCAATTCGTATGTAAACTTCAGTCTAGTCGACACATAATCAGCTGCATCAGTCGCCGTTGAAAAGAATACTGTAACATTGGTATGATGGTTCACAGGTACAGTACTTCTATTATGTGACGCAATGTATACCGTATCCGCCACGCAGATACCGTACTCCTCGGTTAGAGCCACAAACTGTTGGTGCACCTTCTGCTGTTTGGTACTGGTACTACTCACAACTACTGTAACATACTCCCAGCGTTGGGAGCGAAGGAACTGGGCTAGGGACTTGGCGTAGTTTCGCGACGATGGAAGCAGATTCAGAATCCCGTCGTCGTCCTGCTTCTCGCTCGACATCGTGACAGCCGGGATCCTGAGACCACGAAGAAGCGAATCGTGCTCAGATTGTTGAGATTCATCGCCTAAGGCTGAGACTTGGGCTAGGATGGTGCCGGTTGGTATTGTGACGTTGTATTCGTTGACTGGTAGACGTAGACATTGAGTTTCTGAATCGACGGTGAAGCTACGGACTCTGAAAATAGAGTATGGTAAGGCCTATGGAGTAAGAAGATACGGTAGAACCTAATTACGATAGTAAGTAAGGTAGGGTAAAGTAAAACAAATTAGAATAGAGTATGTTAGGGTACGGTAGAATACGATGCAGTAGGATAATTTAAAGCAGAAGAGAGTAACGCAACGTACGATAAAGTATGGTAGAGTAGTATACGGTACAAAACAGTAGAGTACGGTAAAATGCCGTAGGGTAAATCAATATAAGATAAAGCACGATAAAGTACAGCAGGATACGGTACGGCAATGTAGGATAGAGTAGAGTAAGGTAGAAGACGGAAAAGTACAGAAAGATACAATACGATACAGTAGTTATTAGAGTACAGTAGGGTCAGGCAGGGTAGGGTAGGGTAGAATACGGTAGGGTAGGGCAGGGTAGGGTAGGGTCTCCGTACCTATGAGAATCCGAGCAACTATCCACAATGACAGCTCCAAAGTCTTTCATTGGCTTCAGTAGTAAAGCTGGATACTTCCTCTCAATCGTATTCAATGCATGTGTATATGCCAAAGCCAATACCACACTATCCTGTCGAATCTCGTCACAGCCCTCATTATGCAAATTAAAAAGACCAACCAAATAGAATGGCAGCACTTTTTGTGAGTTGATAAAGTTGGTTCGGGGATCCAATTCGACCGGTCGATTACATTGACCACAATATGGATATTGAGGTAAGCAAACAGAGCGGACAGCTCTGATAGAAGAAGCAGGGTTGTGTTGTGACACCTTTGATGGAGCTCCGATTTGGTAGGTGAATATCTGAAATTTTAAAAATAATAAGCCTAAGCCTACTAAACCTAAACCTACTAAGCCTAAGCCTACTAAGTTTAAGCCTAAGCCTACTAAGCCTAAGCCTACTAAGCCTAAGCCTACTAAGCCTAAGCCTAAGCCTACTAAGCCTAAGCCTACTAAGCCTACTAAGCCTAAGCCTAAGCCTAAGCCTAAGCCTACTAAGCCTAAGCCTACTAAGCCTAAGCCTACTAAGCCTAAGCCCACTAAGCCTAAGCCTACTAAGCCTAAGCCTACTAAGCTTAAGACTACTAAGCCTAAGCCTACTAAGCCTAAGCCTACTAAGCCTAAGCCTACTAAGCCTAAGCCTACTAAGCCTAAGCCTACTAAGCCTAAGCCTACTAAGCCTAAGCCTACTAAGCCTAAGCCTACTAAGCCTACTAAGCCTAAGCCTAAGCCTACTAAGCCTAAGCCTACTAAGCCTACTAACCCTAAGCCTACTAAGCCTAAGCCTACTAAGCCTAAGCCTACTAAGCCTAAGCCTACTAAGCCTAAGCCTACTAAGCCTCAGCCTACTAAGCCTAAGCCTACTAAGCCTAAGCCTACTAAGCCTAAGCCTACGAAGCCTAAGCCTACTGTATTAAAGCCAAACTAACTTACATCACTACCTCCAACGACCTGTACCAACAATTTTAGTCCTATACTCTGTACAATATGGTCATTCTTAACAAAGAAACCCAGTTCTTCACCTGCCAACTCCAAAGGTCCTTTATCTTCCTTTACAAATCGAACTGCTGTCAATCGCTCCAGAAGGCCGTAAGCACAGGAATCAAAGTTTTCAGCACTAAAAGGTAGCATACTGTAAAGAAAATAATCCTACCCCAACCTATCTCTACTCTGCCCAACCCTACCTACCTTACCCTACCCTACCCTACCCTACCCTACCCTACCCTACCCTACCCTACCCTACCCTACCCTACCCTACCCTACCCTACCCTACCCTACCCTACCCTACCCTACTCTACCCTACCCTACCCTACCCTACCCTACCCTACCCTACCCTACCCTACCCTACCCTACCCTACCCTACCCTACCCTACTCTACCCTACGCTACTTTACCCTACGCTACTTTACTTTACCCTACCGTACTTTACCCTACCGTACCCTACGTTACCCTACCCTGCCCCACCTTACCCTACCCTACGCTACCCTACCCTACCCCTACGCTACACTACACTACCTACTCTATAGTACATTACTGTACCGTACCTTACCTTACCCTAACTCATCTTCATTTCCCTACCAGCCGTACAGTACTCTAAGCACCTACCGTAGGCCTTATACCTATCCTACAATGAACATATCGTATACCTAGTTCTACAGTAACCTTTCCTATTGCCTCTATCGTAACTATACAATGTTTTGTATTAACCATGTTGCACCCCTAGACGCACAGTAACTTTTACTTCTACCTTTACCACAATCAGGCTATAACCTTACCACTACTCCTACCACTACTGCTGCCTTTACAACCGTATCTAATCTAAACTCTGTCACAATCCCCATCCTGTTATGTGAGCTACAGTAACTTGTATTTCTTTTGATACAGTAACCACATCTCATACATACTCCTACCGTAGCCCCACTACCTTACCCTACCTTATCCCTCAGCTATCCTACCTTACCCTAACCTACCATACCCTAGCATATTCTACGCTGCCGTACCTTACCCCACACATAACCGTGCCTCTTTCAACATATCAACCCTACAAACCTCCTACTCCGGAAAAAAGTCATGATTAATATATTAACCCACCACTTCTTCTTCAACTTCTGATCCCCTTCAATGAACCGTCCAGCCACAGAGAAGGCGTAGGCCAGTCTAACCACCGCATCTACTTGAGGTCCCTGGTCAAATCTGCCGTTCAATAAATCGGTCGTAATTTCTGGACACGTCTTCTTGGCCAACGAACAATTGAGCATGCTTTGGACGTAGGACGAGGCCAAGGCATATGACTCATAGTTATTGACCAGTAATTTCAAGAAGTATGGTCGAAAATGAGAGATTTCGGTCCTTGATTGACGTATCAGAATTTCCTGAAATATACTTAGGCTTAGTAGGCATAGGCTTAGTAGGCTTAGACTTAGTAGGCGTAGGCTTAGTAAGCTTAGGCTTAGTAGGCTTAAGCTTAGTAGGCTTAGGCTTAGTATGTGTAGGCTTAGTATGCTTAGGTTTACTAGGCTTAAGCCTAGTAGGTTTAGACTTAGTGGACTAGCCCTACTATACTATTCTCTATTTCACCCCCACCCCTTCTTTTAATCTACCGTACCCTAACTATTATCCCTACCCCCTAATCCTACTTTTACACTTAAAAAACCCCCCTCCCAGCCAATCTTACTGCAAAATGGCCCATACTCATCGTATATCTTGAACAATTTTAATCCCCACGCCTTACCTTAGAATCCTTCACAACAAAGGGGAACGTTCGACTATGATCGTCCAATCCCAACGTGATTACAGTCTTTGGCTTAGCGCTCAGATACTGTAATTTCGGTTCGTCGGCTTCCTTTTGACACGGTAGGTACAGTAGGACCTTGGCATCAGTAGCGTTCATAACTTCATTGAAGAACAAGTGATCAATGTTGATGATCTCACTGATATGAATCTGATTCTTGGCTAAAATACGACTGATTTCCTTGATTCTAGAGTCTTGTTCTTGGCAGGTGACGAAGACTAAAAGGTCGGATTCTAGCTGGTCCATTAGTTCAGTTAGGGCCTGAAAATAGTAAAATTCATTAGATTTTAGTGACAATAGTTACCCTACTCCACCATACCTTACACTACTCCACTCAAACCTACCCCATCCTACCCTACCCTACTATACTTTATTTCAATCCCTACCGTATCTAACAAGTTACCGTACCCCAAGCCAAAGAAATTACCTTACTCTAATAACATGAAACCTACCGTAATGCAAACTTACCGAACGCAAAACCCTACAGTATAACAGGCCTTGCCGTATCCTAGGCTTAGTTGTCTTCGTCCTCTCTCTGTCCTACCCTACCGTACTCAAGGTCTTACCGTATCCTATCCTACTTTAACCTACCCAGCCCTAACCTACACTAACTTGCTTTGTTCTGACTCGCCTTGTCATGCCCCACACTATCTTACCCTACTGTACATTATCTCATAATACCATGCCCAACTACGCTATTACCTGCCCAGCAACGTATTGTCCTGCCCTATCCTACACATTACATCCTGTCTTGTCCCGCTACACTAAAATAGTCCGATTTCACCACGCCCAACCTACCATACCCTACACACTCTCCCCCCCCCCACTTACCATAACATAATCCTCGAGCATAGGCGATGTAACAATCGTAGCAACATTACTATCCTTGACAGCTTCAGCCGCTTCCACAGAAAAAGCTCCGGCCAACAATTTCGATGTTTCCAAGACTCGACTGGTCGATAACGCAAGCTCGCCTTCTTTTGGCAGTACCACTCCCAACATTTTACCAGATTTTTTTCGATTTCACACATTCGACCGGATCGTAATAATCGACCGAATCCAAGAATCGAAGGGTTTGAAGTAGGGATTCCTTCTGGCGGTTACAACTGTCTCCAACGTATAGGCCTGAAATGGCATTTTAAAAATTCAAAATTTTAAAAAATTTCAAAAAATTTTTTTTTTCAAAAATTTGAAAAAATATGAAAATATTACCTATTTTAGCACCCGCCTTCTGTTGCATTCGATTCCAGTGAGCAAACACCCATTGGAAGGCTACAATATCTTGTACTGAGCTGGGTATTAGTGTGGTACAGTCATCTTCATGTAGAGAGAATGATCCGCCCACGAAATTCTGAAAAGTTCATTTCAACTTTAATTTAAATTTCATAAAATTTGACATATTTTTTAAACCATCAAAAAAATTTTCATGGCTTATGCTTAACATTAGGCTTAGAGCTTAACTTTAAGTTTGCATCTAAGTTTTAGCCCCAGCTTAGGCTTAAGCTTAAAATTATGCTTAAGCTTAGACTTCAGTTCAAGGTTCGGCGTAAGCTTGAACTTAAAGTTAGGCTTAAGCTCAAACTTAAGACTAGGCTTAACCTTAAACCTAAGCTTAAGCTCAAATTAAGACTTAAACTTAAGCTTAAGCTCAAACTTAAGACTAGGCTTAACCTTAAACTTAAGCTTAAGCTCAAACTTAAGAGTAAGCTTAAACTTAGGCTTAAGCTTAAGGTTAGGCGTAAATTTGAAATTACACATAAGCTCAAGCTCTAGCTTAGGCTGAAGCTAACGCTTAGGTTAATTACGAAAAAACAGTTTTTGATTAAAATCTAGGCTTAGACTTAAAGCCACCCTAGTTTTATTTTGACACTCAAGCTTAAAATTAGTCTTGAATTTAGCCCTAGCTTTAGCCTTATAAAATACAGAAAAATAAAATGAAATATTTTAGATCTGTTAGGTAATAAACACTCAAGGAAAAATAGAGCCAAATCCCCGCACTCGCAGTCATTTGTTGGGTCGTTTTACATCGAGGCAAATATTATATAAAACCATAATATTACATAAGAAAACGTTGCGTAACACCATTTCTTGCAATTTCTCTAAGGGTATTTTAATATAATAGTTACCACATCAATATTAGGTAAAAATTTCTTTTATCGATGGGGCTCGCAGTGAGTAGAGCAAGAAGGTGTAAAGACAAGTAAGGCCAAGGGCTAGGCTAAGGATAGGGTGAGGTAGGGTGATTGTATAGCGAGGGTAAGGCAAGCGGTAAAAAGAAGGGTAGAAGTAGAACTAAAGGCATGGGTAGAGGTAGGGGTAAGAAAAAAGGCATGGGCAAGGGTAGAGTAAGGATAGAGATAAGGCTAGAGATATGGCTAAAGCTAGGGCTAAGGCTGGGGCTACGGCTAAAGCTAAGACTAAAGCTAAGGCTAGAGATAAGGCTAGAGCTAAGGCTAGGGACAGTGTTGGAGCTAAAGCTAGAACTGGGGCTAGTGTTAGAGCTAAGGCTGGGGCTACGGTTAAAGCTAGGACTAAAACTAAGGCTAGGGCTACCGTTAGGGCTAAAGTTAGGGCTGAGGCTAGGTTTAAGGCAAAGGCTACGGCTAGGGCTAGAACTAGTGTTAGTGCTAAAACTAAGGCTGGGGCTAAGACTAGGGCTAAGGCTAGGGCTAAAGCTAGAACTAGGCCCGAATCTGAGTATAGGATAAGGCTAAAACAAAGGCTAGGACTAGTAAAATATTAAAATAAAAAAGCAACTACATGGTAAAAAAAACTCACCGTAGAATTAGCAGGTACCACTTTAAAAGCATCAAAAACCCCGCATTTTCCGGAATTTTTGGTGTTTTGCCGATTCAGTGGATTTTCATGGTTATCAACACAGTCAACCACAGTTGTTATTAAGATTATGTAAAATAAAATGCCATGGATGTTCAAAATTGACAGTTTGTTGAAAATGGTCATCTATTCACGCATCTAAAACATTTTTAATTTTTTTTTAAATTATGAATGTAGTGGGTTAAAAATGGCACAAAATCGCAAAAAATACAAAAATTTTTAAATTTTTTTAAAATTTGTATTTTAGATTTGAAATGCATTGATTGATTGTAAAATGTCATAAAATCATTGATTATACCATAAAATGTCATTATGTTGTCAAAAACTTTTTTCAAAAAAACTTTTTTTTTCAAAAAACCACCCCCTACTAACCCAATCCCACCCCCTACCAACCCAAAACCATTTTCCAACCCAAAAAATGTCATGATGACTAAATTTTTCCCTCAAACCAACAAAAAACCCTAAATTTTGCATATAACAACAATATTGCCTAAACCATCAAAGAGCGATAAAAAATTTGAAAATCTCATCAAAATTTCCAGCCGCAGGGTAAGAAAGATGTGAAAAACTTGTTTAACTTTTTTCATTCCATCACTTTCAAATAGCTTAAGCCATTTTTTGGAAGCTCATTTTCCTTAAACAATCGGCCCGTGAGAGCGCACTGATCGCAGAGACGGCCGAGAAAGTCGGTGGGAAAGTGAGAGAGTAGGGAGAGGCAAGAGTGCGGTTAGAGAGAGTGAGAAATGCGCGGCGAAAATCAAGAAAGAGTAAGAGAGCGTGGAACGGAGAGAGGGCGAGCAGAAAGCGCAACGAAAGCGCGGCCAAAAAACAAGAGAGAGCGAGAGAGAATCTAAAGCAGAGAGAGCAGCCAGTGATTGCAACAAAACCTTTGCCCAAATCAAGAGCGAACCAGAGAGCACTCAAATCAGAGAGTGCGTGCAGAGAGCGTAACAAAAGCGCCGCGGAAAACAAGAGAGAGAGAAAGAGCACGCAACTCCAAGAGTGTGGCCAGACAAATCCCGCGCGGCCAGAGAAAAACGAAATATAACGTGATAACGAGAGTTTTTCATCAAAATAAAAACCAAAAATTGCGCAAAATAAATGAGGTTAATAATTAACAGTGATATATACTTAACTATGTTGCTTAAACCCATTCTTCGACCACATTTTTCCCGTATTTCGAACTGGGTTTGAAAGTGATGGCAGAAACTTTGTTTACAAATTGGTGAAAGCAAAATGTAAAATTTTAAAACTTTTTAGATATAACGGATCATTTTTTAACAAAAAAAATTTATTTTTAAAATTTTTTTGAAATGAAAGAACAATAAAAACTGAAAAAACTTTCTTTCCACTGACCAAAAATCAACTTGTTCAAAGGAAATTAAGAAAAAAAGTATAAAAACAGCTTAATTCGTGTCTGTAATTGTAATCGAATAGTTTTTACGGTGTTTTTTTAAAGCGAAACCCTTATTTATCACAGTTAAAAGTTTACTAAGAAATCGCGCAAAAATCACTGATAACACAACATCAAAATGATAATACGCCAAAAAATGATAAAAAATTGCAAAAACTTTCTTTACAAAACGAAAAATCGCAAGAACTTTAATTACAAAACGAAAAATAGCAAAAATTTTCTTTACAGATCAAAAAATGGCAAGAACTTTCTTTACAAAACAAAAAATGGCAAGAACTTGCTTTACAAAACAAAAATGGCAAGAACTTTCTTTACAAAACAAGAAATGGCAAGGACTTTCTTTACAAAACAAAAAATGACAAAAACTTTCTTTACAAAACGAAAAGTGGCAAGCACTTTCTCTACGAATCAAACAATGGCAAGAACTTTCGGGGCCGATGAACAATCCTTCCCCCAGCTACAATCATTCCCCCAAGCGCAAAATCATTCCCCACAAAGTTAAGTTGAACTTAACTTGTACTAGTCCAGAAGGCATTGGCTCAGGTGAGGGTTGTGAACAATCCAAGTGTTGGAGCTGTTGTGACCATCGCGCGACTAGGGGCTGGAGAGAGAACCGGCAGACAACCTCGGAACTCGGCTCGAATGACGATTTCTGGGGAAATCGGTTGCTTTTATAGGGATTTTTTGCATAAACTTTGAAAGTGTAAACCAAGTTTTGAATAATGAATACACTTTTAAAGTGCAATGGGAAAGTGAATAAGGGTTTTCTAAGCGTGGGGCATGATAGTAATACAGGTGGGGCATGATAGTAATACAGGTGGGGCATGATAGTAATACAGGTGGGGCATGATAGTAATACAGGCGGGGCATGATAGTAATACAGGTGGGGCATGATAGTAATACAGGTGGGGCATGATAGTAATACAAGTGGGGCATGATAGTAATACAGGTGGGGCATGATAGTAAAACAAGTGGGGCATGATAGTAATACAAGTGGGGCATGATAGTAATACAGGTGGGGCATGATAGTAATACAGGCGGGGCATGATAGTAATACAGGTGGGGCATGATAGTAATACAAGTGGGGCATGATAGTAATACAGGTGGGGCATGATAGTAATACAGGTGGGGCATGATAGTAATACAAGTGGGGCATGATAGTAATACAGGTGGGGCATGATAGTAATACAGGTGGGGCATGATAGTAATACAAGTGGGGCATGATTGTAATACAGGTGGGGCATGATAGTAATACAGGTGGGGCATGATAGTAAAACAGGTGGGGCATGATAGTAATACAAGTGGGGCATGATTGTAATACAGGTGGGGCATGATAGTAATACAAGTGGGGCATGATAGTAATACAGGTGGGGCATGATAGTAATACAAGTGGGGCATGATTGTAATACAGGTGGGGCATGATAGTAATACAGGTGGGGCATGATAGTAAAACAAGTGGGGCATGATAGTAATACAGGCGGGGCATGATAGTAATACAGGTGGGGCATGATAGTAACACAGGTGGGGCATGATAGTAATACAAGTGGGGCATGATTGTAATACAGGTGGGGCATGATAGTAAAACAAGTGGGGCATGATAGTAATACAGGTGGGGCATGATAGTAATACAGGTGGGGCATGATAGTAAAACAGGTGGGGCATGATAGTAATACAAGTGGGGCATGATTGTAATACAGGTGGGGCATGATAGTAAAACAAGTGGGGCATGATAGTAATACAAGTGGGGCATGATAGTAATACAGGTGGGGCATGATAGTAAAACAAGTGGGGCATGATAGTAATACAGGCGGGGCATGATAGTAATACAGGTGGGGCATGATAGTAACACAGGTGGGGCATGGTAGCAATTCGAGTGGAGCATGATAGTAATACAGGTGGGGCATGATAGTAATACAAGTGGGGCATGATAGTAATACAGGTGGGGCATGATAGTAAAACAAGTGGGGCATGATAGTAATACAAGTGGGGCATGATAGTAATACAGGTGGGGCATGATAGTAATACAGGCGGGGCATGATAGTAATACAGGTGGGGCATGATAGTAATACAAGTGGGGCATGATAGTAATACAGGTGGGGCATGATAGTAATACAGGTGGGGCATGATAGTAATACAAGTGGGGCATGATAGTAATACAGGTGGGGCATGATAGTAATACAGGTGGGGCATGATAGTAATACAAGTGGGGCATGATTGTAATACAGGTGGGGCATGATAGTAATACAGGTGGGGCATGATAGTAAAACAGGTGGGGCATGATAGTAATACAAGTGGGGCATGATTGTAATACAGGTGGGGCATGATAGTAATACAAGTGGGGCATGATAGTAATACAGGTGGGGCATGATAGTAATACAAGTGGGGCATGATTGTAATACAGGTGGGGCATGATAGTAATACAGGTGGGGCATGATAGTAAAACAAGTGGGGCATGATAGTAATACAGGCGGGGCATGATAGTAATACAGGTGGGGCATGATAGTAACACAGGTGGGGCATGATAGTAATACAAGTGGGGCATGATTGTAATACAGGTGGGGCATGATAGTAAAACAAGTGGGGCATGATAGTAATACAGGTGGGGCATGATAGTAATACAGGTGGGGCATGATAGTAAAACAGGTGGGGCATGATAGTAATACAAGTGGGGCATGATTGTAATACAGGTGGGGCATGATAGTAAAACAAGTGGGGCATGATAGTAATACAAGTGGGGCATGATAGTAATACAGGTGGGGCATGATAGTAAAACAAGTGGGGCATGATAGTAATACAGGCGGGGCATGATAGTAATACAGGTGGGGCATGATAGTAACACAGGTGGGGCATGGTAGCAATTCGAGTGGAGCATGATAGTAATACCAAGTGGGACACAACGGCCGTTTTTTTTACTTTTGGCTATTTCATCAGTGATTCTTTCGTAAGTTCGCGGTTTGACCATAATTCAGCAAACAAAATGAAAGAATGAGAAATTGAAAAAAAAATTTTAAAATTTGAATAAGTGGGGAATGATTGTAGCTCATTTCCATGGGGCATTATTATTCACCTGCTGGGAAGTTATTCTTCATGAGAACCGAACTTTCTTTACAGATCAAAAAATCGCAAGAACTTTCTTTGCATATCAAAAATTGCAAGAACTTTCTTTACAAAACAAAAAATGGCAAGAATTTTCTTTACAAAGGAAAAAAACATCAAAATGAATATTTTCCCCCAAAAAAATTCAATTACCACACCCATAATTACCCATTCCTTCAACATTTTCCAATATTGTCGGTTATAACCAGCCGGCTGTGCTGTGACGCATTAACGGAACCGTTAACTGCTCACTCAGTTGGTAATCCCTTTACAAATGTTTTTTTCTTTTCGATCTGCAAGAAAATATTTTTTGGGGAGAAGAAACCCGTTTACTTAGGAATGCCCAAAGGCGTTTTTTTTGCTGCGTTTTGCTTCAAATAAATCATACGGTAATTGGTAAGTGAACCGTAAATATTGTTTTCGAAAGGACTACCCTCTTTCTTTGGCATACGCCGCTAATGTGAATTTTCGATGTGAGTGAAAGGAAAATGGATAACAAAACAAACTAAAAAATACCCTGCCCTGACTATTGTAACGACCGCAGCCTCATCTTTAGCTTACGCGTAAGTCTGACTACGTCTAACCATAAGCTTAAGCCCTAACCTAAGCCTAAACTAAGTTTAAAGCTCAGCATAAACCTCAGTATGAGCTTAATTCTAAGACTGAGACTAAGACCAAAACTGATACTAAGCCTAACTTTAAGTTGAAGACTATATCTGAGTATAAGCTTAAACCTAACACCAAATATATATATATTAATATATGCTCGCTTTTGAGCCCAACACTAGTCTTAAACCTAAACCTATGTCTTAAGCTAAGCCTAAGTCTAAGATTAAGTCTTATTCTAAGCCTAAGCCCAAACACAAGCCTAAGCCTAAGCTAAAGCTTAAGCCTTATTCTAAGCCTAAGCCCAAACTCAAGCTTAAGCTCAAGTTTAAGCCTAAGTCTAAGCCTAAGCCCAAGTTCAAGCCTAAACCTAAGCCTAAATCTTAATGGCTAAACCTAAACTTTTGCCGTTACTCTTTCTTAGCTGGCGCTTGCGCTTCCTTAGGCTTCAGCTCTATTCTAACTTTAAAAACCTACCAAATTTCATCTAATACAATTCATAAAATGAAACCGCATAACAAAACCAACCACAAGAGATTCCGCAACAAAGATGTCACCTTTTCCGTAAACGTGAAAGGTTATGACACTTACGTGAAAAATCCGAAACGCGCAAATATTTAAAATTACGTAAAAATATGTTTTAACGAAGAAACTGTAAAAAGTACAGGGAAAAACCGGCTTTTAATGCGAGTAAAAAGTTATGGGCTTATCGATGAGGCCTTTCAGTTTACGAGGCGAGGAAACAACAAACTTATTCTTGGAACTTAATGAACCTGAACCGTTTGCAACAAATGAGCAATCTTATACGTATGTGTTGAATTAATTCGTCGAAATACTGTTTTGACCAGATATATTTGTCGGTAGTGCCCCAAAGTGCGTTGGTAGCGCAGTGGCTGTGGCAATTCTGAAGCACCTTGGTTCGACCCCGCGCACCGCTCAACCCAGGCGCCTTGAGGAATGGATAGTTTTGAGTGCACGGAACCATTTTGGGCTAGGCACATTTATACTTGGCCTATACGATATATGATCGAATGCCAGAATCCTTATGGAGCACCGCACCCACGACTCAGTGACGCGAAGAACAGTGAAATACCTGGGGAGAGGCCCAATTACGGAAAGCATCAGACTCAAGGATAGCTCCGTTGGTCTTCATCTGAACCTTGAACATCCTTGCACATCAGCACAGTACTTTACAATCTACAGCATCAAAAATCATCTAATTTAATATATATATCTTCCGAGTTGTATTTGTAGACGCTTGAAGAATGTAAAGTAAATAAATAAATAAAACAAAATTTTCCACAAAGAATGTTTACAACAATGTCGTAAACTACCTCTAAACAATAAAAAAAAAGATAAAGCTAGTAACATATTTTCCTTTTTGAAATCCCAACTGATTTTGTTCGAAAATTGGATTTTAGTGATTTTTGTCGCCGCAAAAAACGACCTAAATTTCTTCGCCTTTTTGATCAAAATTCTTCTTACAGCTTTTCAAAGCCGCTAAAGGCGTTATGAATTGAAAAGAACCTTGTCAACCACATTCTTAAATTTTTTTAAATTTTAGGCCAAACTTGACTAAATTATAGGGATTTCACACTACCGTACTTGACCTGATTTTAGCCTTGCCAGCTCCACCATACCCTACTCTACCTTATCCTACCCTACCCTACTCTACCCTACCCTACCTTCCCCTTACCTAGCACCACCTGACCCTACCCTAAACGTTTTAACAAAAAAAAATTTCAGCTAGCTGTTTTTTTGTCTAAATCATAGCTAATCTAAAACAAAAAAATCGTCGGTTATTAAACCCTTTGTCCTGCGAAAACATTTCAAGATGGTTATGGATAATATACAAACAAAAAACAAACAATAAGAAGTTGAGTGGGTTCATAACTAACAGCGAATTCAGTTTAAAAAACGCCCCGACGTCTTTGATATGAAATGAGATCGTGATCGAAAAAGAAATCGAACAGATTTGGTCGGCTATAAAAAGTACTGTAATTTTAAAAACCAATGTTTGTATTCAAAAGTAGGGCTAGACATCATGGCTAATAAGGAGGGATTGAAAATGTAAACTCTTTCATCCTTTCATAATATAATGACCGAAACCTTGACTTCGTTTAATGTAACCGTATATTACCCTACCGCAACCCAGCCGTAACTCTGTCCTAGCTAAACCATTGCCCTCCTTACTTTGGGCCAACAAACTTATCACAGGTTAAGACAACAAACTTATCACAGATTATTAAAGAATGTTCAAGAACATTCGCTTTCAATCGATTTGTCGCAAAATCAGCTGAAAAGTCAGGTGAGAACGAGTTCAAGTTGTCATTGCAAATTGGGTAACTCCTACTTCATTTCGAGCGAAACTCCATCGTTATGATGAGGTAGTAGTTTGAGATGTTTGTGATGACTTTATAACACTTCAATTTTATCACTTTAAGAACATTATTTAAAAAATAATACTGACATTTAAACGAGCGTTTAAGTTTACTTGCAAAGCACTCATTTTTAATACGTTTTTAACGGAGCAAAAACGGCTTGCAATGTGATAATTGAAGATAAATAAGCGATGAAGACGCTTTAACAATAATTCTCTGGAATACAGCGTTGACGAAGTCGTCTGAGCGGCTTGACTTTACATGTTCAAGCGTCTACAATTACAACACGGGAGATATATATATATATTAGATTAGATGATTTTCGAAGCCATAGGTTGTAACGTACAGTGCTGATGTGCAAAGATGTTCAAGGTTCAAATGAAGACCAACGGAGCTATCCTTGAGTCTAACATTTCCCATTGGGCCTCTCCACAGGTATTTCACTGTTCCTCGCGTTACTGAGTCGTGGGTGAGGGCTCCAAAAGACTTCTGGCGTTCAATCATATATTCGTGTAGGCCAAGTATAGATGTGCCTAGTCCCCGTGCACTCAGCACTACCCATTCCTCAAGGCGCCTGGGTTGGGCGGTGCACGGGGTCGAACCAAGGTCCTTCCGAATAGCGAGCGGCGCCACAGCCACTGCGCTAAGCAACGATGAAGACGCTTGGACAATAATTCTCTGTAATACAGCGTTGACGAAGTCGTCTGAGCGGGCACAGGTTGAAGGAGAAAAAAATTGCATAAATTAGTAAGCTTTTGTCTCTTGATACCTTCTTCAAATGCTTATTGTCTGTGGCTTGTCGTTTCGGCCAGAACGATCTTTTTATTTCTCATCAATACCTCATAGTTTTGAAATTGGGTAATTTTCGCACCTGTTGCTATCTTTAGACATGGTAGCCGTTTCTAAGCTTCGTCTCCAAAGTCAAACCCTGATTCTCAGCTACCACACACAGTACGGTAGACGAATAAACTATCAACGATAGTAGATTAAGCAGATACTTGAGAGGAACTGCGCCGGTGCAAAAATATTGATATTAAAGACAGTACTTTGAAACCAAAAAAACTTCTGGGTACAAATTCTATGGTCAACATGTTATTTTCGGAACCAAAAATACATAGTTTTATGTATAGTTAACGTTTAAGTTGTAATCTACAAAATAAAAGTTTACTCACAAAAGTGGAAATTTACATTACTTAATGTTATACACGTTACACACAACAAATAGTCTTTAATGTCCCATCAGCACATTTTCTCGCTCATGATGATTGTTTTTCAAATACAACCTTTAAGAATTAAACTTTCATTGCAATGTACCTTAATATCATCGAATTGCACTTATTACTAAATTATTGTACCACGATATTACCGAAAGTTGTTATTTATTACAACTAGATTTTAAAAACAAATTATTGTTCATTAGTTCTCGAATTTGCAAATCCTGGGTAATTTGTTTTTAAAGCTATGTCGGCATAACATTACGTAGACATGCTTTTACATGAAATACTATTCTTCGAAACTATATTTGAGCTTCTGGTTAGTACTGTGGCAGCAATGTTTAATATTTATTTTACGTACAAGTTGACTCAACTATCAACTTTTAGCATTAACTTTAGGGTTCTTATTGTAAGTTTACATAGCGTTCAAACTTTAAATATAGACCAAAGGAGTTACCGTTGTGCGTAACATTGTTCACAGCTTAAGCATAAAACCATTTTAGACAGCACAAACAGCCTTAGCAACCCTCATCACTACAATACCAGCAATATTACACTTAATACCCGAACACCTCTATAGTCTTGAACGTGGTTGTATCTTTGAAGCTACTTTATATTACACACTTAATGCTATACAACAAATTTGTGGCCTCATGTGGGAGAGCAAATTTGGTTTAATGGCATGTGAACGGTGGATAGCTTACACACGTAAAGGTAGATACGAACATGAAGGCACAGAACATGTGGTTAAGTTAATGTGTTACACTGTACGTGCACCAATTATAACCTAGCGAAACCAGTAGGCTGTTAACTACGCCTTTTAAAGTTTAAACAAGCTTAAAACTAAACTTTTCAGTTTATCGTATCAACATTCGTCTTAACTTGCAAATTTGTGTTTATGTTTAACTATTTTAAAAATGAACCCATGGACAAGCTGTTGAGGATTGTGTTTGAAATCGATGCATGCTTTTACGGTCTTCTCTTTAACTTTTCCATGGCTTTTGTATTAATTACAGCTGCTATCGTGGTAAGTGTTTTTAGCTCGGCTATTCAATACAAAGTATATACAGTGGAACACTTGTTTAACGAACTGCTCTATAACGAAAATCCCGTATAACGAACAACTTTTTAATCATGGTCTAACACTACACAGTACATTTAAAACTCCTGTATAACGAAACTCCTTTATAACGAACAAATTTCAAGTCCCCGAGCGATTCGTTATACAGGAGTTGCACTGTATTATCACAGTAAGGTTACGTGTGACAATATTCTCTGATTACTTTGTTGTAGTGTATGGAAGCTTCTAACCTTCCTTACTCGGCTTTTATCTTTTCTATTCCCCAAGCTTGTCTCTAATCTCACCTACCCACCGCGTTCGAGGCTAAACAAAAGAATCTTATATGTAATCTAACAAAATAGTATCAAACTCAAACGATTTAGTAATACAGTGGTACTCCTGTATAACGAACTCCTCTATAACGAAAATCCCGTATAACGAACAACTTTTGAATCCCCACCTACCACTACACAGTGCATTTAAAACTCCTGTATAACGAAAAAAATTCAAGTCCCCGAGCGATTCGTTTTACAGGAGTTCCGCTGTAGTTAAAACCAAAAACTATTGCGAATGTTACATATACAACTGACGAAGTCACCGCCACCAACTAGATAGCTCTTTTTGGCGCAAAATTTTTCGTGAGGGGATCCTCCGACAAATTACATACGTATATTAAATCATTTTAGTTATTCTACATTTTGAATCAAAAAGTCAACTCTTCGACGATACATCCACTTACTCTGTCGGAAAGTTATGAAATAAGACAGACTAAGATAATTATTGAATATGTTAAAAACTTGGTGGTTTCATTTATAAATCTCTTAGTATTTCTAAGCACTGTGTTTGGTGTAGCCACTGCTTTGTTCGTTTATGGATATTTGAAAGACAATACGCCAGAAATGAAGATCATTATTACTGTAGGTTTTTCAACTTTTATATTTTTATTACTCAGGAGTTACGATAACAAGAAAAAAATAGCGGTTTGCTTATACTTTCGAAAAATAGAACATTAGTAACAAGTTTGCGTAACCAACAAATTGTAAAACTATACAAATGCTTTACACATGGCAAATTTGTAGTATATACGATAAACAGAACACGTTATTACAATAAAAAACGTATCATTAAACATAATGATAATCTAAATAGATTCTCTTATTTGCAGAACTAAGGTTGTCAGTTGGCCTGAAAAGGGGTGCACTAGGCTCAGCGCGCCCCCGGGCCAGGTCAAATCAATTTTAAAAGGAGCCAGGCCAGCACACGTTGGCCTATGGGCAAAGCCCGGCCCCATTACATAACTAGTTTTTAACCTAGGTCTAACCTAATGGGTTAAAAATTGTTTTTAGCGTGTTAATGTAATTCTTTCAGTTTCTATACACAGTATTGGCATTTTATAATTTTTTAACGATGTTATATATGATTAGTTCGTTTCCGCGTTTACAACAAGCAATAGTCAAAGCTATACCGTTTTTCGAAAAGCGTATATCGGTAGAGATTACACCACAACGGTCAGTACAAGACGAAGCTGACGAATATTTTAAACAACTAAACGACATTTTAAAGTAAACGTTAATATTGTTAACGGTAATAAACTTAATTTTTGACACATTTATGATTTATATCATAATTGTTTTTACTCAATTTTATTAACGGTTTAAAAACGGGGTTTTAATGTAAAAATTTCACGTTTTTTTACTTTGAATTAAAAAAAAGTACTGTTGTTTCATTTTTTTTCGGACTATTTGTAGAAGTACGTCATTTAGTTTTTTAACCACAGTGGAACTCTTGTATAACGAACTGCCCTGTAACGAAAATCCCGTATAACGAACAATTTGAATCCTCGTCTACCACTACACAGTGCATTTAAAATTCCTGTATAACGAAACTCCTTTATAAGGAACAAATTTCCTCGCTTTTCGTGAATTAATAGTCCCCGAGCGATTCGTTATACAGGAGTTCCACTGTATTATCTACATGTAATTGTATACGCGTTGAGTATGTTCTAGAAATAAACAAATCTACCTTTAACAGTAAGTAATTCTAATGTGTAACTACATTTTCCATATTGTCTACAATAACCGTTAACAAACACATATCACGACAGTGTTTGTACTGCAAGTTCACCGACAGCAATTATTCATAACGAGTATTTAAAAAAATAACTGGCTAATTACTATTTTTCCTCTTGAAAGTGCTGTAATCATACGCCGGTAAATATGTTTTTGAGAATGTCGGCGTGATAGCACGTTCTAAAGTCGTGTAATGTTACTGAACCAAATTTTATTCTACGAGACTATATTTGAACTTTTGGTTGGTACCGTTGCAGCTGTGTTGAATATTTATTTTAGTTACAAATTGGCTCAACTTTCAACTTTTAGCATCAACTTTAGGGTTATCATTGTAAGTTAATCGGTGTGTGTATGCTTATGTTTCCACAGTTACATAGCAATCAAAGCTTGGTTATGTTGCAAAGCATCACTTTTTTAAATTTTTTAACTCTTGTATACCTAATTTATCAGTAAATAATCTCAGGCAACCCAAACAGCCCTAGCAACTATAACAACAATAATCCCGGGCATTTTACACATGATACCGGAACAGCGCTATAGTGTTGAAGATGGTCATTACTATAATGCGGCCTTGTATTATACTACATGTGTCCTTCAACAAATTTGCGGATTAATGTGGGAATGTAAATTTTGTTTACTTGGTTGTGAACGATGGGTAGCGTATAAACGTAGAGGTGTTTACGAAAATGAAAATTGTCAACTCGCAGGGTTTTTAATGGGTTACACAGTAAGTATTGTATTCCAATAATAGACTGATATGGTTAATACCCAGTTAATACACATACATTTCCGCGTTCGTTAGTATTTGTTCTTTCTATTTTTACTTGTATTCAGGGCTGGGCGCTGGGTTCAGAAAAAAAAGTTAAACGTGATCCCCCCTGTGGATTTTTTTGAAAAAAAATCGGCAGTAGCTACATGTGCCGATTTTTCGGACCCCCGCTCCCAGACCAAAAGTCCTCACCCGGCTCTGCTTGTATTTCTCAGCTTTATAGGCTAGGAAGAAAAAGGGATACACTAACTCCAGCCCGAACTGAACCCTTCCTAAAAAAAATAAAAAAATTTAAAGTTTGCTATATTTTCAGTTCTTAGTTGCAACATGCATTTTAACATGCAAGTTTACTTACTTGTATTACCATTTTCAAGACATACCTGTCGACAAACTATTAAAATTTACATTCGAATTCGACGCATGCTTCTACGGTTCTACGCTAAATGTTTCTGTATCTTTCTTTTTTGTTACTGCTGCTGTTGTGGTAAGATGTAAACCGCTTTTTAAGCAAATATTAGAATTTTTACACATAATGTTCAAAAAAAATACAACCCCAATATATTTTAAAATATAATTGTCATGCTTCAGCTCTTCTACACCTTACACCAAAAAATAATCAATCGATCTGTACACCCTTGTACGTTATCAGAAAGCTATGAAATACGACAGACCAAGGTTGTTATTGGATACGTAAAGAACTTACTGATATCGTTTGTCTACTTTTTGGTTTTTATTACGACTGCTTACTCCATAACAATAACGTTATACTGGTACGGTGTTTTAAAAGATAATACGACAGAAATGAAAATGATTTTTACGGTAAGGATTTCATATTTTAAAAATATATTAAACCAAAAAAGACAATTAGATATTAAAAAACTTTTAGTTTTTATTCACAATAATGGCGACCTACAATTTTATAACCATGGTGTATATGATTAGTTCATTTCCTCGATTACAACGTGCAATAGTAAACGATATTCCGTTCTTCGAGAGTCGCATTTCATTAGAAGAGCATGCGCCAAGGATAACTGCACAAGAAGAAGCCGACGAGTATTTTAAACAGCTAAATGACATACTCAAATAAACATATGACACTGTATAAAAATTTTTGTTAACGTTTTTCAATAAAGAACACTGTTGTTTTGTGTACGAATGTTTTTTTGTAACTTCCATTATTTGAGAGACGAGGGGAGACGATAAAGTTGATGAAGACCGTCAGAACAATCCGTTGCAGCAGTTCCCAACTGGGCCCTATCCAGTTGATCCTGTTTCTCAAGCTACCAACTCGTGATGAGGTGCTCCTCAATAATTCAAGACGTCGTCCGCGTTCACTTAGTAAAGTGGAATTCTTGTATAACGAATCGCTCGAGAACTTGAAATTTGTTCGTTATAAAGGAGTTTCGTTATACAGGGGTTTTGAATGCACTGTGTAGTGGCAGCCGGGGATTTAAAAGTTGTTCGTTATACGGGAGTTTCGTCAAAGAGGAGTTCGTTATACAGGAGTTCCACTGTACTTTCCCTTTACTTAATGCGCATGAGTCGGGCAAACTTAAGGTCTCCCGGTGGTTTATTAGTCGGTACCACAACCAACTAAAACCACAGTCCTGAATTTATTTCTACCAGAAATCGTAGAAAGAAATTCAGGACCGCCCCACCCGCGTTTTCTTTTACCAATTTATTTGACAGCGATAGTTAATAATAGTTAATGCTTTATAATATTATACATTTATGTACACGTTTGGTTAGAAATAGCACAGTTATAAAAGTTGAACTAATAAAAATCAATGTGAGTATCGTGAGAGATTCCATATTTTTCTTTATGCGCTTCAAACAGCTCGACCAACTTTTCTTTGTACAAATTGTGCAGTTCGTGGATTTGATCCCATGAGGGGTGTTTGGTTTTTGTCACTGGGATTGGTTCACCAACTGAAATTTTTTTATTGAAATGGTTTGTTTTGAAAAATATTTTTAGAAGTACTTTTGATTGCTTGTTTTCCGGTTAATTTTGTTTTGTTTGATTTTACGAAAACCTTATCAGTACATTTTGATAAGGTAAAAGTACTTTAAATCCTCAAAAAACATGATTATATACTAATTCTATTCTTTGCTACGCCATAACGAAAGAGCAGAAACAAGGACTATTATACAAGTTTTTGGATATTTACGTTCACAGTACAGTATAACTTGTTTGGATATTTACGTTCACAGTGCAGTATAACTTACAAACAGCGGTGATTTCCTTCCTCAATGGTACCACTCCAGGTACAAATGGAATAATATTCGTGCCATAAGCAAGTACCGGACTCACACTTGTCACATACTTGAACTTCATCTGAATCGCCCTAATAATACTGCCTTTTGGGTTTGGCACTTGTTTATAAGTGTCTGTTTCACCAAAGGCAAAAACTGGCACCAAATGAGCTCCGGATACTAATGCAGCCCGGCAAAACCCTTTCCTACGATTTAAACACAACTTGTACACTTTTGGATGACACTCCAATGCTTCGTCAGCACCGCCCACGATTACCGTAACCGCATTACCACCGCCTGAGCGAGACAGTACTTTGGTTAGTGAGCGAAATGATACCGGTATAACACCAAATATGTTCATTAGGTGACGTCTTAGAGGAAATTTGAAGTGCCACGTTAGGGTAGTGATATAACGAGTTATACCGGGGTAGAGATCACGGAAACCAGCTCCATCTGTACACATAGCGGCTACAGCCGATACAGAGAGAATACCATGCGGATGCCAACTAAAAATGTTCATCGTAAACTTGGTATTTCAAACAATAGGGTACGCAAGTGCAAGCTATGATAGAGATAGTAAAAGCTAGTCAACGGGACAGTATATCTAAACCTACCCAAACAAGTAATTATTTTTGGTCGATAATTCGGCCGTCTTAACTATTTTTAGCGGGAAATACTCGGCAGTATGATTCCAAAACTTGTGACTTCTCATTGCTTCCCATGGTGGATTTAAACTTGCTTCCGAATCTACGCCATAAAACATCCAGATAATGTAAAGTGTAGCTAACCACCAATAAGAAGTGTAACATATCACATATATTAGAAATAGTGGCACAATGATAGGGAAGAAACCAAAAATGAATAGGAAGAAGCAGATTTGAGAAAACTCTAGTGCTCTTTTAAATATCGATTTGTCTTCTGTTGCTACTGTCATTGTGTGGCTAAAAGATTTTTTATTAGTTTTAAGCAAGTTTTAGAAAATGGTACATCAGAACGTGGTAAATTTTAAAAACTTCTAATGTTTGCGTAATGCCTATCGTTGCGGGATCTAAGCTAGGCCTCTTGGGCCTTGGACAGGGGCTCTTTTCAATCTTGTTCCGACCCGATCTAAGGTCTAGCCTAGTGGGACCCATCTAATGATCAAAGTACCATAAGGTCAAGAAAAATTTTCGTTTTGAAACGTACAAATCAGACGGATTTTTCCCCATTTTTTCCGGGTTTGGTGTACCGGACCCCATTTCAAGGCTACACTAAGATATAGATGTAACAACAGTTTTTTTACACTTTGATACATTGCTTGTAGTTCACGTGGAAAAACAATGGGAAACGGTATCATTTAAAAAGATAATAAGCATTATAAAACCTCAAGCAGAAAAATGTTAATCACAAATTCTTCCTAACTCCACAGTATAAAATACCATCAAAATTGAAACCCAATTCTTACAACCGCAAAAATCTTAAATAGTAACATCAATTGTTATTTAAAACCGTTCCCACGGACCCACCAAAAAGAATCAACGCAGCCTAGAAGTTTCGCAAAACAACGTTTTATCGATAACAAACAAATTGGAGAGGAATGACGCCTTGAAGGTGTTTGATAAGGGGGAAAACTGTTAAAATTGGTTGCGAAATTTTCGAAAATACGCATTGATGTTTGATGAGTAAATAACATATATTAAGGATATAATAGGTGGGAAATGGCGTGATGGGTGTTTGTCAACAAGTGTAAAGCATCTTGATTCAATGATAAAGTTGAATGATTTAACGACCACTTTAAAATAGCCATGTTTTTCGGGTTTCAGAGATGAATTGTTAAAATTGTTGATAGTGAAAAATTTTGATTTAGAAAGGTAATTTAGTCCAATTCATCATATTAATTTAGCACAACGGACCATATTTTGTTGTAAAAGTACTTTTGTGCGTACATACTGCGGTAGTCGCAGTCCAATGTTAGCATCATAGTGATCCACTTGTCTTTTGAAGGTCTTTAAGAGTTGTAAGGTTCTAGTCGAGAATCAAAATTAGCTCTTTCTCGTTCATCTACTGTTTCTTTACCATCAACTTATCTTCGAAGTCTGTAAGGGTCTACAGGATCGTAATAGTTAGCTATGTCTTGTTCATCAAATTCGTCTTCACTATCAACACCGCTTCAAAGTTTGTAAGGGTCTTGTTCAGCAACATAATCAGATTTTCCTGTTCATCAACGGCTTCTTCACTATTATAAACTTCCCGAAATTCTACATCGTGTTTTTTGTTATTACATACTTGTACATACTTGCAATCACACTACGTGCAGTTTATTCATTTTCTAGTTTACATTTTTTTTATTATACTTAGATCATAATACTTAAGACAGCGAAGAAAACAGCCACTAATAGTGACAAGACTATTGTATAAGCATCGTTGTTAATAGCTAGCCCAAGTTGAATGTTTTTCAAGCCTTCATCAGCGGTCAACGCTATACAATAGTGCTGAAGGAATTCACTGCCAAATCCAAAATCATATAATTTGGACTTGGTCGACTCTAGCGTTAACGTGTAGTTGGTTTTATCAAAATACCTCTAAATTTTTGAAATTTTTTTTAAAATTTGACTTTTAAAGTCATCTACACATCAGTCGTTACTGTACGTACGCCTACCCTGCCATACCGTACCTTGAAATAAGTGCTCTATTCTACAGTACTTACCCTACACTAGAGTACCCTACGCTACTCTATCCTACGCAAACCTCCCATACCCTGCCTTATAATGTCTAATCTAGACCACCTATTCTACTCTGTCCTACCCTACCTTATACTCCCTACCCAAAAGTACCTATTCTATCTTTTACTATCCTCTTCAATCTAATTTTAAAAACATGTGCGACTTACAGCCTTGGTAACCCAAGAGTAATCCTCTTTTGTAATCATATAGTCATTTCCATTTAAAGTAAACCCAAGATACGGTAGGTCATCTTCAGATTGAAAAATGTTAGGGTTTTTAGTGTCATTTGAAATAAAGTATTTCTTGAATACGTGGTAAGGCACTTGAGTGTATTCGCCCGGTAGAAATGATATGGTTTGGTTGTAGTAAATGTCAAAGCCAATGAAAACACTGTAAAAACATTCTTTACAAAGCAAAAAATGGCAAGAACTTTCTTTACAAAACAAAAAAATGCAAGAACTTTCTTTACAGAAAAAAATATAGCAAGAACTTTCTTTACAAAACAAAAAATGGCAAGAATTTTCTATACAAAATTTAAAATGGCAATAACTTTCTTTACAAGACAAAAGATGGCAAGAACTTTCTTTACAAAACAAAAAATTGCAAGAACTTTCTTTACAAAACAGTAAATACAATTTGATCTAAATATGACCTACTCTGCCACCAACTGCCAAGTTTTTCCATTCTTAGTGTTATAGTAATCAAACTCTTCACATAATGGACTACTATCATTGCCAAAAGTAATCACACCCTCACTCAACAAATGTTTGTACCCCTTGATGGTCTGTTTGGTCCTACTAATGTAGTTATGACCTTGTTGAATTAAAATCCGCCTTTGGTCATAATTATCAAACAACTTTTCGACTGCCAGAGTATTCAAATCAGGCCTACCAAAGTCTAAGCCTAAGCCTAGAACCCCGTCCCATTCAAAGGATTCTTGACGATTGCCATCTGTAATTACAGCCACGTCTAATGGCAAGCTGTCATCGTTAAGCCATAGAGAATCGTTGTAAAATTGACCGGTAAAATGGTTTGAAAAAATTTGTGGGGGTTCTTGTAGGTACGCATTTGTTATTGGTTGGGATTTGCTTCTACTAAATATTGTGATTGATCTTAGAATTTTATAGATATTGTTCCTGTTAAGCTTGAGGGTAAACATGGGGGGTAGGGTTGTGGGTAAAGGTTGAGATAAGAGTAGCGATCGGACATGAGTTAGGGGATAGGGAGGGGATAAATCAGAGATAAAAAAGGTAGGGTTTCGAATAATCTTGGTAGGGGGGTAAGGATAAGGGTAGGGGTAGGGGGGGTAGGGGGTAGGGGGTAGGGGGGTAGGGGGTAGGGGGGTAGGGGGTAGGGGGGTAGGGGGTAGGGGAAGCGCAGAGGCAGGGGCGAGTGGTCCATTTTTAAAATTGTCTTACGTTGCATTATATGGCAAACCATGACTGTTGGTTGAACATTTATTAATTTCAAAGCATTCTTGACCAAAAATAAAAGAATATGGTCGATGTAAATCAATTTTTACTAGTCTTCCCATTTTATCATTCGCAAAATACATAACATAATATGGTCTCCTTGGATATTCTGTAAATTTTGGATCTTTTCGCTGTATTAGTATTATCTCTTTATGTTTTATCTTTATATGTTATTTTTATTTCAATGGTCAAATCTTACTTGAATAATAATGTGAAGAAGCACCAGTACGATTATGTTCACTACCAAACGCCACCTCCAAAACAGCAAATATTAACAAACTTAAAATTGAATTTTTCATAGTATATACTGCACCAAAATAAATAAAGATCAGAGCTAAAGCCGCTTATTCAAAGCCAGAAGTTTTTTAAAGTTTAGAAACAACAGTCAAATGACTGTCAAGATCAAAACAATTATGATTTGTAAAACAATATTAATGTTGTGTACATAATATGCTTATTAATACCTACTGATTTATATGATAAAAAGATTAACCTTCCTCAACAACGTGCTGATAAGTATATCACCAGAACTTTCTGATAATGATATTTTACAAAACTTTCAATTCTTTATATAGAGCAAAAGCTAAAAGCTGGAGTTCAATAGTTCAGTTTAGGGAAGTCATGTGATATTTCAAAATATTTTACATTCTTCTGGTAATGAGCTTAAGCCCAAGCTTAATAAGCCTGCTAAGAAGCAGCTTACTTAACCTAAAGGTAAATAAGCTCAAGAATACAAAGCCTAAGCCTATTAAGCGTAAGCCTACTAGGCCTAAGTCTATTAAGCCTGAGCTTACTAAGCCTACGCCTACTAAACCTACGCCTACTATGACTAACCTTACTAAGCCTAAACCTACTAAGCCTAGTCGTACTAAGCCTAAGCCTACTACACCTAAGCCTAAGGCTACTAACGCTGAGCCTACTCAGCCTCAGTCTAAGCATAAGCTTGATATCCTCTTTCAAAGCCATTTTTCAAACCATCATATACAGTATAACAATTTTAAAGCCATGCCACAGTGTTAATTATTCAATATACTTTATTTTTTCGAAGGTAAAAAAATGACCGAGTTTGAAATGGAAAATACAATGTTCGGTTTGTGTGTGGGTTTTGTGATATTTTCCGTGGCTTACCAGTTCAATTCTGACATAAAAGGGGGTTTGAAACGTGAGCAAAGATAATATAAGACTTTGTATAATATGTGGGTTTCGTTTACAATGGGTTTTCAAGTAAAGAGCTGCCTGAAAATGGCAAAACAGTGCAGAAAACAGCCAAAAAAATGGCAAAAAAGTGCCCAAAAATGGCAAAAAAAAATAAATCAAGCCATAAATAGGCCTAAAAATACTAGATCTTGCCATAAACAGACCTAAAATTATAAGATTTTGCCAAAATTAGGCCTAAAAGTGCGGTTTTAAAAGAAAAAAATGTGCAAAAGTGCAATTTATTAGAGAAAAACCAGTAAAAATAGTGCAAATATTATCAAAAATAGACAAAATTGCAGTTGAAACAAGATAATTCGCAATCAAATATTCTTTTTTTTTTAGAAATTTATACATTTTTTATGAAAATAGAACAGTTGGCATTAAAGGGATGGGTGGGGGTTGAGGGGATGTTGCCATACGACCGGTTTTCCATTTCGCAAAATGACGGTAAATGTTGGTTGAGATCTTTCTTTTTTTAATTGTACATTGAGCGTCTTTGACCTTAAATTTTAAAAAATGAAAATTTTTATAAGGGTCGAGGTAAGGGAGGAGAGGGAGAGGGTAAGGATAGGATAGAGCTAAAGTAGCGGTAGAGATAAAGGTAGAATAATGGTAGAAGTAGGGTTAGGTAAAGCTTAAAGTAGGGCTAGGAAAAAGCCAGGGCAAGGGTGGACAGAATCTATGGCACGGCTATATTAAAGCCGTAGCAGGGCATGGGTAAGACCAATTTAATTAAAGGGGAGGGGGGGGGGAAGAAGAGGTATTTTTTGCTGCAACTCTACATCAACGGAGATTTGCCTCATATTAAGTAGTTTAACTTTAAAAAAAGTATTGTAAGTTCTATACCAATACCTCATACAGGCCTTACAAGCTTGTCTGGGCAGGTGATCTTGATCTCGGGCCAAAAAATTTTTTTTAAATCTACAGAAGTATCAAATATAAAATTTTTGATTTCTTTTGGCAAGAAAAGAAAGAAGATTACTCCCAACATCTCTCCATGGCCTTGTCTTTCCAGCCACTCTCCCATGTAGTTTACAATCAAAAATTTTATGCCAAAACCCACCCACCTTGTTCTAGTTCAAATGGAATCCTTTCTCGCTTGTGGCCGCCAACAATCGTTCCCTCAGCACCTCGGTACTACTGTATTCGGGCAGTTTCAAGTAGTGGACACAGGTGTTGACCGATGGGTAGGATCCGTCTCCGCCGCCGTCCACCTTTCGCACGATGGTGAGGCGTGGGTGTAGGTTGGCTAGGCCGCCGGGTGGGAGACTGGAACAGCCGGTGGTGAACTGAAGGAAAGCTTTTCGTTCGTCGGCCGTCATTTCGGCTACGACGTCGACGAAACGTAGGAAGCCGACGGATTCTTTGGTGTAGCCCAGTTTGGGTTCGGTGTAGTTGATGAGGTCGTCGCGGGTCCATTCTGGGCATTGTTCGCCGGAGAGGAGTTTCTAAAATATGTTATATGAAAGTGTCTGATAGCTGATGCTATAACCAATAAAAAATTTAACAAATTAGGCAGATCGACCCATTTGAAATATAAAAAATTAATAGAAGATAAGGTAGAACAAAAAAGAGAAAAAATAGTCAACAAAAAATTAAAAAATGGGTAAAAATACATAAAAAAAAAAATCAACTTACTTGTACTTCAATAGCTGAGAATGGCTTCAGAGACCGTAGTGGAAACACAAAATCGAATCCTTCGCGGAATGCCGTTACCTAAAAAATCAAATTTTCACTTATTTGTAGCCAAATTTCCAAATTTTTTAATTAAATTTCGAAAAAAAAACAATTCTCTAGACTTTCCGACCAAAAAACCCTAATTCTACAAACTTTTTGACCCAAAAGTCTCAATTCTACAATTTTTTGACCCGAAAATTCCAGTTCAGCAAACTTTTTGACCAAATTTTTCAAAAAAGTCACTTCTACGAACTTTTGGACCAATCATAAACATGAATTCTAAAAACTTTTTGACCCAAAAAGCCCCTATTCTACAACCTTTTTGATCAAACTTTTCACAAAAAATCACTTCCACAAACTTTTTGACCACTCAAAAACCCCTATTCTGTGACCTTCCTATACCCAGAAACCAAAACAACAAAATGATTCCCACGTACCTGTTTTCTAATACCCGAATTCAAATAAAAGTCGACGCATTTGCCCAGATACAACTCGATATTATCGACCGTGACATCGGTCGAAGCGCCATTTGGAATCAATTCATGTTCAGAGTACTTAAAGACTGCTGATGGTGGATTCAAGACGAATGTCAGGTTCAGATCTTCCACCGAACATTCGATTCCATTAAACTTCAGTCTCAAATTGTTGATTTGTTTGGCCTTGTCTTCGGGTGATAAGAATTTGTCCATTCTGATTTGAGCCTTTTCCTGGCACAGTCGTTGAACAGCGCGGAGGAAGCGGGCTTTGTGGGGGTGGATTTGTTCAAGATCGTCCAAGTTCAGTAGGCCGTCTAGGGAGATGAATTCAAAGTCTGAGTCGGTTTTGCCGGCAACCTAAAAAAAATACAATTAAAATATGATAAAATAATCATTAACCCAAAAAATAATACCATTAATGCCAAAAACAAACCCATCAAGCCAAAAAGTAACATTGGTCCCAAAAACCAGCTTCATATCCCAAGAAATCAAAAAAGTATCACTAACACCACAAAACAAAGAGGTCAAGCCAAAAAGTACCATTAGTCCCAAAAACCATCCTCATATTCCAAAAAATAAAAAACAGTACCATTAACCCCAAAAAACAGTCCCATCAGACACAAATGTATCAGTAGTACCAAAAAACATTATCCAATCAAAAAATTCAAAAAAGGTAATAGTAACCACAAAAATAGCACCATTAATACCAAAAACAGTCCCATCAATCGCAAAGGTATCAATAGTCCCAAAACCCATCCTCGTACCCCAGAAATCAAAATAAGTACCATTCACCCCCAAAACAGTACCATTCATACCCAAATTATGCTGTGAAGCCCAAAGGTACCATTGGTCCCAAAAACTATCTTCCTATCCCAAAAAAAATCAAAAAAAGTATCATTAACCACAAAAACAATCCCATGCCACCAAGTATTAACCAAAAGGTCGTCTCTCATTTCAATTTTCAAAACTTTTTCAAAAACTCACCGAATCCGAAATCAGTAGCTTCAAAAACGGTAGAGACAAAGGTAAATCGACCAGTCGTCCATCTTGCAGTACTTTGGCCAAGAAGACGCCCAAGATTCGGAATAAATCAGCGATTCTCTCGGCTTCGGCGCTGTGTTGTGGTGCTGATGCTGGGAACAGTCCTCCAGCACGTCGTACATAGAATCCTGGAGGCTTTTTGCCTTCACCCAAATCCAAGGATCCTTTCTCTAGTTCCATTTGATTTTCGTCGGAATCATCGCACAGCCACATGGCCAACGATTTACGTTGGAATTCGGCCGCGACCAAAGCGTAAAACTCGAGAGTTGGGCCAAGGCCTGTGCCCTCCTCACCCAGGTATTCAATCTCCAGAATCGCCTTTCTCGCCGCGTGGAACTTCATGACTCTAGTGGCGTTGTCAAAGAGTTCGTCTCCATCCCGATGTACCTTGATTCGTTCGTGTTTTATTCGGCCGACACGGTATTCTGGGTAGTGATCTTCGCGTCGGACACCAGCTTGGTTCGATCCTGACGCTGAGGCTGATGTTCGGGCTTCCTCCAGCAGATTGTCACGACGGTTTTGAAGCCAGACAATCGCTCTGGATGTGCCAAAAGCTGTGGCGTTCATGAACATGCTTCTGAAAAAGTAAGTTTCATTAAAGTTCCAATTAAAAATAAAAACAAAAAAAAAATTTTTTTAATTATCGACTGGTCGATAAATCAAAATTCAAAATTTCCAATTATTTTAAAAAATTGCTATATAAAAAATAAGTTTAAAAGCAAAATTTGTAAAAAAAAATTTGTCGATAATTTAAAAACTCAAAATTTTCAATTATGTATTTGTTAAAATATAGCTATGTAAAAATAGGTTTGAAAACAAAAATTGTAAAAAAAAATTTATTATCGACCGGTCGATAAATCAAAACTCGAAACATCCCAAAAAATTTAAACCCACGCATCCATACACCTTCCCCAAGCCCATTTTCTCCTCAAACATACCTAGTTTCCATAGTAAACAAGCAAGAATACTTGTAGACCAGCATCTCACACCAAGTAGGTAATGCTTTGGCCGACACAATTAATGGATCCGTCAGCTCTTGAGTTAGCTTTTGGGTCAACTTATAGCTGACAAAACTGTCAGTTGAAGCATGATCCTCAGATAGCTCATGGAAGGCTTGTAGCGTGTCCAGACATTGTTTTACGATGACATTCTTTTCGCTGTTCAGATCATCAACATCGTTTTGTTTTGTCACTTCGACATGACATTCCGGGTCGGATGTGGCGTTTTGATACAGCAAAGTGTAGCTGGGTTCCCAGATCTTTCTTGGTCGGTCGTTTTTCGAGACGTAGTTGGTCAGGTTGACCAGTCGTTGGACGGCTGAGAACATGGATTCTTCTGAATCGTCCAGACGAATCGTCGCGTTTTCTACGCCGTTAATGTTTGGTCCACGAAGGTAGATTTCAAGGGGTTCGGTGTCTTTTGGTTCGGCTTGGGATGGTTTTCTGGAAATATAATAACTTAGACTTTTAAATTTCAAAACTTCAACTTTTGATTAGTAATTCAAAAAAACTTTTACCCGCCCCCCCCCCTCCAAAAAATTACCACGCGCAAAAAAAATTTTTTTTGTCAAAAACAGCCCTACTGCCAAAGTATGTTTGAAAAATATTAATAAAAGGTTTTAGCCTTCCCCCCCCCCCCTGCAAAAAAATACTCCGCCCAAAAAAAACAAAAATTTCCCCTCAAGGATTTTTATAAAATCCGCAAAAACTAAAAAAACTCCTCACCTAGCCACATCCTTGTTTCTCTGTAGCTTCACATCCTTTGGCGGTAGCTCCATATCCGACGTTTGATTGACATTATTTCTTCCTGGTCTTGGATCAAAGGCCGGAATCAAAGCATGGAATTGTCTTCTCAACACATATTCATCATCCCAGTTCCGAGTCGGTTTTCTTGAATTCCTGCCTCCAGTGTTACTTCTGTGTTGATTCGTACCCAATGCTCTTAAGCCAGCCGCATCAAGCATTGACAGTACCACATCGTGCTGAAGGCTGTTTTCTGAAGTCGATTCGGCCAACAGTCGTACCAGCTCTGATCTCAAAGGTATAGCCGTGAACTTGGAGCTTGAACTTGATGGATTTGAAGAGCTAGAGTCGGTTGAAGACGAGCCCCTGAGCAAGTTTCTCCAGTTGATTCTTAATGGTGCACTGGCGCTTGTGGTGGTGGCTGAAGTTTGTGGAGTTGTAGTTGATGGTCCTGCGGCTTCCGCGTTTTCTGGTCGTCTGAATCGGTCGACCAAGTCTGAATTGACAGATAACGGAGCGATTGAAGCCAATCGTTCCAATGTTGAGCCTTCAGTGCCTGGCAGGGAAGTGCTAAAGTCTTCTTCGCATTCTTCATCGTCGTCGGCAAACAGTTCTTCAAAGAATTCTTCCTGAAATTGAAAAAGTTACTTTAAAATTAAAAAAAAATTTTGGGCGTGGTAAAAAATTTTCGAGTGGTAGGAGCTGTCAGGGAGTGTATAAAAACATATTTATTTAAAGAAAAGTTGATAAAATTCACTTTTTCAACAAAAACCGGAAAAAAAATTCGGGCGGGGTAAAAAACTTTTTGAGAGTAAGTATAATTTTTTTTAAAAAACTCAAAAACTTTTCAAAAAACCCCTACCAAATGACTTGAAATAGCACTATCCTTCTTATTCAAGCTGCTTTCCTGAGTTGGTTCCACCGCCTGTGCCACAATGTTCTTCAACGTGCCCGAAAAGTTGCCGATCTTGCTCTTGATGCCTTGACCGATCGAAGCCAGCGTTGTTTTCGGATTATTTTCATCTTGTTGTTGTTCTTCGTCTTGAAATTCCTCTTCGAAGCCGTAGTTTTCAATGTCATCTGCTTCCATGATTTCATCTAGTGTAGCGGCGACGTAGGAGGATGACAGGCCGTATCGTTCCATTTCGTCCACGTCTTCGATGGATTGGCCATTTTTGACCATTTCCTGGTATAGATCGACAATGCCATTGTATAGTTGACGTTTTGGTTGTGCTGGGGTGGTGGCATCGGTAGCTGGGGCTTCTGGAGTAGCGGCTGGTGGGATTTCTGGTTGGTTTAGTTCGGGGGTGCTGGCGGAGAGACTGGAATAATTAAACCATCATATTAGGCTTTTAGGTTTCAAAATACTTCAAGATCATTCAATTTTAATACCTAAAAATTTCCAAACCCTTTCATACCTAAAAATAAAAAAAAATCAACCCAAAGCCTTACTTTTTGTTCTCCTCATGCGTAGCCGTACTAGCCGAGTCAATATGACTTTCTCTGCTCGAGTACTCATCCAAAGCGTCATTCTCCGGCACAACCTCTGGTATTCGGCGATCTCCATGAACTCTTGATCTTGACAACAAGTTCTCAAGAGATGGAGACTGGCGTTGAAGACATTCGGCCGATGAGGCTTGTTGAGTGGCCGAAACTGATTTTTTGCCTGGAGTAACGTCGAGTAGGTTGGTGGTTGACATTGACTTCTGATGGATTGAGTTTGGTGAGCCTTGGCTTGGTGTTGTGGGATTGTTGGCTAGGGCTGTGGCGACTGTGGCTGGGTTGAGAGCACATGATTGGGCGATTTGAATTGCGCCTGGGATCGAGGAGTTTGAGTCGGTAGAATTTACTCGCTGGGTTCGACCGAATCCCTTGGATAGTTTGGCTCGTTTGCCCTGTAAAGAATAAAATATTGTATATTTTTTGCTGCTGGTTTAAAAAACAAAAAAAATGTTTTTGATATCCACCCCCAAAAAAATATTTTTTCCCGCCCAAAAAAACATTTTTTACCTACCCTAGGGGGGTGGAGACCCAAAAAAATTATTTTTCGTTTTTTCACGTACAGGACCTACCTGTGGATTTTTTCGGATCGGCTCTGGGGGGGAGTCACCCCGAACCCCCCCCCCCCCCTCCCCCAAACGACGTCCCTGACCTTACCCAAAAAACGCTCTCTTTCACTCCGCCAACCACAGAAAAAAAATTTTACCTACCCCCCCCAACCCTAAAAACTTTTTTTTAACCCGCCCAAAAAAAATAAAAAATGAAAAACAAACGTTTTAAATTTTAGCAAAACAGGTACCCCAAATCCTTAAAGCCCTTTCCTCTCCTTAAAATTAAAAAAAAACCGCAGTTCACCCCACTTACCGGCACAGTAACCAACGGTGTTTCCTTATCTTTCCGCATTTTCTGTTCCAAACTGGCAAAGTACTTCTTTTTAGTCGAGTGTTTCTTCGGATGCACTGGGCTGAAACTGTCACCGATCGCGCTGTAAACCTTGCCATAGACTTCAAATCCACTAATCGATATGTAGTGGGTTACGGTCGATGAATTCGGACCTCGCTGACGGATTCGTAGGTATCGGACTTTAGCTGGAAGATTAAAATCTTAATAAAATTCTGTAAAAAATCGGTAAAAATGGCGTTCTATATGAAAATCGACCATAAAGAAAGAAAAAAAAACCAATACAAACATTTTTAAATTCCAACCCAAAAATTTCTTATCCACCCCAAAAAAATTTGTTATCCCGCCCAAAAAAATTCTTTTCAACCTCTTTAAAATTATTTTTAAAAAATTTTCCGAAGCCCCCCCCCCTCCACCCTAAAAAAAAAATTTTTTTACCCCGCCCAAAAATTTTTTTCTAAACTTACAAGCTGCCTCATTTTCCGGTATAAAGAACGTCGCTGTACTACCAGCATCATTCAAGGCGGTTTCATTTTCATGTTTAACCAACAAAACGTAGTTCTTTCCATCGATAGATCCTTCCAAATCCCACGTTCTCAGCGCGCTTTTACCGTACCCTCTCGAGTGTCTTAATGTATAAGCTGTGGGTGCTATCATTACTCCTAGATCCATCGTAATAGTCATATCCTTGTTATCACTTGTGTGGCAGTTCAGTGGGTTTACATCTCTGCTTAGCATGTCTTCGTAGCAGCCGTAGGGCAGCTTGCTTCCATCCGATGAGGTTATATGAAGTACGCCGACGGCGGCTGGATTGATCCATTCGCTTTGAGTTAAGGCATTTGTTCCCAGGTACCATATGAGACCATTTGTGTCGAAATCGGATTCGTATTTTAGGTCGATTGGGTCTCTGCCATCATTCTTGCCATTATTGATTTTTCGTACGAACTCCATCGATTCCCTGGGGAAGTCGTACCACATTTTAGCTACCATTCGATGTAGAAACGTTTTAACTTGTCCTACTGTTGTTAATGGTTCTGTTTTTAGTACTCTGCCAGTTCTATTCAGTAGTTCAGACTGGCTTGGGCAGGTTGTGTTGAGTTGTTCCATCGAGAACCTTAAGCGGCGGGTCAATAGTTGAAGGCCGTTCGCTGAGCCGCCTGGAGCGTCGTAGAGATGTTGCGAGAACTTTTCGACCGATTCGAGTACGTCCACAATTCTGTGCACCATCGAGCTTAATAGTACTTCGTTTTCGAAAACTGTTTTGAAGACTTGTGCTACAACACCATTACGTACCTCAAGGGCGGTTGATACAAAGGTTAATATAGCTTCGATCACTCCACTGGTTGCCAGCTCAAAGGTTGATAACAACCGTTCATTTACGACAAAATCCCTGACGGCTCTCAACTTATCGACCAGATTTTCGAAATTCGACTGGTCGGCTTGGTTTTGAGCACAAAGTTTTGTCACATCGACAAGTTCTTGTGAGGCGTTTCGAAGTTGAACAAAAATGTCTCTAGGCTTGTTTCTAGCCTCCTTAAGATGTTTGTCCCAAAGCTCTTTGGCCAATTCGTTGATTCTTTGTTTTTGGGCTTCGGTTCTGAACTTCAATCTTCGTTCTCCACCTCTCGCGGCCCAACCAGTCACAAAGTTCGAGCCCAATGTGGACTCGGCCATGAAGCTTTTGGTGCTGAATTTCGAAGTTTCGTACTGAAAACCGGGGAAATCGTCCTTGATCACGACCTTCTGTTGTCCTCCTTCCTGGTTTTTGATGATAAGTTCGTCGAATTGGGATGAACTGATGACCCAGTTGCCACTTTCGATAGTTTTTCCATTTGCCGGACTTGAGAATATTGGTTTTGGTACGACTGATACTCCGCCCATCGCGTTTCGATTCAGTTGGAATTTGCGGATGAAATCGGAACGGGTTTCCGCGTTGTCTGGGCCGGTCTCGGGCACTCCACTACTGTACATTGTGCTGAGTTTGCCGTCGAGGAAGAAGCGAAGCCATCCGTTTGAGGCGTCACTGAAATAGAATGAGATCAAATTTTTCCCAACAACAAGATCAGATAGAGCATAATATTGTAGTCAAAGACTAAAAAAGGTAAAATACGCCCGGTTGACAGATAATATCAAACTTTTTTTGAAAATATAAAAATTTTGAAAAAATTCCAAAACCATCCACCTTTACCTCAACTCAATCGCCACAGCATCGCACCAAACATAAAGCGAATCTGTAGATCTCATCAGTCTCCAATCGTTCCATTTGTAGAGCACTTTCACTTCCAGAACCCAGCTATCGTTACCTTCTTTTTCGGTCTTCTTCTTCTCAACTTCTTGGCCGTTCTCTGGTGTTGGTGATGGGGTTTGGCTTTGTAGGAACTCTTCTTCGCTTTGTACCGGGATGTTCAACATTTTCTGCCGTTCGGCTTGAGTTGAGTCGGACCGTGCTTGGGACTCTGATCTTGTTTGAGCTGAATCTGATCGTGCTTGAACTGAATCTGACCGTGCTTGAGATTCAGACCGTGCCGGCGTGCCCGAATGTGATCTTTGAATTCCGGTTGAGCTTGAAGCCCATGAAGAATCATTTCCATCATCCGTAGTCTTCTTTACGTCATTTAGAATCGATCTGACCTCGTTGATCTGATTTTTGACCTTGTTGATCTCTGACGTAACATCTTGATGTAAAATTGATCCTGAATCCATTCCGTTTGTCCCTTTAGAGCTTGTAGCAGCTTCTGTACCCATAACAAGGTTATTACTAGATTCAGCCGCCAAAACTGATGTAACTTCTCGATTAGCCAGTTGTTCGACCCTTTCGACCACACCAAGACGTACCAGTTCATCTACCCAAAACTCAGGATTCTTCTCTAAAACTGACAGTAGAATCTTCAAGGCATATTCGTGTCCTTCAGTGTTATCTTCTTCGTTCAGTACCATAACCAAGACTTTAGTTAATCCATCGACAAATGCTCCATCATCGCCTTCTGTGGTGAATTTACCTTGAACAAGTTCGTCAAAAGCTTCAGCCGAACAGTTTTGAACACATTTCCCAATCAAGCCTAAGGCCGCTTTCTTCACTGAAGATACCATAGAGTTTAGGCAGACATGGCAGAAGACTGGGATGAGTCTTTGAATGACTTTTCGACTCAAAGTTTGGTCGATTTGGGTTTGTTCTGAGTTGGTTTCCTCAACTTCGATTGGCTCTGGCTTTGTGGCTCGTTCTTCTTGGCTTGCCATGTAGCTTGAAGGACTTTCGAGGATTTGGATGACTTGTTGATGTGAATCATCGGCACGTTCTCGAGCTTTGTCCAATGCTGTTCGACCTTCCTCATCCCTGAGTTCCGGGTTCGCACCGTTGCGGAGGAGGGCTGTTACAATCTGTAAAGGATCATCATTAGACTTGAAGTTAAGCAGTATAATTTATATCAGTTTTTAAAGAAAAAATGAATATTACAGTACATAATAAAATAAAAATCCCGCTCAAAATCTCAATTTTTCTCTTGCTATCAATAATATACAAAGCTCCTCAACTTTCAAAAACCTACATCAACACGTCCAAAACAAGCTGCGTAATGCAAAGATGAGGACCTTTGACCTCTGTTAACATCAGCACCTTTGTCACAAAGGTATTGTACCATGTCCAACGTGCCAAACGCAGCACACCAGTTCAACAAGGTTTGACCTGCGTCGTCTGTGAAGTTTGGGTCCACCTGAATGTAAGACAATATAAAGAGCCTTCAAATTAGCAAAAAACGTTACAGTACATAGTAGTCTTGCTATTCTACTAAATTTCAAGTTTTCTAACGCGCCATTCTTTTTGCATCAACTAAAAAAAGCAAAAAAGTTCAAAAGTTTGCTTTTTCTTCAATCTTCTGTCGTTTTTTTCAAGTTTTTAAGCTGTAAAATGCGCCGTTCTTTTCGCATCACCAAAAAAATATTTCGCGAGGTACTTGTGAATCTCCTAAACACAAAAAAAATCAAAAAGTTCAAAAAAACCTACACTTCCATGTTCAAATGCATCAATAAGTGCGTCTGTGTCTCGTTGCCTGATAGCGTCGATCAAGAATCGATGACTTTTGTCATAGGAAGAGCTGCCGGATAGACTGTCACTCGAGCTGATTCCACTTCCTCGAGGTAGCGAAGCACGACCTTCACACATCAACAAAACCAGCAAATCGACCAGTCGAAGAGCGTCTAGAACACAACGTTCGTCTTTGCTTGAACAAATGTTCTTCATTGCTGGGACGAGCTTTTCTGAGCTGAAAATGAAAGTTTAGGTACTTTATATTAATGTTAATAGCGGAATTCTGAAGTTTTTTCAATTTTTCGTTTTGTAAAGAAAGTTTTTGCCATTTTTTGTTTTGGAAAGAAAGTTTTTGTCATTTTTTGTTTTGGAAAGAAGGTTCTTGCCCTTCAGTATTTTGTAAAGAAAGTTTTTACCATGTTTTTCCAACCAACCACCAAAATCTACCTTATAACCTGTGTTGTGACCTTATGTGATCCTCTGCATAAGTTGCTCAACAAACTCAAAACAATCGAAATGAAGGAGATACTCTTATTCGTGCTCATTCCCTCAGCACCCGTACTTGTAGGCATTAGTGCATTCAGTAAATGTTCAATCAGGTTCGAAGGCTCTGTCAGTTCAGTCGGATCAATGTTCTTTCGAATAAATCTGTCTGTTAAGGCCGCGAAACATCTTAACGCACTTTCGGCCACCTTCAAGTCTTCATGAGTCAATAATTTACCCAAATCGGCAGCACAATCCTTGAGGTTGTTGTCATTGGGCTCCACTCGACTGCACAAACGTTGAACCACAGACATTGCCGAGTATAAGGTGTCTTTGTGAATAACACTTCCATTGTTTCCAACCAATATTAACATTGATTGAAGACCTCCGGCTTCGTAGACAGCTGGAGTTTCTCGTTGACAAACACTTTCAAGTAGCTTCACACATTGTTCAGCTAGGTCTTTGGAGGTACGATCAGTCATGTCGGCCAAGGTTAGGCGATGACATATCGCTTTTACTGCACCTTCAACTTGTGTGATACGACGAGTACATTCGTTGGAAACGTCCAGGTAGTATGTTATTGCTCTTGCTGTGACCTACAAACAAAAAAATTTTAAAAACGTAGGTTTAGAAGCTTATTTTTAAATCAAAACCTTTTTCTTCTTTTTTGAAACTGAACCTCTATATAAAAAATCATTTTAGAAGCTTTTTCAAAAAAAATATATTATCCATGACCTTTGCTCTTCAAAACCTCAAAATCCAGCTGTCAAACCTAAAATCACAAACAAAAACTAAAATAGTTACCTCCAAAACATTCTCCGGCGCCGTTTCATCAACAAATATACGACATAAAGCTGGAATAAACGAGCGAGGCGGACAACTTTCGAAACACCGGTCAATGTTGTCGGACATCAACAGTAACATGCACAACTGTTCCAATGCCATTAATTGCAAATCCCGTTCTTCCCCGGCACCCGTCTGTAGCCATTCTAAAAGGGTATCGGGGTCGATACCCTCCATTTTGTGATCTTCTGAAAATAATAAGTTGTAGAAGTGATGTTATCCATGTTAAGGTTAAATTTTAGGAATTATAACACGAACTTGCAGTTATTTATAGTTTGAATGTGTTAACAAGACTTTAATTTGTGTTTAAAAAAGCAGTATAAATAGAGTTTCGTCCCAACAGACCAATCTTCATTGAAAAATATCAAAAGCAATGTTAATATGGTTGCCAAGATACTTTAATTTGTAACTCATTTAAAACTCAAACTGAACTACCAAAAATTTTCTTGAATCTCAAAAAAACCATTACCTCACTGATCTCGAAAGATCTCCCTCGCTTATAAAGCTGAATTTTGTTTTTCGATAAATTTATGTTACACTACCCACAAGATGTACTTCAATGTGCAGCTCAATTAAAACTGAATATGACATCCAAAAATCTCTTGTAAATCTCGGTAATGATAATATCTTACTCATCTTAAAAAATATTTCCCGTTTCTTAAAGGAAAATCTTGTTTTCGACGGATGTTATATTACACTACCTAAAATTCCTCAAACTTACCAAAAAAATCCTCAAACTTTAGGATTTTTCCACTTTTTTTCAAAGATTTAGATACTTTACCTCCTCAAAACCACTAAATATTATGAGGAAAAGTGAGAAACCACATTAAAAACCGCAGTTTGACTCGAAACTACCCCGAAATTTTGGGGCGAGGAAACCAGGTTGGGTCGAAATGCGACAAAGTTATTGAAAATATTCTTCCGGCGGGAAAAGTCGGAAATTAGTCGAGAAAAACTATACAAAGACCCTTGAGTATTTGAATAAAAAGTGCCTGCAAAGACGGGGAGAAGCGAATGTTTGAACAAGAGCGAGAATAAAATTCGAGAAAATTTCGAAAAAAACAAAACCATGATTTGTGCAGAAAATGCGTCATTTTGAGGTTTTTTTGCAGCAATTCATATACAAATTAACAAAATAAATATTTTTATTAAAGATTTCTTTAAAATTGACTATGAATACATCTAATTTATTAAAATTCCAAGAAACGTAAGCTTATGTTATAATGACAACTTTTGTAGAATTTAAACAGCGCAGTGGTTTTTCCAAAAAATACGTCACCGTAAGTTAATAAAAATACCACAAAATTCTTAGAATGTTAATTTCAACAATACAAGCTGGCATGTAAGGGATAATTCAACGAATTCCGGCCAAATTTCGCTATAAAGCCAAGTATAATATCGGACTAAAATACAAAGTATAAATAGTTTTGAAATATGGTAAATCGTTATCAGTTCGACGTGTTTTTTGCGGTAAAAGGTCGCTGAATAAGACAAAAATAGTCTTTTTACGAAAGCAAATAACCTTATCAAAATATCCACAGTGGGGACCAAGTTGAATATTTTTAAAATTTTTTTGGGGAGGGGAGGGGTAATTTAAAAAAATTGAAGATTATGATAAAACAAGTCGTGCTAAGCCCCAAAGATGCAATTTATCCTCCAAAAAAGCTCATTACAGCTTCCAAAGATAAGTTAAGGTCCAAAAAACAATATTTTAAGCCCAAAAACCGGCCGCTGCGGACCAAAAATCTGGCTTTAAGCCCCAATAACAAGATCCCCATAGCTCCAATAACAATCTTTAAGGGCTCTTGAATTAGAATCCCGTTCTACATGACTAAAAATGACGTAATGAGAGAGTACGAGAGTTATTCAGCCGGTCGAAGGAAAAAAGAAATGTATAAGAATGGGGGGAAATCGAGTGAACATACGACGAGAGAGTGTGGTAGACAGAGAGAGTGGGCTAGATTGGCGGTTGAATGGGGTTAGACGGGTGGAGAAGAGCTTGAACGGGTGGAGAAGAGCTTAGACGAGTGGAGAAACGCCATTTGCCCCAGGGTTTCGAGCTTTTTCCCCCGGTTTTTGGGTCGAGAAGAAAACAGAGGGGGCTCTTTTAATAACTTCACGTGATATCACAATGATGTTACCTCGCTCATAGTGGTATATGTTGCCTTATCGGCCAGTACAATGGGTTGGCGGGGTAGGGGGCCATTATGTTAACATAAGAAAGTGAAGCAAATTGCTATTATTTTGGACTGGGCGGGTAAAATGGTCATTATATTATGCGGGCGGGGTAAAAAAACATTTTTAATAAAATTAGGGGAGGAATACGGGTAAAGGTAGGGGCTATAGACAGGGCTGAGGCTAGGGCTGAGGCTAGGGCTCAAGCTAGGACTAGATCTAGGGCTGAAGATAAGGCTAATGCTAGAGCTGAGGCTAAGACCGAAGTATCAAAAATGCTTTAAAACAACGTTAAAAATGAAAAAAAGTCCTTCAAAGAACATTGTAGTCAATGATAAGATGCTCATCGCTCAATATTAAAAATTATATTGTAATATTTAGTTTGTCAACTATAACTTAAGTAATCAAAACAAATTGTAATAAAAAACATCAAAGAAAACACATACCAGAAATTGAAAATTTTGCAAATTTCAAATTTTTACAAATTTCGAAAAATTTAAAAAATTTTTTAAAATTTTAAAATTTCAAAAACATCAAAAATTAATGACTGTCACGACGTTATTACTACAATAAGGAAGAGAGGGTTGTAATAACATTCGTTTTCCTTCCAGGAACATAAAAATAATTAAATTTTGAGTATGAACAATGACGGAAAACAAGCAAAAATAAGTCATTTCACATTTCGAATAGTCCTCGTGCCCTTTCCTCCATCCTATGCACTTTGTTTTTCAAAATCTCTATGACCTGAGCATTACTTTTTTGATGATTTTAAAGCTCGCCACCTCCCCAAACTTTACGATACCCTGCCTTACAATGCCCTACTCTATCTTATCATTAGCGACCCTACCCTACTTTATCCTACCTAGACACAAAAAAACGGCCGGCCTTGATCCACATTTAGGTTGGATCGAACCGAAAAGCCCAGCCCGTTCGCATGTAAAAAATAATTCAACTCAGGCCGGGCCAAAAAGTGGGTCCGGCCCGTTCCTCGTGCCTACACCCAACCCAGCTCTACACTGTAAAATTACATACGTGTAAAAAACTTTATTCCAGCAAAATCCGAGCATAAAACAGACATAATCGCATTACAAAAAGCGATAATATATTAGAGTTATGAGATTGTTGTAACATTAATATAATCATGGCTAATTCACAACACTCATAGAATACGCTAAAACATGATTTTTAAACATCAAAAATAGATTTTCTAGTGATGCTATGAACTTTTTGACCACAAAAAAATCATTTGATATACTTACCCTATCCAGTCCTACCATGCCTTGCCTTGTCCTACCCTATTTTGCCCTATCATACTCTACCCTACCATACAATACCCTTCCCAACCCACCCTTGTAACAACAGTTATCACGCATATTTACCACGAATTTATCCTTCGTATTTCCATTCTTAATTCAATTGCATCTTAACAATGGCTCGGCCCTTTCGTGTTCAAGACATAAACAACATCAGATTAAAAGGAAAAAAGTCCTGGAGAATGCCTCGGCATTATTTTCTTTTATTTTGTTTTTATGTCGAGAAAACAAGCGATCGCGGCCGTTAGGGGGGAAAGAAGGCCGCGACCTCGTTTTGAAACAAATAAAAACAAATTGAGATTGACGTGATTTGGAAAGAAATGCGGATTAATTACATTTTCATATACATATACACACATAGTACACAAAAAAAGCATAAGAATGTAGGCTTAGACTTATTAGGCTTGAACTTAGTAAGCTTAAGCTTAGTAAGTTTAGACATATTTAAGCTTGGGCTAATTTGGGTTAATTTGAGTATGCGTAGGCTTAGTAGGCCTAAACCTAGTAGGCTTCAGATGCCTATATATATGTCTAGTCTAAAATTTATTGTCGTCCGGTCGGCAAAAAAAATAAGGAAATGTTGCGCAACACGATTTCTTGCAATTTCTCTAAGGCTATCTAGTTATATCAACAATATTAGATAACAACGCAAAAGTAGACGTAACACTAGAATAATAGAAGCACCAATATACTTAATAATTAACAGTGCTAAGACGGCCCTAAGGCTAGAGCAGAAACTCGGTCAGGTGCTAGAGGAAGAGCTTGAGCAAGAATTAGGGCTAGTACTAAGGCAAGGGCTAAAGCTAAGGCTACGGCATTGCTAGAACAATATTAGGTTGAACCAAAAGTAGCGGGACACTTTTTAGTTGAAAAATAAATGGACAGTGCCCCGCTACTTTTGGTTCAACCTAATAGTTACAGCTAGAACAAGGGCTATAGGTCAGGTTCTAAAGCAAATCCTTGACAAGGATTAGAGCAATTGCTAAAGCAAAGGCTAGGGTTAAAGTTACAGCAATATTCGTTGCAAAGACAGAACCATAACTATAGAGTATAGGCTACAGTTATAATAAGGTATTCTCCAAAACTAAAGTAATAAATAATAAGGTACCTTCCAAAAACATTCACGTAAACCTAACCCACACCGTTGTTAAGTTAATTCGCGTACTTTCTAATCAAATTAAGCCTCGAAATTAACGAAAAGATTCTCACAAACAAAAGCAAGCCTTCTTATTTCATCTACACAATCATAACATTCAAGTAGCTTTATCTGTTTTGCTTTAAAAATATTTTGAATTACTGTACTTTCCACTTACACTATTTATTACCCTACTGCCAATTTCAAAATCACTATAGTAAAAACTGTTGCGCAAGCGTGAATCACTTAATGAGTTAGCCGGTTTTTAATTCTTACGCCTAATTTTACTCAATTTTTAAAACGACTACTTTAAATTTAAAAAACCATGATAGGGTATAGTTATTATACTGTTATAAGGTGTCATATATTGCTAATCACATTAATTTTTTTTAAAGTGGCTGCTGAAGAATCAGGAATCAAACCAGCTGGACTATCGTTTCGAACAAAACGTAAAGTTTTATTTACTTTTATTATCCTTAGCTAGGGTAGATCATAGAGAGCAGTATAGAGTAGATTAAAATACAACAGGGAATGACACATACAGTGTGATAGAATAAGATAACCGGCTAGATATGTTAAATCAAAAGTATAAAAAAGCTTTCAGATGGTGACATAATATCATTTCTCAACCTCAAAGCTCATTTCACGTCGCCAGACACGGTAACCGACGAAGATGACAGTTACGAAGAAGACATGGACTTTTACGACCAAGGACAACCCTTTAGCTACAAAGATGGAAAAGGTAATTTTTACATTTTTAAAGTTTATTCTTCTTTTAGGTTGTAAAGGTACAACAAGGTAAAATGAAAAATGACTTTTAGGCGTATTTTAGAAGACTTAACATCATTTTTTTATTTCAAAATTCCAGATAAAAAGACCAAGTACCGTTTCGATGCCTACATCAAGCAAATCCGCAAAAGGCCAGGCTACGATAGCGATACTCGTACCTCGTCGGAAGTCAAATTCGACAAAGAACTAGATGAAGAAATGGCAGAAGAAGACTTTGATGACAATTTTGAAGAAGATATTTCAATTAAAATTCTAGAAGATGATGAAGGAGGTGCTTTTGCTGAAGACAGTGATGAGTTAACCGAAGTTGAACTTGAAGACGAAAACTATGTTGATAGTGGTAATGGCACTATGACAAAGAGTAAGGTTAAAGGTAGAAAAGGTAGTAAGAGCAGGAAGAAATGGAAGATAAAGCAGGAGAAAGAAAAGATGGAGAAAATGAAAGTGGATCAGAAGACAACAAGTAAGATAAACGTCCACTTACTACCTACGATAAAGAAATATAAGTAATTTTTGTCCTTTTAGCTACAGAGATCATACCAACAAACGTAACATCCAACATGTCCTTAATAGAAGAGTTAGAAGAAGAGATGATGACTACTACAGTAAATCCTGAAGACGATCGTATCATGAGTTTCTTTGGAATGTTTTTTGAAGAATCTGAAGAAGAAGAAGGCCGAGAAGCTTGTAAGTGTAATAATCATGCCCTACTTTGTCTTATTTTGCCTTACCATACCCTGACTGACTTTATCGTGCCTTACCACAAACTGCCTTACCATACCCTACCTATTCGTTCCGTACTCTATCCTACTCTACCCTACCGTGCCAAACTCTACCATCACCTGACGTACTTACCGTACCCTGCTTTGGTCTACTTTACCTTATTTTGCCTTTCTATACCCTGCCTAACCTTGCCCTACTTTACCATTCCCTACCTTATCGTGTCGTACCTTGACCTACCCATACCTAATACAAGACCCTCGTTTCAGTAAATGAAACAGTAGTAAAAGAGCACTGGGTTCTAGCGGCCGAAGAGATTCTACACACAGATTCGTTAGGCCGTTCAGAAGAAGAACTACGTGAAATGCTAACCGAGCCAGAACACCTAGAACAAACTTTTGGACAAGCTCATCGTGATCACGGTGCCAGTTATCTACTGCCTATCTTGAAAACTGTCCAATACGATAACAATAGCGTTCCTGTAGTTTTTCCCGGTGGGTCTTAACTAAAGGTTACTTTATAGACTTTAAACTCAAAGCTTGCATTTTCTGCACCAGTATACCTAATGTTTCGTTTCAAATACTTCACAATCCCTCAAAAACCCAACTCTAACCTAAAACCCTTTCAGACATCCCAGTCCACGTCCGTGTAGCTCTAAACGTTATTCAACTAGGCAACTTCGACAGTCAGAACATGGAATACTCCATCGACCTGGAAATGCACATGACCTGGTACGATGTTCGGCTAGCCAACAACTATTCGAAACCTATCAGGATTCGTGAAAAAGAGATTCTGGATTTAGTTTGGAGGCCAGATCCTTACTTTGTCAACTCCAAATACAGTTATTTTCATATCGTTTCGTTTCCCAACTTCCGGATGCGTGTTATGCCAACCGGTTTAGTGTTTTACACCCTGAGGGCTACGCTTTTACCGGTATGTTTAATGACATTCTGTCGGCATCCCCACGATCATCAACAGTGTGACTTGAAGATTAGTTCGAGTAGGTTTATTTTTGGAAATTTGGAGTTTTTATCGTTGTCTTCTTATATCTGATACATGATTTTCGTTTCAGTAGCATATCCACGATCATTTGTGAGCTTCAGTTGGCATTCGAACGCAGTAGAATATAACAGTAAAGTTACGTTACCTGAGCTTCGTATCAAGAGTTTAGACACTGAAACATGCAAAGTCGAAGGAAAATTGGGTAAGTGGATTTTGTTATTTAAAATGCTCGTACTTGACCAACTGTTACCTAAAATCCTAAAAATCAAAAAAACTTGCATTGGTAGTATATAAGATATTCATCACGAGGTTAAAATTTTCATCAATGATAAACTTGTTGGCCGTATTACGATCAATGATTAAATTAACATCAAAATGTTGATCAGACTTTATGTTACGGTCAATGTTCCCATCAATTTTCATATTAACATCCAAATTTCGATCAGCAACCATACTGACCTCTATATTATAGTAGCCTCATCCTGCCTTCGCCTAAAGATCAGCCTCGAACGCGATGGAGCGCGCTATATTGTCGAAAAATACATACCCAGCACATTGGCCATGATGTTCGCTTGGGTAGCGCCATACGTACCCTATAACTACGAAGATGTTCGTATTATCACACCAATCACAGTATTATTGACATTGGTTCAAATGGAGAAAGGTGATGCTGAAGTACACACGTCTTATCTGACTTCTATGGACATTTGGTTTGTTGCTATGAAGACTTTCAGTGTTTTGTCATTGGTCGAGAGCTTGATTGTGTTGGCTTTAATTAAACAAAGTCGCGGAATGGTAGGTTTATATCGTTTTTGGGCTGAAAAGTGGTCAAAACATCCAGTTAGGTTTTAAAAACTTACATTTTGGAGTTCTTCTGATCATGTTTTTCAATGTTAAGACATAAAAACATTAAAATCAGCAAAATCATGCTGAAAATGTCAAGAAAAGACCTAAAACAGACCTCTTTTTCATTGTTTTACCACTTTCAAAGCTCTAAATCGCCTTTTTTAATCCAAAAATAATATCAATAGACCTTAACTCTTTATTTTTAGAAAAAAGAAATGATCAGAGCACCAAATGAGTACGAGAGGGAAAAGTTCAAGGTTCAGAAGCGTCGCCTAACTCAACTTTATCATCGCCTAGATGCTACAGCTCGTTTCCTATCTCCAATTGCATTCTTATTCTTCTTCGTTTACTATGTACTTTATGTTACCCAACGTGATGAGAAAACGTGTCTAGGACAGTCGATATTCGACCTGCCTTGACATGTTGTTCTAGGTAATGGATACCTCGATAAATTCTTGTATTTCTTACCAAACAAATCAAATTATTTTAAGAAATGTTATGATAATTGAACTAAAATAAATAAAAATTCATAAAACCCTCAAAGTAATAACAAAATCCACAAAACACACAAATATTAAGAAAAGACAATCAATACCTCTTTACTCCAACAAAATTTTTAAAATGTTTTATTGGTTAAAATCAAAAAACATTGTTCTCCTCAAAAATAAGCCTAAACATAGGAGATAATCTAGTGGGAACGAGCCAAACGAGCGGCACGGTGCTCTTCCAAAGCGGCTTGAGTTTCTGGCGACAACTCATTGTCTGGTTTGGGACGAAGCGAGTCCAATCTGAACATGACATAGGTTGGATAAGAGAGGAAAGTGACGGCGATGAACAAGTAGGTACCAACCTTCTCCTGAAAATATAACATTAAAACCAAAAATATAAAATTTAAAATTTGGTAAAATTAGAGGTGCGATAAACCTACTATAACTTAAAATGTTTTTAAAATCTCTATATTTTGTTTAAAAGTAAAGGTCAAAAAATAAATAAGCTACTAACACCTAACACTTCAAGCCTCTAACTATTTATTTAAAAAAGTTACGATAATATTCAAAAAAATTCTGGTTAAAGTTAGTATACCTAAAACAACATGACATAACACAAAAACGTTTCCTCACTAAAACCTTAAATGGCGTTTAAAACATAGCGAGCACTTTGATAAGTCTAATAAATACTGTCATCATCAGTTAAATTTCTTTTAAAACCCACAACCCTCAAAAGCACTAAGTATACTAACAATGTAATAACTTTTAGTAGAAGAGAAAATTATTAAAATTTAAAGCAACAAAAGCCATCACTACGGTTCACTATAAATTTCTCCTTTGTTAATACCTAAAACACCAAACAAACATTAACCAAAAACTTACTGAGAGACTAATGTATCTCATTGGTGGAGCACCTTCAACACCCTTGTGAAGAGAGCGCATAACAGCGACTTGATTAGCACGTCTGGTCAAACCGAGCAAGTTCTTGGCGAGCATCTTGGTTCTGCAAAACATATACGTTTTTATGTATAATAATCAGTATTTCGACTGATAAAACTTTCAAAAACCGAGTATTACACTGCGTGACAAAATGCATCAAAACTATAGAAAAAATCAACAAAAATACTTTAAAAATGACGATATATGTTACTAAAGTAATCATAAAACGTACTAAACACAGAAATAACCGTAAAATATATAAAATGTTACCAAAATATTAAAAAATAATTTACGTGCAATTCCGACCTCGAGAAAGAGCGTTGGCGAAACGTTTTAGAAATCTATTTGCAGATATTTGTTTTCGTGCCGGGACCAAATTAACCTTACACTGTATCGCTGAACTTTCATCTTTTGAACATTTTCAGGATTTATACAAACAAAATTGCTATCAAAAATGAAAAAAATTAATTTTTTAATTGTAAAAACTCATTTTACATGCATTAAAATTAACTGACTGGTCGATGTTGCGTTCCTTGATAACTCGCCCGAAATTTCAGGTTTTGGGCCGGTTTTCGAGTGAACCACCAAAAGCTGCACCACCTCACGATGTGTTTTGTGATCCCGAGAATCCACAAGTGCTTCAATTTGGGCAAATTTCATCGGCCGCTTTCTCGATTCGAGATGGGATCATGAAGACTGAGTGTCGACATTCGTATCGCTTCTCGAAGTACCTTGACATGGAGTTGTTTTTGAAAATGGAGTTGAATCAGGTTACTGGAAGCTTCAAGGTACGTTTTGAATAGATTTGTGTTTTAAAATGATTTTTAATCAAAAAACGTTGATTTTTTGGCCTAAAAATTGAATTTTTCATGAGTTTTAATGAAAAAAGTTATCATAACAAAGCTTAATCCTCCTAAAATTTTACCTACTAGTTCTTCATACCATTCTTTACCAATTTTATTATCTAATTGCCCCTAATCTATTCTATTTTACAGGAACGAGGAGCTCGAAGTGCACTGTTACGTCTGACCGATGAACAACGTAAAGCTGGCGTTTGGGCCGCTTCTGCTGGAAACCATGCCTTGGCATTGTGTTATCATGGTGGTCAATTGAACGTGCCCATCAATGTTGTCATGCCTAGATATGCACCTTTGGCCAAGATTGACTTTTGCTCAAAATTAGGGGCAAACATCATGGTTCAAGTGGGTTTTTTGATCTATCCTTGTGACATTTTAAACTATAGCTCTAAAATGAATGCTGGAACCAGCTTTTATTTTTTACAGTAGTATTTGCAGTATCTCAGTGATGTTATGACAAATTTTCAGGGTAAAGACATATCAGTATCGCGAGAAATTGCGTTAGAAAAGGCAGCGGCCGACCCGAATGCTGTGTATATCAATGGATACGATCATATTGATATCCTGGCGGGAGCTGGAACAGTTGGACTAGAAATTATGGACCAAGTCAGGCATCTGGATGCCATTGTGATTCCAGTTGGCGGGGGTGGACTGATCGCGGGCATGGCAGTGGCAATCAAAACTTTGTTTCCAGACATTTTGGTGATTGGCGTTGAGGCCGAGGAGTGTCCTAGCTTTTCGGTATGGAAACTTTTTATGACTTCTTTGTAATTTTTGAATTTCAAAAGATTAAAAATTTTAATTTTTTAAAAATTTGAAAATTTCAGAACGCCTTAAAGCAAGGTAAAGCTGTCTACACGGCTTCACATCCAACTCTGGCCGATGGCTTGGCCGTTCCCACTGTTGGAGTTAATGCCTACGCGTCGGCAAAGGGTTTGGTAGACAAGATTGTTACAGTAAGTGAGCAAAACATTGCATTGGCCATTTTGCGACTAGTCGAATGGGAAAAAGTCATCACGGAAGGCGCTGGGGCTACTTGTGTAGCTGCACTTTTAAGTGGTCAGTTTTTTGGTTTGTAAAGAAAGTTCTTGCAATTTTTTGTTTTGTAAAGAAAGTTATTGCCATTTTTTAGTTTGTAACTAAAATTCTTGCCATTTTTTGTTTTGTAAAGACAATTAAAACTCATTAACAGTTATTAAATGATGTTATTCTTCAGATACCCTACCCGAACTCAAAGGAAAGCGTGTAGCGTGCGTGTTGTCGGGCGGTAACATCGATTCGACCGCTTTGGGGGTTGTCATTGAACGGGGTAAATCAGCCTACCAAAAAATTTATAAAAAATTAAACATTTTTTAAACACCCCCTCTTCCAGGCATGGTAACCGACATCCGTCTGTGCAGTTGCAATGTTGTAGTATCGGACCGGCCTGGTGGTGTGGCCGAATTGGCCGGCATTATCGGCCAATGTGGTGGCAGTATCAAGAGCATGTACATGGATCGGACTTGGCTACGACAAAACGTGTTTTCGGTCATGGTTAAGGTCACGGTGGAGACGAGGAACGCCAAGCACGCCGATGAAATCAAACAAGCGCTGAAGCAACGGTACGAAGATGTAGATTTTAAACTGGGTGTCAATGTAAAGTAGAGTAAAAACTGATTTTTCGAGATTAAACACTGATTTGGGCATAAATGCTGATTTTTAGCAATTATATTGTTTTAGAGGTTTAAGTCCGACTTTTTAAAGGTTCTTTTTCAATTAACTAGAGCCAAATAACAGAAAATACCTTATAGTAAAAAAACCAGAAAAACGTTGCCTTAAAAGTCCTTTTTACACAAAATTTTTAAAGAAGTTATATTATCCATGATAACTTTGAAAAAATTTATATTATCATTGAGTTTTGCTTATGACTTTTTTATAAAAAAAGATTCTACATTCAATTAGCTTTAAAGTGAGCTATAATAAACCAATTTAGCACAAAACCAATCGTGAAACATCAAAAACTCTATACCCATATCAAGTTTTACATACTACAATGTAACTTTTGCCCTTAACTTGCCTAGACCTTGCTCTTTCCAAAATTTCTTTTATATATGAAAAGCAAATATGATAACCTAACGTTATAAACAATATAAACTTTATTACCATTGAATACCGCTCTAAACGTCTAAAAAGCATGTGAACCGGATAATATGGGCAATTTTCGTCCATGAGACCTTAAACCAAGTGAAAACGGGTGAATTTGGAACAAATTTGTATTATGTCGCGACATCTTTAGTTACTATGCGAGTTATAATGAGATCACTCAAGCTTTCGGCCGCCAATTTTGGATCAGACAGCTTGTAGATCTATAAATTAGTTCATTTATGTCTATATCGATATTTTAATCAATTCTAATCCGAATTTACTTAGGTTTTGATTTGCAATACCTTCACAAGACCCTAAATATCAAAAACAAAAGAATTATAAAGCCACATACCTTTTTAATTTTGTGTAGGCTAGCAAACTCCTGAATACGATCTATGCCGACGGCTTCTCCTTTAATCTTTTTGGCCAGTTTTACCATTTTAGAGCCTTTGACATCGTCGAAAAGCGCTACAATAAGGCTCTTACTATCCTCACCAATACCAAAAGTATTTAGAGATTCTGATATCTGAAATAATTTGGGCTGTACGTCAATTTCTATTGTTTTATTTACTCACGACAAGACTTTCGGCTCTAAAAACAGACTTGATTGTAGAACAACTTACGTTTCTTGTAGGGGATAAAGAATAGATTAGTTCTGCTGATAACGACCTTGTAAACATTCTATTGTGAGCTGATTGATGTACAGCACGGTTTGCGGCCGCCAGAAGGATAAATGGCTCGAGGATCTAAAAAGTGATGGTTAACATAAAATAAATCGCCATAACTTTGGTCCTATTCCAGTTATGCCTACAAAACTTCACCTAAACATCAAGAAAAAACTAATAAAGACTTACAAGTTCAGCTCTTATCATAGCGGCATCAATTTGGCCACTCCTGAGCAAATCCCTTAGCTCGACGGCATTCTTCACGTCCTTGAAGACACAAATCCTTACAGATCGTCTTTGAGTGACATCATACGGGTCGGGTTGAAGCTCAAAAAGCCGTGAGATACCTGACTTCATTCTGTACAAAGCTCTAAAATGCGAAATTACATCCATGGGCTTCAGAATCCACAAATACGTTCACGTTTTTTCAAAAATTTCGGCCGTTTCACGCTTTTTCAACGGAAATCCGCCTCGAAACCAAAATAAATTGCCTTTGGCCGTTTAGAAAACGTTTTCTTTTCAAAATATGAACGTAAAGTTATAATTTATGGCTTGGATTCAGGCCCGAATACTAAAGTTTATGAGAAAAAAGGGATTCTTCGGAAATAAACGATTCCCTCCTTATGTGTAATATAATTCATGTCTTGCGTGAGTTAAAGAGGAAACGGAACGTCGAAAATAAACAAAAAACATGATGAACTTTTAGAATTTCAGTCGGCTTCGTTTTTTTTTCTTTTCGAGCTACAAAAATAAATAAAAAATGCAAAACGAAGTGTCACATCGATACATTTTGTGGCTTTTAGTTGTTTTTGAAAGATTACTGCCTGTAAGTGATAAAACACACAAATATGTGATGATAATTAGTAAAAAAAGTTCATAATTATATAATCAAACATTTTTTATTATACTTTAACAAATTTTAAACTTTCAAATGTTTAAAATTTCAAATTTTATCAAAACCAACAATTTTTAAAATTTTATTACAACTTTATGTATTCCATCAAATTCTACACAATTTTTGACCTACAAAATAGTAAAACGTGTATTTTCACGTAGTATAAGTTTTGCGCATGATAGTCAATCACGAAAGTTATCATAACATGTGCTTTCGAAAAAAGTGATCAGTGATAGTTACATCGCTGATAGTATTTTGTGATTACTGTGTGCTTTTTGATTTCATTTTCAAAACATTCATGATTCGCGGCCCGCTGGTGGAGTTTGAAACGTCGGTCCGAGCCAAAAAAAGTTTTTTTTTTCAGGCCGGGCCAGACTTGAGAAAAAATGGAAACAGACCGGCCTAAAAATTGTGCTCCGGGAGTGGTTCGAGCCTCAAAAGTTGTACTAGAGGTTGGGTAGGATCCCCGTACTTAATTTAAAAAACTATTTTTTGTTTTAAATATCTGTTTAGGTTTTGTCATAAACTCTTCCCAAGTAAATCACAAACTCTTTACTGATCTCTCCCGCTGACCTCCAAGTACGTTCCCCCATCTTATGACAAATGAATTTGCAACTCCAAAGTTTACCGTAATTTATGTTTTTTTACAACGTACAGCGGTGTTAAGGATTGAGTGTTTTTTGCGTGCAAAAGATAAATGCTATAAATACTCAGTTTAAAGTTTGCCTTTTCGGTTGTTTTAATTGGAAACACTAGTTTTTGTTGCATTTTTTTGATTGTTTCAATAAAATTACGGTATTTTAGTATGGGTTTTCGTGATAAAATGTGGTTTTGCAGACAGTATAAAAGCCTGCTGTACCATAATGTACCGCACAATACCTTTTCTTAATTTACACTACCCTACCCTACCCTACTCTACCCCACCCTACTCTATCATAACCTACCCTACCCTACCTTACCCTCCCCTACTCTACCCCACCCTACTCTATCATAACCTACCCTACCCTACTGCACTCTCCTTGAGTATATCCTTCTCTACCTTTTCTTTCTACCGTACTTTAGGCTCTACCGTATATACTCTAGTCTCCATAGTACCATAGGCCCTGACGTACCCTAGGCTATACAATGCTCTAAGCCTTACTGTATAGAAAATGCTGCTCTCCTTTACATTCTATCCTACGGTTATCTTATGTTTTTTCCAACCCTGAAGTGCTTCGCTATTCCCCACCCCATCTCATTCCCTTACCCTAGCCTTGAATAAAGGGCTAGAGTAATATGCCTACCCATACTCTATAACGTTACCTAACTGCCTTGTTACCCTATGTTTCAGCCAGAACATGGGCTTAAAGATTCAATTTAAGATTCCCATGCCTTCATTAAGTTATCTCAAATCAGACGCCAGGCCAGTGCCATTAGTAACAAAGCCTTTTCATCAGGAATTCATCGATGAATTAAGGTTATATGCTAAACAAGGAAGGACTGCTTTTGTAAGCTAGATTCTAAGGACTTTTTGACCGATTTCTCAAAACATATTTCTATGAACTTTTTGACCTATGTCCAGGATTGGACACATGGCACGGCAACGACAATTTTCCGTGCCCTGCCCTGTGTCCAACACAGCCAACGGCTCAAAAATTAGCTCTCAAAAACCCAATTCCACAAACTTATGGACCTACGAAAACCTTAATTTAGATCTCAGCAGAAACCAACAAGTCCATATCCTATGCCCAATTTCTAAAAGCCTACGAATGTGTCAACGTCTACTTGAAAAGCATCAACTTTTCCCACAAGGATATAGCAGGGATCGTTTCACAAAACTGCTGGCAAATTCCAGCAATTTATATGGGTATTTCATCACGTGGGGGATGTTTTAGTGGAGCCAGTCCTCTTTTTACTGACAGTATGTTTTGTAAAGAAAGTTCTTGCCAGTTTTTGTTTTGTAAAAAAAGTTTTTGACATTTTATGCTTTGTAAAGAAAGTTCTTGCCATTTTTATTATCAAAAATTCCGCATTTGCGTTTTTAGCTTTCTGCAAGCTGCGGGTAACAAGTTATACGAAGGATTCACAAAACTTAATATTTTTAAAAGAGGACTAGCTTTTGTAAGCCTTAAAAGGCTTACAAGAGCTAGTCCTCTTTTTACTGACTGTGAGTTTTGTAAAGAAAGTTCTTGCCATTTTTCGTGTTGTAAAGAAAGTTCTTGCCATTTTTTGTTTTGTAAAGAAAGTTCTTGCCATTTTATTACCTTGTTTTAGCCGAACTAGCCCAACAATTCAATGACAATGGATCTAAAGTAGTGTTTTGTGCCAAGAGTTCTCTAGAAACTGTCCTAAAAGCACGTACAAAATGCCCCAACTTAACAGTAAGTTTTTTTAAAATTCAATTCTTCAATACTTGTCTACAGTACTATCCTACAGTAACCATGTATGCTAGAACTGTAGAAAAGAATTTCAGCACATAGTAGTGATAGACGAAGATGTTATCAATGCACAACACAAAATCACTTCATTCCCTGATATACTACGTCTAATCCCATCAAGATACGAAGAAGTTACGGCAGTAAACCCCAGCAAAGACCTAGTAATGCTACCGTATTCAAGTGGTACCACTGGAAAGCCAAAAGGTGTCATGTTAACTCATCAAAACCTTTGTACTGTGCTTAGAGGCAACTATGAGTACGTTTTTTAACAGATTTTTGAGGTTGAAACATTATGCCAAGGAAAAATATTTTCGGCGGGAAATTGGAAATTTAAATTTTTATAAGAAAAGCTTTTAATTCGCCTTTAAAAAGTTGAAAATATTGTTTATTTAATGTTTATGACGCTTTTGAAGTCATTTCAAGCCATTTTAATCACTTCAAACATTATGCCAAACAAAAATATTTCTGGCGGAAAAATGGAAATTTGAATTTTTATAGAGAAATTAGTGCCCTCTAGGTTCAACAGTAGTACAAAATGAATTGAAAATGTCCTTTATCACATTTTAACACTTTTTGTTCAATTGCAACATTATGCCAAAAAAAATAAATTTGGCGCGAAATTCGAATTTTATTTTACAATATATAGAAGTCGTATTTTACAATTTTCAGTTTCATAAACACTCAAATCCTTTACAAAATGGACCCAAACTGGGACTGGTCTAGCGAAAAAATCCTATGCGTACTACCCTTCTACCACGTTTATGGGTTTGGTATGTTTTGGAGTTGCGTTGCGAACGGTGGAACGGCCGTTATTATGAAGAAATTTGTGCCAGAACTATTGTTGAAATCGATTCAAAACTACCGAATTCGATTTCTGCCAGCTGTACCACCAATATTGGTGTTCATTTGCGGGTCCGATATGGTTAGGAAGTACGATCTCAGCAGTTTACAGTTCATTATGAGTGCGGCGGCGCCAGCGGGCAAAGAATTAATAGAAGGATTAAAAAGAGTCATGCCGAAGCTTAAGCAGGTTGGGCAGGGTAAGTTTTTAAAGCTGGGAAGAAAGTTTTTGCCATTTTTTCTACTTTAAAGGAAGTTCTTGCCGTTTTCTGATTTGTAAAGAAAGTTCTTGCCATTTTTTGTTTTGTAAAGAAAGTTCTTGCCATTTGATGTTTTGTAAAGAAAGTTCTTGCCATTTGATGTTTTGTAAAGAAAGTTCTTGCCATTTTTTAATCTGTAAAAAAAGTTCTTGCCGTTTTCTGATTTGTAAAGAAAGTTCTTGCAATTTGTTTTGTAAAGAAACTTCTTGCCACAAACTACATCATAAAAAATTTTTTCAGCCTACGGCCTATCAGAATCCGCTATGTTATCCCACTGTTCAGTCTTCGGCACCGACGCTATTGGATCTTGCGGTCGATTAGTGACAAATTTTGAGCAAAAAATTATCGACCGGTCGACCAATCAACCAGTACCAATAAGACAAGTCGGAGAAATCTGTCTTCGATCTCCAAGTGTCACTATTGGCTACTGGAAGCGGCCCGAAGCTACGGCAGAGACCATAGATTCAGAAGGCTGGCTACATACTGGGGACATTGGGTATGTGGACAAAAATGGTTATACCTACATTGTCGATCGAGTGAAAGAGTTGATTAAAGTTAAAGGGTTACAGGTAGGTCTAGGCTATGATTTGAAGACAAATTCAATGGATTCTGAAGCCTGATAACGATCGTTTCTGGTTTCTGAAGTCAAACAACACTAAATTTTTGCCGTTATTTCGATACTATAGCCTCAATAAAACGACAAAACTTAAAGTACCTCCCTCAAAATAAGAATTTAGGTAGCCCCAGCAGAACTAGAAGACATTCTCCTATCGCACGATAAAATAAAAGACGCTGCTGTCATCGGAATCCCTCACGTACGCCTCGGCGAAGCCCCAAAGGCCTTCGTCGTGAAGTCGGATTCAATGCTAACGGCCGAAGAGGTCGACAGATATGTTGCTTGTAGGTTATTATATACTTTCTAACGCTGTTCTATCTGGTCTATGGCTCAGTATTTCAAAATTGACAGTATTTGATGAGAAAGTGACAAGTTATACGATGAAACATGTCCGGACATGCTTCATCGTATAACTTGTCCCCCACAAACATAAAACAAACTATAATCATCGAAATAGCTAATTTAATGCTAATTGCAGCAAAATGTGCCCCATATAAAAGACTAGTCGGAGGGATCGAATTTATCAATGAAATTCCAAAAAGCCCTACGGGCAAAATTCTCCGCCGAATTTTGAAGGAACAACGGCCGAAACTATAGTTTTCACTATTAATATTGACAATTTTAAATTGAAACTGACTTTAAGACATAAATTTATATCTATTTTATTCAGCTTTGTCCAAAATATTTCACTTATCACATTTGATATTACGCTTGATACCTAACGTAATATAAAGGTGAAACATTATTAAAATTTGGTAAAAATATAATGTAATATTAAAAATCTTACGTTTTTTCTTCCAAACTCAAAGTCTTGAACAATATACAACACATCTTGGAGTCGAATTCGACTTTTTCGAAATTTCAAATTTTAGGTAACAAATTTTCAGAAAACAAAATATAGGCCAAAGCAGTAAAGAATATCTTATCTAGTTCTAATACAAGCTTCCACAACAAGTTTTAGCCAATTTAGGTATTATAGTCAAAAGATATGATCGAAAACGTCAAGAAAACACCTAAAATAACATCCAATTTTGACTGTTTCAAGCCTTCAAACAGCTGTAGATCAACGAAAATTAATAAAAATAGATAAAAATAAAACTATATAGATAGAGTAAAGTCAGTACAACAATATGAAAACACCAAAACGATGAATAAATTAGTGGAAGGATCATAAAAGTCACAAAACCCAAGGCTAATCTCGGTTTACAGCGCGTTCAAGTGCGGATTAAGCCCGTTTTAATTAATTTCCAGCAATCTTGACGCCGTAAAAACATAACAATCATAATAAAAAATGGGATAACATATTGAAAAATGTTTTTTTAATAAAAGCAAGTTGAACTTCATAAAAATTCAACCATTTTTGTGGTCGAAAAGAGAAAAAGTTCGAAGATAAAGAGCGCGAAATGTGTGACACTTCGTCAAATCATTGATTATTGTTGACCAACGATGTTTGATTTTCTTCAAACTTTGGAAATAGATTAACATAGGACTAGTTAACATGTCTGTAACACATGAGATCAATATTTTATGTTACGACCAAGAAAATGGCAAAAGAATTGTTCATCCCTCAAATTTTCAAAAACCTGGTATTGCCTGGGTTATCACTGATTTGTGCCATTCTTTATTAACCAATCTTTGCAAAATTTTAGAATATGATTTTCTAAAGTCTAGCCGATGTTTATGCTAAATTTCAGGTTAATATATTCTTGTATGGCTGAGAAAATGATATTTCCTTCTTCAATTGGCACTTCATTTTAGAAAATAGGTATGCCCTTGTTTCATTTTTGAGTTTTAGAAGTTTAATCAACAGATCTCGCTGAAAATAACCAACAACGTGTTCAATACAATATATTTTCATTGTGAAAAATTTGGGATTTCAGTTTTGTAAAATACGGCTGCAATGAACGCGACAGCATTATATTATCCTTGATAGCTCGCCAAAAATTGTCTTTTGATGGTTTGCAATGCCATGTTGAACCTTTTAATTTCTCCAAATGCTTACTAGGGCAACAGAATAGTATTGAAACCTTATTTTACTGATTTAAAATCCTAAATTATGTAAAACAAATCAAATACAAGTCTAACTTTATATAAAATATTAGGCTAAACGTCAAATTCTTTTGAAAAATCGTATAATATCTGTTGGTTTGTATACAATTTTAGTTAAAAATCAATTTAAAAACGAAATTTCAGTTAAAAAAGAGTGGAAAACCTTGTGATAGAAGTCGAGAATTACATAATAATAGAAATGGCAATGTTATAGTAAGTATAGTTATGGTATAAGCCATGGTAGGTATTGTTGGTGTATAAACATAAATAATGAAGGGTAGGGCAAAGATTTTTCGGAATTTCAACAAATTTTCAAAAATTTCAAAAAAAAATTTTAAATTTCAAAAAATTTTAAAATTTAAAAAATTTTGAAAAAAAATCCAAGAAACCTTTTACCCTGCCCCACAAAAAATCAAAAAAATTCAAATTTTCAAAAATTCAAATTAAAAAATTAAGAAGAGATCGAAACAGAGTGTTATCATATATCTGGAGGTTATGGTATCTTTCTATTTGCATACATGCACCGTGGTCACGTTCCTACACATCTCACACACCACTTCGCAACACCATTGGAATTTACAGTTGCATTTGGTCACTTCTTCACGTTCGAACGTGTTATGGCCACGGCCACAGCACAGCACGTCGCATGAGGCGGGGCCGTGCGTGTTGATTCTTAAAAATTGGGAATTTTAAAAGTGCAAACAATTTTATCTTAAAAATTATTAAATATAACAGTTTATAACCCTAAAATCCTTTTTATCATTTAAAAAATCAAAATTACGCCAAAAAACTAAACAAAAAAGTTTTTTTTTCAATTTTGTTCCTAAAAACCAACTTTTCTTAATAAGAAAAGCCCCAAACAAAATGTTAACAGCACCAAAATCATAAAAAATATTACAGTCTATTCTACAACGCTATTCCTTCTATTAATTATTTTTAGTTAAAAACGACAAAAAACGCATTTAAAGCCATTTGTCCCCAGTCGGATTCGAACCCCAATGCTTCAGCGCGTCAGCTCAGCGCGCTTCCACTATACTACGGTGATATTGTAGTAGAAAGGAATCTTTGGACAATTTTTATATGAATCTGAATCAGAATTTCATGCTGATTTCAAATTTAATGTCAGATTTCAAAAATATTTAATATTGAACAAGGTATAGGCGTTTTTTAGATACTACCACAAAAACGAAGCTCAAAAGGTCTAAAAAGCACCCCCCCCCCGTATATAAAATGACCTCCCCAACTTTTTTTAATTATTTTATGATACTATAAGACGGTTCAAACCATTTGCAGAGACATCTCTTTTCCCGATTTTTTACATCACAGTAGAGCCTACCCTACCCTAGTTTACTCTACGCTGCTTTACCCTACCCTACTCTACTTTACCTTACCCTACCATAGTAAAAAATATAAAAATGTCTTACCTTACCCAACTCATATATATTTAATTGGACCATAAACATACGAAAAGAAACTCACAAACATTCCCGTCCGGCCGTGCCCAACGTTCCTTCGTTCTTATCCGACATACAATAGTCCGGACTGTCATCCAGGTATACCAAATCGTATAAACTTCGATTTTTCTTTTTGTTCAAGTTTCTTTTGTGAAGTTTTTCTTCTTTTTCGCCATTTTCAAACTGCATATTTCCGCGGGAATTGATCTGGATCCGCCGAGCTGATCGATACTTGGAAGTTAATATATTTCCAACTTCCTGAACTGATGGTAGCTGCATCCAACAGGTCTTGAGGTTGCAGGAGCCACTCACACCGTGACATTTACATTTTGGCTTGGTGTGGCGTTTCAGAATCTAAAAATTTTTTAATTCTAATTTTGTACGTCGTATTTTACCCTACCCTACCCTACCGTATCATACCTTACCCTAGCCAACCCTACCCTGCCCTGCCCTGTTCTACCCTGCCCTGCCCTGCCCTACCCAACTCTACCCTACCCTACCATACAATACTGTACCATACCGTGGTATATCCCACCGCACCATATCGTATTGTACCATACCAAACCTTACTCTACCGTCTCCTGTTCCAATTCCTACTGCACTTAACACCCTACCGTATCCTAGGTCTTATCGTACTCACAATCTTACCATGTATCTTAATGTACCCTACCATAAACTGCCGTGCTTTATTCTACCCTGCTGTACCTTAACATACTATACATATGTCCTACCATACATCTGTCCTACTTCACCATAGCTGTACCTTAACTAAAAAAGCGTATAAAAACGTTCTGCTTACTTTTCGACCGACTTCATTATTCCACCGGTTCATCAGAGCTCTTCCTCGATTCTCTGCTCTTTTCGCATTTTCCTCTTTTTCTCTGACGTCTATGAAGTTTCTGAAAACAAAAATCATATAATATGTATTTCATGGTTCCTATAGATTTCAAATTTCAATCGGAAAATATTGCTGGATTACTGTAAAATACTAAATTTTTAAATTAACTCTACCATGGAGTACCATAAGGACAATATTTTTTTTTAAAAATCAACCATAACTTTTTGATAACAAAAGTTTTTCAAAATCTAAATTCAGATTCTGAATCTACGCAAAATTTTGGTATAAAATATGTAATTTTTTGCCATTTTCGCTTTTAAAGTCCTGTAGTCTAGTGGATAACGCGCTGGACTTGCGCGCTAAATCTCGCGGGTTCGAATCCGGTCAGCGATATCTGCTTTTTTTAGGGTCGAAACAGAGCAAAATAACATTTTTTATATTTTGTATAATTAGAAACGTCATACTTTCTTAATTTAACAAAGAAAATTGAAAATTTTTTGTCAAAATTTTTCAAAATTTCTAAAAATTTTGTTAAATTAAGCCTTAGTATTACCATAAACAGCTTTTTCTTCCCTCTGCTACTTCATATTAGCCATAAAAACCTACAAAACAGTCCTCTTACCTAGCAAACTTGTATCCATAATCAACATTATCACCACACCCGCCCCAACTGAACTCCTGCTTCAAATCGTCAGGTTTTGGGCTTTGTGAACATCCACAGCTCTGTAACATGCCCAGCTTGCATCTTCGGCCAATTTCATGTGTCACACCGGCTGATAGCATGGCATAGGTAAAGGCGGCTTCTCTGGTGCCATATTTGTGAACTGGTCCTATTATACCGGCCTCTGGCGGAGTTGAACAATTCCATTTTTGATATCGGAATTGGGATTCACATTCCTGAAAAATTTTTGGTAAATTTTAAAATTTTTTGATATTGCGACATTTTTTGCACTGTGCAGTCAAAAATTTTTAAATAGTTGCACCGTGCAGTAAAATGACAAATTTTTTAATTTTTTTTTAAAAATATAAATTTGTGCTAATTTTTGTTTCAGAATGCTAGTTCACAAACTCTACTTTCATATTTTAATTCGTGAATTTAAAAAATTTAAATATTTGACTGCACTGTGCAGGACCCTATCGCTTTTTTTGACTGCACCGTGCAATAAAATTAAAAAATTTTAAATTCCATTAAAACATTTAAAAAATTGAAAAAACTAACTTTAATAGCCTCACGAGCTCCAGCTCCGACCGCTGGCATGTGATCTTTGAAGAGTTCGCATATTCTCCTTTGGCCTGGTGATAAGCCGTCCAGCTCCTTACAAGGCGGCGGCCGGACTGCACTGCTCGCTAATAGGTTAGACGCTGAGATTTGAGCTACTGATGACCTGAAAGTTCATAGAAAATTAGTAGAATAAGGTAGGGTAAAGATAACTATTGTAAATTAACCAATTTTCAAGCCACCGGTCTAAAAGTTCGTAGAAAACTTCAAAAAAATTGAGAAATAGGTCAATAATTTCCTAGAAAACCCAAAAAAAGAAAATCCCGGTCAAAAAGTCTATAGAACTTACCACCAAGAAACGTCCATAACCGACTGGCAGGTGAGAAATAGCACGCTAACTGTGGAGAGCAACAGATTCCATTTGGCCATGTTTTTGGCCCCAATTGGACCTCACACTAAACCAAAATTTCGTTTTTCAACAATATTTGTTACCTAAATTAAAAAATTAATAAAATTTTGAAAAAACGCAATATTGATTACAGAACGTAAAATAAAAAGAACTTTCTTTACAAAACGTAAATTGGCAAGAACTTCCTTTAAAAAACAAAAAATGGCACAAACTTTCTTTCCAAAGCAAAAAATAGCAAGAACTTTCTTTAGAAACGAAAAACGGCAAGAACTTTCTTTACAAAACTAGAAAGGGCAAAAACTTTCTTTCCACCTATATAAACATGTCCTAATGGCCCACAAACCTAAACTTATGATTGGAATTTTCCGGCGGTTTGGAGCATTAATTTCCCCTTCAAAATGTTTGTTTAATGCGACCGGTAAATGGTGATAACGCCTTATCAATCACTTATAACAACCCAAAAAGCTGTCAGAGTGATTGAGTGACTGCACGGACCTTGTTCGTGTGGTTTACTCTGCTTTACTCTACCCTACTCTACCATACCATACCCTACCCTACCTACCAGATCCTACCCTACCCTACTCGACCCTACCCTACCCTACACAACCCTACCCTACCCTACTCGACCCTACCCTACCCTACGCATTGCCATTCCCTACAGTCTGCCATGTCCCAACACAGCCATATCCCTACACCCTACCCTACCGCTACAGTCACCATTAAGCTCGAAAATCGGTTTAAACTCTCAACGGATTAAAGTAATTAAAATAAAGGAGAAAAAAGTTTAAAAAGACCTTTTAAATCACGCTTATAATATTATAACCAGATCGCAATGGCGGCATTGGGGCGCTTCGATATTTGCATAAAAAACGGGCAGAGAAGAGATTAGCGCGACGATAAGTGCAAACACAAGTAAAATATGATGGAGTGAAGTGTAATATACTTCTGGACTAGTTACTGACCTCAGCAGAGGAGGCTTTACATTGTAGTTTTGGGGTACAGTAAAGGCATAGCAAAAAAATTTAAAAAAACCCCAACTCTAATCTACTCCACCCACCCTACCTTACACAACACTACTCTACCGTACAGTACCCTACCTTAGATTACTTTACTCCACCATAACATACTACGTCTTACCCTACCCTACTCTACGTTACCCTACCCAACCAAACCCAACTTTACCCTACCCTACTCTTCCCTGCCCTACTTTACCCTACCCTACTCTACCCAACCCTACTCTAACCTGCCCTACCGTACTCTACTCTATGCTTCATTAGCTCGTCCTGCTATATCATGCCCTACTAAACCTTCAACTCTACCCTACCCAATCATGAAATAACCTTACCCTACCCTACATAACCTATTTATTATAGTATTACCCTGTCCTGCTAGCTCTTATTACAGCCTTTAAATATTAATATTTTTTACTTTGCCCTGCTCCCCCCCCCCTCTCCCCCAAGCCTTAAATTAACATTTATTGAAAAAAAATACAACCCCCTGCCAGTGCCTGTACCAAAAACAAACCATAAACTATCCCTTTCAATCATACAACAATATCCTTCAACCCCCTGACCCTCCTCTATCCCTACACCTCAATGCCTACCGAATACATCTATATGTAAACACGAACCTCAAAGGCAAACCCCAATCACTTAATACGCGACAGCTCCCGAAGTAAAATCCGCGCGGCATTGTTTCATTCCACGATCCTAATCTGGCCATGACGCAACCCACAATCGAAACCGCAAAAAAGATTGATTATTGCTCGTTCTGAGTGTCGTCTTTATAAGAGATTTATCATCTGCTATCTTTAGGTTGTAGCTTGGCCTACCTTCTCTTACCCTACCTTATCCTACTCCCTTTTACTTTAATCCACTCTATTCTATTCTACCCTACCCAACTTTACCCTACCCTACCCAACTTTGCCCTACCCTACACTACCCTACCCCACCCTACCCAAATTTGTCTCACCCTACCTTACTTATATCCTACCTATCCATAGCCATCCTCCAGCTAAAAAACGTGTGAAATTCTGCTCACTTTTCGACCCACTCCCTTGTTCCATCGATTCATCAGAGCATTTCTCTACCTATCTATTAGATAATATAATATTATCTTTGCAGATGATAAATCTGGCAAATAGCTTTAGGAGAAGAAGAGGAGAGGGAACCGCGTTTAATATAAAAAAAATTTTTCGGTGGGCAGGGTTAAAAAAATTTTTTTTAATCGGCAAAACGAAATTTTTTTTTTGGTGGCAAAATAAAAAAAAATTTTCAAAAAAGTTCTCTGTGGTCAGTCACCCTGTTGATTTTTGAAAAAAACATCAAAAAAATTATACCCCCCCCCCCAAATTAAAAAAAAATGTAAAAGTTTTAATATCCCAACCCCTTACTTTACTCTAACTTTCCTCACTCTATCCTGTCCTACTCAACCTTACCTTACCCAATCCTAACCCAACTAACCCTAATGCCGTCCCAAAACAAAATTACACAACCATACCAAATTCATACCAAAGCCCATTATCTACTCTACCCTACCCTACCTTACCATACTCAATCATACCTAGTCCTACCATATCCCACCTTAGCATACCTACCTTACACTTTCCCAACTCTATCTTATCCTGCCCTACCTAACCTTATAATACCGAAATCTACCCTACCCAACCCTCCAAAAACAAAACTGCTCCTCCACACCAAATCCAGCCCCAAGCCTGCCTCAAAAGCCGATACGGTAACACAAAAATAGGAAGTGAACAGAAAAAAAATTTTCAAAGTTTGTGAAAAACCGCGAAAAGAACAGGCTAATTCGCGGCCCAAGACAATGGGCGCTTAACTCTCGGCGGGTGGCGACAATTATGTTCGTTAATGGCCGTGCCCCACTTTTAAGGGCTTATAAAACAATCCCCAACGTGAATTCATTAACCGCGGCCGCATAAAAAATTTAATGTCCGCGATAAGGACAGGGCATGGGTACGGAGTTACACCTAATTGTTGTGGTTAAAAGTTGCGATAGGAAAAGAGTAACATTAAGGACATTTTAAGTGATAGCTGAAGCAATATTTAGAACTAAGTTTAAACTTAAGTAAGGCCAAAACATTCAGATAATATCTTAATGTACTCTACCTTGGCCTAACATATGACACTCTACTCTCCCCTACCCTACCTTACCCTACCCTACTCTACCCTACCCTACCCTACTCAACCCTAGCTTACCCTAGCCTACCTTACTCTCCCTACCTTACCCTACCATACTCAACACTATCCTCCTTTACTCTACAGTTCCTTCCATACCATGCCCTACTTTACCCTGTCTAATCCTCCATTATGTACTCCACCATGCTTAACCCTGTCAAACAGTACCGTACCCTACCCTACCGTAATATGCCTTATTACCACTATAATTTACCCTACGCTACCCTGTCTTACCATACCTAAGCCTTAAGTTAACGTTTTTTGAAAAAAAAGTGTAAAGAAAGTTCTTGCTTTGAAGTGAAAATGCAATTTTATTGATTTGTTATCCCAGAGCAGGGCAGGAAATTTTTTCCTACCTAAATATTATTCTTTTTTTTCCGTTGCAGCACCTTATCTGGGAACCGGAGCTCTGAGTTTGGATCCCTGGAACCCTTGGTCTGGGCCCCATAACCTGTAGCTTGATCTCTGACCCTCTGCCCCACATGTGCCACCCTAGCCCCTTTCAAATTCACTTCGAAGAATCAACAAAACAACAAATTAACGAAACGAAACAATAAAATAATAACGCGAAATTGGGAATGAATCGTCGAGAATTTTTCAGGCCGAACCGAAGCGATATGTTTGGACTAGGCCGAAGGCCGAGTGATTGATTCGCCTTCTCCGTGCTCGTTAATTAAAAAAGGGCGGACACTTTGATTTATCTGTCATCCTGGGCCCAAAACACGGCTTTTTTCGGCGGGACACACAGGTGCTAGTTGACAAGCATTTCGATTCGAATTTGCATAAAAATGTAAAATGTGTGTAAAAGAATTTATCGTTCGAATGAAAAATAGAGTAGGGCTACTGATTCAAATCATCATGTCTTGGCGGGTGATTTTAAACTGAGAAAGAGAGGGTGGGGGATGATTTTGGTCTAGGAAACGGTAGTTTTATCCTAAAGAGGAAGTGGGTGTACCCTTAAAAACGAGCCCACTAGGCTCAACTCACCCCAAGGCAAGTGTAAAAGCAAATTAGAAAAGGGCCAAGCCGGCACGTGTGGGTTTATGGTTTATATAAAAGCCCAGGCTAGACCAAAGCAAGTTTGAAAGGGGCCTAGCCTAAAGCAAAGCCCAGCTCGAGGGCAAAGCCACAAAATTGGGCACGGCTTGAAGATTTTCGTGTAGGAAAAATATGGTCAAACATCAGCATAGCGAAGCTACCTCGTCTATTTTAAAATTTTTCTCCAAAAATAAACAGGAAGGACCATTTCCGTCGATTCTTGACCATCATACATTGTACTTTGCAATTATTTTTTTGATCATAACTTTTTTATTATTGATTTTAGGCTTCTCAGGCTTGGAAATTTGATTTTTCAGTCAAATTTCGATCTACACACCATGTTTTTTAAGCCACTTACACCTTTGTCTAAATTCGAACTTGTAGCCATCGGGGGCTTCACGACGGTAAAACGCTATATTTTAAAGGAAGCGAATAGAAAAATAGCGATATCTCCGTCGATTCTTGACCAAATCGGCCGTTCTTTACAACTATCGATGTAAATTAGTATTACAAAAAAACTGTGTTTGTTCATTTTTCAAATATTGATTTTTAAACGTAGCTATATTGTGATTAGTAAATGGCAGCAACTGAAGAAATAGCGGTACCGACCGAATAAATTGCTCAGCCGTAAGCCAAATCGACCATTATTTTTCAATACTAATTTAGTCTTCAATTTTATAAACTTCTTTCTCAAATTTGATCATCACCTTTCTCCTGAAACGCTCAACATTTATTAGAAACAACCGAAAGAATGATAATATCTGCAAGTGGAAATCGTTGTGAATGAATCTTCGTTTTGAAAACGCAAACCATTTGAGTTGGATATGAAAGTATTAAAGAATTGCATGATTCGCTAACAATTATTTACAGGAATTGAGCTGAAGTGGGGATAAAAGACAACGTTTACATATTATTATTGACCCGTTTGGCGATGTTACAATCAAATAATAAAGTGGGGGAAGGGTAGGGAAGAAGGAAAAGGACCGTTTACAACTTTCCAAGTTTTCCATGACAATGGACTGTAAAAATTTTAAAAAAAGTCCAAAAATTGAAAAAAATTTCAAAATTTTAAAAAATTTTTAAATTTCAAAAAACTTAAAAAATTGGAATTAAGCGAATTGAAAACATGTCTTTCAAATATTAATTCAAATTTTACCAAATTCTATCACTATAAGCCTTCAAAAAAGTCTTGTCGCAAATTTCCATTGTTCACAATGCAAAAAAACGACAAAACTTTATTAAGCCCATTTTTCTTGCATTTCCAAATTGAATATGCCATATTCACGCAAATATTCAATTGAAAATGTCATGCTTTAACCCACTTTTCAATGTAATTCGCATTCTATTGTCCTGAAGCAGCTTGTACGTCTAGTAAAGCATGGTCCGTATTGTCATGTGTAATATAATAAAATTTAGCAAAATCCAAAAATTAACAATAAAAATATTATAAAAGTAACAAAAAATAAGAGAAATACGCTTAGTTTTGGTTGGTTAGCCTTTAAAGTGTATTAAAATTGCAAAAAAAAATTTTTTTTTCAAAGCTTCAAAAATTTCAAAATTTTAAAATTTTAAAAAATTCAAATTCAAATTTAAAAATATTAAGCCAAAATAACGTCCTTAGAGCTATTAATCACTTAAAATTTTTTAAAATTTCAATTCAACCAAAATTTCAAAATTTAAAAAATTTCAAGACCTTAGGCAAAAATAATCATTTTTAGCCCAAACACCCCTCAAAAACTAAAAAACTGAAAAAAAAGACTAACCAGACATAGACTTGACCTTGTGCTTAATTATGCAAATTAATCCGGCTTGATCTTGGCACGGGTCCATTTGATGAGGGTGGCTGGTGATCGGAAGAGGAAGATCAGTTTGGCGAACAAGTCCTCTTCCAGGATGAAGTCTCGTGCTTCGCGGACCAGGTAAATGTCTTGGCAGACCTTTAGGAGGTAGTCTGGGTTTGGCATTTCTTGGACGATCACATCGGTGGGTTCGCTGGTGATCACGGAACGAAGGAGACGTGCGCCCAAATATACGACGGCAAAGTACATGGCCATGATACTGAAAAGGTATGATTATAGAAAGTTCAAAATGTACTGTAACTTATGTTTTTAGTAAAAAAAGTACCGCAACCCTTAATAGTATCACAAAATCTACTGTAATCAAAAGTTCCCAACATTACAGCTACTGTAATCTAAAAATATCATATACGGTAACCCCAACATAAAATTACCCTAACCCTAAAGCTCCAACATAAAATCTACCGTAAACCCAGAATCTCATCATAAAATCTACAGTAGCCCCCAATCCCAGAATAAAAACTACAGTAACCCACAAATTTAAATTTCAAAACCTTTGAGTCCTACCACGAAATCCACCGTAACCCTTAAAACCCAAAAAATACCCCAAAGAAATAAAAACAATAAAAATATCCTTACCCTCCCTGAGTGAATTTGCTGAAAATAGGTGGGAAGACACGGTCGACAAAAGCCACCAGTTCAACGTATTTCAATTTGTTGTACTGATCGTAGTCAGTCTGATCGTGGGGAATTGAGAAGTTGGCCAAATCCTTGTACAACGGCTGGATTTTCCATAGGAATGACTTGTGCTGAAATTGAAAAATGATTTTTTAAATTTTTAATCATTGCCTGTTCTTAACCTTCAAAAATTTTATTATTCAAATGAAAGAGTTAGTAAATCTAGAGAGGGTAGAAAGTCAGAGGAAGAAGAAAGAACAAGTAGGAATAAGAGAGAAAGAAAAGATGGGGGTAGAAGTAGGAGTAAAGGTAATAAAAGCTTCGGAGTAGGGATAAAGTAGAGGTAGAAGTAAAGGTAAGGGTAGGGGTAAACTTGGGGATAAGTGTAAAGACTAGACGTAAGGTAGAGATAAGAGTTTCCCCCTACTCGCCCCTTATAGCTTATTTTCAATCCATTTTTCTTATTTTTTCTCAAAAAAACCCTTATTAAAACATAAAAACCTACATCATGACTTCCAAAGAGTTGTAGTTGAAAGTCCAAGAAGGTTTGATTCTTCAGGCATTCTTCGATTGGCAGCTTCACCCCTTGACACTTGTCTCTGTCCTGAATCACCTTCTCCAAGACCTGTGTTTCTCTCAATTGGCCTTCATTTGGTACCACCACAAAGTATGGCAATGCCGCAGAGATTAGTACAACTGGTGCTTGAGCCGTGGTACCGTTTGCTGTGGCAATCGCATTGGCTAGTTGATCCGCCAGACCTTGTGTTCCATCATGATGTGGTATTAGTGCTATTTGATAGTCATTCGAGTGTACTGACGGTTCTTTCTCGACGTTCTGTCGTACCCGTTGGAACTCAATGTGAATGTTCATGTAGAGGGTCTTGTTCTCCTTGTTGACCTTGTTCAGCTCGGTGTACATGGCATTCAAAGATTCGGTTGATATTGGCCACCATACGTCGGATTCGGGGCGTAGCTTCACACGATAAATGTCCTTCTCCTCGTAGTCGCCCAGGAACGATATGGCACGGCGGGTGTATTCGCGACGGTCCGGTTTGTAGCCCATTTTGTCGATAGCTGACTTGAAATTTTCTTTTTGGGATTCCGTGAACTCGACCATGTCGATGCCTTGAGCTGACATCTGGTAGATGGGTGGGAAGCCTTCTAGTGAGACGTGCATCTTCATGTTCTGTGGAGTCAGATGATCGCCGATCCTATTCAACAGAGCAAAGGCCAACAATGGTGATAGCATCAGTATAATCACCCCGAAGATTCCGGGTATACCATACATGTACTTGATCATGGTACCCCGTGGTACTCCTCGCGGTACTGGGAAGTTTTGCTCCAGCACTCTAGCACATTTGATGACATAGATCTTGGCGTAGAACATTTCCATTTTGATGAAATCGAAAATGGGCATGGTTGTGTCAGTCCAGGTCCAGTCGATCATCGTACGAAGTTCGAATACGAATGGCAGCATTAGGAAGACGTAGAAGAGGCCATAGTTGACTACACCATAGGAGTGGGTGAGGAGGTTGCCGGTGCATAGTCGTGGATATCCGTTGCGAAGTTGCCATGCACTGACCAGTAGTTGAAGGCATTTGACCATGTAGAAAAATTGAGCTGGTTTGTTGTTTACTACGCGTCTAAACAGGGCCATATTATAGTGGTTTATACAAATTTCAACTCGAAAACTGAAATTTTTTGAACAAAAATGAAAATTTCTCTAGTTATAATAGTCGTATTTTACATCAAAACACATTTTTCAAGTACCACAAAGTCTTTATTATAACATACTAAAAACAAAAATCCCAAAAAATAATCAAAAACCACAAAAAAATCGATTTTTATATTAACCATGACATCAAAATCCAAATTTTTTCCAATTTTTTTAAATTTCAAATTTTTTCATTTTAAAATATCCAAAATAAACCTACTTTTGTGTGATGCTAGGCAACACCACCATAACCCAAACATGAAGCAGGAAAATCAAGATTACATGGTACATTAACTTCCAGAAGACGGCCTTCCTCAAGTATAGGGCTCTTTCAATGATTATCATGATAATTGATATGAACAGCATGACAACAAACATCAGTGGGACTCGTGAGCTCTAAAATAGCATTTTTAATTATTTTTTTAATTAAAACTTAAAAATATCTTAAAATTTTTTAAAATTTCAAAATTTTTGGGTCCCGCAACGAAAACTTTTAACATTACCACAAAGACAAAAATCTCACATAACATTATAAAGAAACTTCATTGAACGTATTTTACAAATCCCCCCCCCCTCCCAAAACTCACCGCCAACAAGCTCAACTGTTCCGAAGACAGCTCTCCGAACGATTGATACTGGAAGGTCAGGATCAATACACAGATAATGTCCAGGAAGAAGATGTATGGGTAAAAATCTCTGATGTAGCGGATTCTGGGATGCAGTAGAGCATCAAAGAAGCGACCCACAGCTGTCGTTGGTTCTTTACGTTCTTCTTTCGGTTGTTGTTCTTCTTCATTTGGTGTTTCGGACAGGTCTAGCTTAATCTGAAAAAATGGTCGATATTTCAGTCGTTTTTGACTCTAATTTTATAAAATTTTACAGAATCCTAAAGTAATATCTGCCAATTCTAAAAAATGCAAAGAAAGTCATATCTCAATTGTCACTTTCTCAAAATTTCAGTTTCTCCCAAGCCTACCCTTCTAATGTCTAGTGTAATATAATTTTTGTTTTTTCTATGAAAACCCGCAATTTTTCACTCGAACTCTAACTAAATAACTCAGATGTGACCTTCCTCATCATATACTGATCATACTGACCTCTTTATATTTCAAAAACAACAAAAACGGCCAAAAAACCTTCGACGCCCTTGACGTCTAGCGTAACATACTTTTTAAGCTTTCTTTACAAAATACCGCCATTTTTAACCTAACACCTATCTTAATAGTTCAAATATGATCTTCTGCATTATATACTAGACTTGCTCGTCCATCTAAACCCACCTTATCCATGTCGAAAATCTGTGGTACCGGGCTTCCATTCCTCTTGGGCGATCCATTTTCATCGACAAACGTTTCGGCCGTGTTGGCATCCTTCCACAAGCCAATTCTGCGTAACATGTACCGATGAGCGAACAGTGCTACCAACAGTGCCACATCTAGTAAGGAAAAGTAAGCCATTTGCTGGATACCCAGTACGTAGTGCCAATCCCTCCAACTGTCATCGGTGCTCTTCTGCCACGACTCCACAAATCCAAATTGGCATACAAACTTGATGATGATCACGAACTCCGTGTACAATATCATACAAATCCAGAAGAATTTGGGTGGGCGTGGGTTGCAAAGGGATCCCCAGAAGAAGACCATCAAGGGTAGGGGTAGGGTGATTAGGCCGCCACAGTAAGCGTGTGCCCATGCCGCAAAGATGTAGCATACGATGTGAGTGTAGGCGGTGATGAAGCTGACGTAGCTGATGACAAACTTGGTTACAACGTGCCGCTGTTCCCAGCGTGCTTGGGCTTCTTCTTCGACTCGGCCCACGTCTTCGGCTGATGCTACAATCTGAAGGCCACGTTTCTTCCATTCGGCGCGGAGATTCTGGGTTGTCTGGTTTGCATCGTATAGTACCTGAAATGTAGAAAATTGATTTTTTAAAAACTTTTCATTTTTAGCTTTGTAAAGAAAGTTTTTGCCATTTCTTGTTCTGCAAAGAAAGTCTTTACCATTCTTAGTTTTGTAAAGAAAGTTCTTGCCATTTTTCATTTTGTAAAGAAAGTTTTTGCAATTTAAAAAAAAACTTGTTCCCTTACCTCAGGCATAGTGTGCTTCAGTCTTATCTTCTCCTTGTCCAGTACATAGGCCACGTATCGGTGTTCCCTCGAGTATCTATTGAAGAACTCTGACAACAAGTGTAACAAGGCCGTCAATATCTTCAGCACAAACTTCAGAGCCGAGTACAAGTAATCTACAAACTGTTTTGGTTGCTTCTCTTCTTCCACATCCTCTTCAGACGAAGATTCCGAAGGCTCAGACGGTGTTCTCACCTTCATCTCCAGACCGTCTTCAGTTTCCCTTAAGTCGTCTGAGCTACAGGGTTGTAGCTGGGCGGCTTTTTCGATTCGCTCCCTTCTGGCCTGACTCAACTTCTGTAGCTTCTTCTTCATGCCTTCTGGATCCTCACGAACAGCTTCGATCATCCGTCGCTCTTCGTCCACAATCTTTTCGGCTTCGGCTACCGCTTCCAACGTGCCCTTCAAGTCCATGTCCTTGTTCACGGCGGTGTGAATGAGTTGGGCTGGGTCCAGTTTGCCACGTGGCTCGCCTAGGACTTCTGGTACGTACAACTCCTCGGGGCAAGTGATATCTTCAGTGTGAGGGTCGTAGTTGAACATGTAAAAATCGCCGGCTCGTTTCGCTGAAATTTTAAAAATTTAGAACTTGATGCAAGAGGAGTGGGTGTAAATGGCAAGTTTTAGTAAAATGTTGAAATGTTACATAAAAATTTCGAAAAATTAGTTTGAACTTAATTTTTTAAAAAGTTTGAAAATTGAAATTTGTTTTGAAGGGTTATATAGAATTTTTGGAAATTTTCGTTAACAAATACTAGTTAATACTAAATTTTTTAAAAAATTAGAAGTTTTAGGTAACAATATTTTTAAATCTGAAATTTTATTAAAAATTAAAAAAGGTTTACAGTGCAAAGTTTAAGACTAAATGTTGGCATTTAAAGCTATATTATAGTACTTTTTTGCCATTTAAAGCCATATTATACAGGGTGTGCCAAAAGTCCGTTGACTAACTTTACCGGTCGATTTCTTTATGTTGTACGCGACTTATATAATTTTTTTATAGATTTTTATAAATTTTTATAAATATATGACTAAAATAATGAGTCAACGGACTTTTGGCACACCCTGTAGTACTTTTTTTGAAAGGTTTTTTAAAATTTTAAAGTTACTAGATTTCAGGATTGATAAGATGAAGAGTGAGCATCAAGTTAAATATTAATTATAAAAGCCCTCTTTGTATCGTTAAAAAGTGTTTCAATAGAATTTAGAAATGTTTTGAGCTCTTAAAAAAGCCTTGTCGTCAACTTTCATTGACCTTCTAATTAAAAAACGACAAGACTTTTTTACGTCTTAACAACCATTTTTAAGCACTGTAGATAGCCTAAAAGGTCACAAAAACCAATTTAAAAGAAGCCAAGCTGGTACATGTGAAACGAAAAAGCCAGGGCCACACCAATGTTATCGTAGTACTATAGTGTAATCGTATAGTAAATCATAGGTCTGATTGGAAATTAAAATTGAAGGTATTTTTAAGCATGATAAGTTCAACTAAAAATCATCATTTTTAAAGATTTCGACTCAAAATATAAGCATTATTTTAGGTAATAAAGCATCAAAAAGCCTAAAGTCAAGCCATCCACCTAACCCTTATGATAGCTATCACGACGATCTTGAATCCGTGGCAAATGCCTCAAGGTATGCACAATCTTGGCCCGTTCCCTTGATCTGATACTATCACTTCTTGGATCATACGTCGGTAAAGGGTCATCGATATCACCAAACGTGGGGTGATTAGTATCTTCATAGTTGTGATGGTTAATACCGGCGTCAGTACAACACTGGTCACAACCATCGCAACCGCCAGTTTCGACTTCGTGCTTCCATTGGATTAGCTCGGCGTTGGTTGGGTAATCGACCAGTCGTTGGTCGATGACTCTTTTACCTTTTTTTGTTATTTTAAGTCTAACTTTTTGAAATTTGACGTAATTTTAAAAAGAGAAGAAGTTAATAGGAATAAATCCATCCCTCTTTCCCTTCTTCCCCCAGTGCCCATCTCCTGGCAGACAAAATCTTTAGCGATAACCTTGATTATAAGGCTATTTTTGCCATTTTTAATCGACAAAATTGAGCAAAATCATACCTAAAACACACCCAAGGCCCTTCCCTTTAAATCCTTTCAAATTTTTTTAAATTTCAAGTTTTCAAAAATTTAAAAAATTCAAAAAAACACCAAAACCCCTACCTTGAGCATAAGTCTCCGGTACAAAATAGTTCCTTCCAGCATTCTTGAACTGTTCCTCGTACTGTTTCCTAATCTCCTTCGCTCTAACCGCAATCTCTTTAAACTTTTTGACCTGATTTTGATATTGTTCTCTCATCTGTTTATCGACCAGTTGATTGATCAAGATAGCACCTCTCGAGGACTGAATAATCTCGCATCTGAAGTCAACCATGCATCGTTGGAAGAAGTAGGAGTGGAGAATTCGAATTTGGAAGACTAGGAAGATGAAGGCCAATGTATCAAAGCCGATTTTGGTTTCCGATGAGGGTACAATGCACTTGTCATCCGGGGTTAAGCGTTCCGCCATTGTCTTGTCCACGCAGACAATACTGAAGAGTTGGCGTACTGAACAGAGGTCTTGGCTCTTGAACTCTTCCACCCAGACACAGGCTAGGACCTGAAACAATATTTTTTTAAAAAATCAAAAATTTTGAAACAACGAAAAAATTTTAAAGTCCATCCCCAAATTTTTTAATTTTAAAATTTACCACACCCAAATTTTTCTTGAAAATAATACCCTCAACATTTTTCCTTACTTCTACTAATTAATTTTTCTGTTTTACCCCTCCCTTCTGCTCATACCCAATTTTTTAAAATTATCCACCCCTAATTTTTTTTTCAAAATATGCTTTACCCAACCAAACCTCTTCTAAAATACCGCCCAAAAAAATTTTTTTTCAAAATCCACCCACAAATTTTTTTTCAAATTTACCCCGCCCAAAAATTTTTTTTTCAATTCGCCCTACCTACTGGAAAATACCATCAAAAACCATACAAATAAAAAAAATTTTAACATTACCCCTCCCCGCCACAAAAAAACCAAAAAACCCACCTGCAAAGCCACCTTCCACAACATGGCCACAATGTTGTAGGCCATTAATATGTACCATTTGGTCAGCGTCTTCCTGTAATTCCTCATGATATACAAGTTGTTTCCCTGCCATAACATAGCAAAAGCTAGCACCAGGTATCCCAAAGCGAACAGTGAGGTACCACCAAGACCTGCGGCTAGTACCATGATCATTGTGAGCCAATGACCGTACATGAAGATAGCAATCTTGATGTAGTCGACAAAGCTTCGTTGTTCCGCCACAAAGTCGTAATGTGGGTTGTCATGATGGAGGACGAACTCGCCAGTACGGTAGATGCTGTTGTTGTTGCTGGCTGGATGTTCCGAGCTTTCGATTCTGAACGTGAATTCTTGTGAAGCGACGAAGAGGAGGAGGATAAAGTCGAAGACGATTTGATGGACGAAATGAGATGAAGCGCCTTCTGAATAGCTAGCTAGGTCCAGGAATTGAAGAAGATTTTCGTTTAGACTCTCTTTTGATAGCCAGGATTGCCATGGGTAAGCTGAAAATGGAAAAGTTTAAAAAAGGTAAAAACTTTCTTTACAAAACTTTAAACCGCAATAACTTTCTTTACAAAACAAAAAATAGCAAGAACTTTCCTTAAAAGCCAAAAAATCGCAAAAACTTTCTTTACAAATTAAAAAATGGCAAGAACTTTCTTTACAAATTAAAAAATGGCAAAAACTTTCTTTACAAACCAAAAAATTGCAAAAACTTGTTTTTCAAACCTTGAAAAAACTAAAAACTTACTGTAACAAGTAGCCTGTGGCATTCCCACAGCCATTGCGTATTGATATGGCAACAAGAACGCGCAGAACAGCAGGTAGAACGGCCATAACAGTCGGCAAATCGACCTTCTTGACATACAAAACACGAATACCCACATCAGCATTAAAGTGGCAATCAAATCCATACGGAACCAGGCATCGACTACTGTAACAATCAATGCCATTTCTAGTCCAAATTTGTAGAAAAAGTAGTTCACGGCAACTTTGAAGCCATCGACTAGGTTTCGGTCGAATATTTTTATGTCTATGGCTTCGGGGAAGACGATTCCTGGCGGTGGCATGGGTAGGCCGTATTTTAGGCGATAGTGGCGTTGTCTAAAATTGACAGGGGTATGTTATGGTAACTATAGTAAAATAAAACTTTATTTTAATTTTTTTGTGACACACTGGCAAAAAAAGCTTTGCCCCCCACCCAAAAAAAATTTTTTTTTTCTACCCATTCAAAATTTTTTTTACTCCTCCTCAAAAAAAGCAATCAAAGAATGTTTTCTGCACTTCTTACTCCCTCTTACCAAAAATTTTTTTTCTACCCCGCCCAAAAATTTTTTTTACCACACCCTCTTCTCATTAACCAAATCAAAAAAATCCACTCATAAAAACACCTCTCCTTCCCGGAAAAACCGATCATACCGCCTTTTAAACCCAATATTGTTACCTAAAAATTCAAAAACCATAAGAAACACCCTACCTGTACTTGATAGCATAAGTCACTCCAATAAGTGCTATCGTCAGAATCATTAACAATATATCTCCACTGGGCGAGTTCGGTGTATCTTCCAGTCCGATCCAAGTCGACAACTTTTGCGTCATATTAAACTCGTCACACCTGATTTCCAACGCATCTTTAGGTATGAAATGCATCTGATACACCTGTCGTGCCAAGAACTCCAATGCCAAATAAGCGCAGATAAAGACGCATATTAGCCTTGTTATTGATGGTAGACATACGCCTATGACAACTAGACATATGGCTATAAAGTTGAGAGCACAAAAGTGTTTGACTGATAAGATGACTACGATTAATAGGACCAGGCGGACAGCGTGGAGCTCGAGTAGGCGCCACAAAACTTCGTAGACCGTGTGAAACCATGACTTGGCGTGTCCTAGGGCGCTTTCAACGGCTAAAAATAGGTAAATTTAAAAATGTATTTTAGGTAAGAAATTCTATTAAAAAATGCATTTTAGATAACAAATTTTATAAAAAATGCATTTTAGGTAACAAATTTTATTAAAAAATGCATTTTAGATAACAAATTTTATAAACAACGCATTTTAGGTAATAATTTTCATAAAAACTAAATTTTAGGTAATAAATTGTTATAAAAAGTCCATTTTAAGATTCTGTTAAAGTGATTCAACAATGTTGTGTATGTTAATATAAGTTTGAAAGTCTTGACGTTTTTTAACACAACCTTGTATGTTAAAAAACGAAAAAACTTTGTTAAAAACCGGGCAGTACCATCTTGGGTTAAATTGAGTTAAAAAATCAGATTTTACTCCCACCCTCCAGATAAATCAGCCAAAAAATCATATTGTAGTACCCTCTTTAGTCCTCCGTCTCTTGATCAACTTCTCCTGAATCTCTTCCAAATCTCTACTACCCATGCCTGCCCCGTTCTCAACAGGCATGGGCATGTCATCGAATCTGACCGTCCATATGTCCGACTGAATTGACATCTTCTTCTGATTCGCATTCTTTTTTCTGTCTTCAATCACCGGTAAATCGATTACATTTTCATTAGGATCTAATTCATCTTGTTCATCATCTAGTTCATTTACAGACTCGACATGCAAATCCGAGGTTGGAGCAGGTGATACTGAGTGTGATGTTGATGGAGAAGGTATTGATATTGATGGTGATGGGTTTGTGGATGGTGGGAATGAAAGATTCATCTTTTCTGTTGATAAGTTTTCGAAACTGTGATCAGTGGATGAAGCTTTTCGATTCTTAAGGGCTTCTGAGTGTCTTGTATCGTTGTTTTTTGAAAAATCACGAGTATTGGCTTCAGAATCTTTGTCCCTACTAGTATCAGCATCTTTACTAGAGCTTGCTGTAGCTTTTTCTGTATCCTCACCATCTTTATCACCCTTTCCTTTCTCTTCATCTTTTTCATTATCCATTCCTCTTTTACCTTCATCTTTACCAGAATTCTGTACATTTTTACCCGTGTAACTTCCTTTATCACTAACATCTTCATCATCATTTAGGCTGACAATGTCTGATATGTTGCTATTTACAATTTTTTGGTACTCTTCAGCAGTACTAGTAGTTGAACGCCTTTTATTGATTGATTTAGGGGTATTGTCTTTTGTAGGCACATCATTTTTCATTTGTTTTTGCTCTTTCTCTTGTGCATTTTGTTCTATTTCATGTTCCTTTTGATCTATCTGGTGTTCCTTTTTATCTTCTTGGTTTTGCTTATGTTCTTTTTGATCTACTTCATGTTGTTGATCTTTGCCATGTTTTTCATCTTTATCAAGTTTATCTTCCTCTACATTACCATCTGTCCCACCTTTATCTTTCTTTTTGGCCGCTGAACCTTCAACTTCAGTTGTCTTTTCCGTATCATCATGGTTATGACCTACTACATTTTCCTCAAGCCCTTCAAGCTCTTTTTGACTGTTTTCGGTTGTAGGCTCATCTTTCTTATCATGTTGTTGACTGCTAGTTGAAGGCTCGTCCATTTCCGTTTTTTATTTAATGCATTACTAAACAATGCGTATAAATAACTTGAGTCACAAAGTAAGCGCGCATAAAACACAAAATATAGACCAAAATAAATCAATTAAACCAAAATGAATACTTTAGACGATAAAAAGTATCAGCTACAATAAAATGCGCATTAAGTATTGGCTATGACAAAAAGAGTATCATTTAGTTTTTACAAAGACAAATCCCATACAATTTGACGAAGCCCTATCACACAAAAAGCACCGCAATAATCCATACCTAATCATACCTAGTTCCTCCACGATTCTGCCTTTATCTTCATAGCCAAAGAAAAACCTTTTCGTCACAAACAAATACCTCCAACAGCTTTTCAAGCCTCTCCACAAAACTTTAGCAAATCCTATATAAACTAGAATAATGCCATGAATAACATAGTAAAAAGATAACAAGAATCCTACTACAACATTATAGAAGAAGCGTCTGACATCTAGCCAAGTACAATCGTTTTCAAAATCACTTGAAACAAGGGAATCTGTTTCTTCGTCTAACGTTATATTCATTTCACCATCTTTAAAGATTTGGCAAAGCGGTGCTGGTTGTCTGTTTGATAAAGTAGGATTTTTAGGAGTTTTAGTAGATTCTAATTGGAATTTTCTATAGCATTTCATGACTTAGCTTCTAATATAAGCCCTGTAGCTTAAAATACCACAATAACTAGCAACCAATACAACGTGTCATAACCCTGTTGACCGACTGAAACTCAATCCCCTACCAGACATCTCGACCAACACCCTCAAAATCTCAAGGCCACTTCATTTTAAAGTTGTTTAAAGTCGGCGGCTCGCTTTCTTATCATTCATAAAAAACGAAAATTTGGGTAAACTTGTGATAAAAGCTCGTAAACGCCGCATTCCGAATGGTAAGTAAACTTATATTTCTTATGAATCACGCCTATCGAATTCAATGCAAAGCCCGTGCTTGAATTTTATTTCCATGAGTTCGAATTAATCATACAATTGTCTACTATAATATTAGAAAACTGAACACTGATTGGTGTTAAACCAGAGATTGGAGCCTTATTTTTGATTGATTTTTGAACGTGACAAGCGTGTGCAAGATGCAGAATATAAAATATACATATAGGTGTGCAAAAACGGAACAGACAAACTTATGAGGCTAGAAAGATGGTAAGGCCAAGCCTGCCCTACACGGACCGTTTCTCACCCCTAGATATGGCGTACATCCAAAAACTTTAAAAATTCAAAAGCAATCCCAAAATCAACAACACTTCCAAATTCCGCCGTTCTTCGATCAAACCGAACGCCCAAAAACCTTATGAACACAAACCCTTCCTAAATCCCCCATTGACAATACTGATCTGTAAAACCACCTCAAAAGGTCACGAACAGCGCTTCTCTGAATATTCTTGTGTTTGAAGAGGGTTCCTAACCGCGCGACACAAACATATTCCTCATGGTGGAAAAAAACAAAAACTTATGAATTCACACATCGACAAAACAGATCGCAACCTGAAAAGAGGGGTTTTCTTCGAAAGAGTTCAAGGATATCAATCATTTATATCGCAATAGTTGGATGAAGGAAGTAATGGGTTTACTGTTTCTATAATCGTTTTGGGGTCGTTTAGCTAACAAAAAGTTTTATGTTACTACTATATTGCCTATAGTCACCATTATACTGCCTATAGTTAACAAATCAAAATCGTTTTCGAAAACGACAAATACCACCAACGTATTTTACAAACCATCCCCCCACCAGCAAGTTACAAATCGAAAAAGCCGTCAAAAAACACGTCAAAAACTTTTAATCTTCGCAAAAATTTGTTTTTTATAGAAAACCCAAACATCAGTCATGTGTAAATAATAAACAGTAGAAAAACAAGTAGTAAGACTGCATGCGTTCGAAAAAAGCTTCAGGATGCCGGTGCTTAGCAACTACTCCTAGCTCATGAACTACGCAATGCCATTTTTTAAAACTACGCAATGCCATTTCAAATGAAACTACCCGTATTAAACGGAGCCGAATAGGGTATCTTATAACAACCTAATCTTGAGGGTAGTGTTGGTCGTTTGTTTTGAATTTTACGCTCGGAAACTAAACTGAATGGCACAAATATGAATTCAAAAGCTCTCAGAACTTCAAATTGTTAATTGTTTTTAACCTTTCAGACTTTTATTTATTATTTTTAACCTTCCAAAAGCAAATATCAATTATAAAGTCTAATTAACATTTTAGTAGTTTGAGAATTGACAACTAGCTTTATATTTATTCAAACTAGCCTAAACGACAACAATAAAAAACTTAAGCTAGCCTAAATGTGAACAGAAAATACATCAGTTTAGTAATCATATGGAGAACTAATATCAACAAATGAACTTCCCGTGTTACAAAGGCTTTAGCAAACAAATCTAGCCATATCTATTCAACGATCAATCTATCACAAAGCTTAACTATTAAACAATCAAAAAGTGATAAAAACCATCTAGTTAGACCCGAAAGAAGACCCACCAGGCCAAAGAAAATTTAAATAGGCCAGCCCGAAACTTTCGGGCACAAGAGCCGGTGCTCAAACCAAGGTCCTAGCTTAGGTCCAGCAATCGGTTACGTCTAGATCTAACAAACCAGCAGGCTATGACAATGAAGAGCAAAAACTATGATCATTAAAACTATGACAAAAGCCTGCTAGAGTAAGCCAGCAAGCTATAACAATGAAGACCAACAGCTAGAGCAGAAAAAACCCATACCAAAACAGTAATACCCAAAAACTCCCCACCCTATCCCTAACGAACCTTTTCTAATTACCGGCCGTTCGACGGGTGAGAAAACGCTCCCTGTCCAATCACGAAAATCTTATTAATTTTTTAATCACGGCGATTATTAAAAACGCCGGTTGCGCAACAAACACGTTTTCACTGCAAAGAACCCTTAAGCGCATAGAAACGCACCCCCTCATCATCTTGGGTAAACATTCGAAAAATCGAGTAAACCACAATGAAACACCACATTATTTGTCTTCAATACTGTTGGTATTTAGTGTTAGTTGTCCATTACACTGTTGGGAAAACGTATTTGAGTGTTGGCTGTTCTCAATGCTATTGGGAAAAGGTATTTAGGTGAAATGTTCATTATACATTTAGCAAATTGTTTACAAACAATTAGAAGATGATATTTTTAGAAGTTCATGATGACTTCAAGTCATTTAAAACAGCTTTTAAGCTTATAATATTAATCACCAAGACAATTAATTAAAAAGCCAAAACAATTTAAAGATTTCAAACCAAAAAAATCTTTTTAAAAACCGCTCAAAACCTAACACAAGCCTAAAACAACAAAACATTCCTTCAAAACGCTTCTTCTCAGCTTCTAGCTCTCACAAAACCAATACTTATCCATCCAAACCCTCTAATTTTCGGATACTTGTTCTTTCAGCCTTCTGATAGCTGTATAATAAACGTTAAAGTAACGGCAGCCGGGCAATGAGCTGTAAAGCAAACACTCGAGGTCAAGCGTTTGTAACCAGCCGGAAAAGTCCGTGAGATCCGTTGACTACCCACACGATTTTTGGGGAAAAAGTCTGAATGAAATCAACTTTTCCTATATTAAATTTATCCTAGATTCAACTTGTCCTAGATTAATTGTACTGAACAGAGCTCCAAGTTACTACACTGCCCAAAAATCAGAAAATAAAACCACAGTAAATGCTTGACCATCCCAAACCTTCCCAAATCAAAATCACAGTGCGTTCATATCAAGGAAATGAAATATTAGATGAGCCACGATGAAGAGGTGTGTATCGTGACGTTGCGCGATTTGATCACAAGTTCAAATGACAAAATGAGAAAAACAGACGGACTGTTCGAAGTGAGATGATAGATCATTGTTCAGGAAAGGTGTTTTAGGTATTCCTCACTTTTAACATAATTTTGAGTCATCAAAATAGTTGACAATGTTGAGCTTTTAACGTTTTATATGATACCGTGATATAATAGTAGACTTGTAAAGTAAAACCTCTTCAGTATGACTCTCAATAGTGTGATATCGTTCTTACACATCTTTTTGACCGCCCTTCGTATTAGAGCTCTCTTTTGTCCTTATAACCAAGATGCCACACTACCCAGGTACCCTATCAACATGTCCCTTAGTATTGTAACACCCTGGTTAGAAGAACAGGTTTGGACCAATCTCTTGAGTGTCATACTAAAGAAGTTTGACTGTACTTCTCTACTGCCATATTTTTTTCTACTTCAAAAACCTTATTACAAAGTTATAGCTATCAAAATACTTAGCAACCATTATCTTATCTCTCTCCCTACAAAAAAAAGTCAAACGTTATAATTGGCTTTTAACCAAAATACTTCTAAACAAAACGTCAAAATATAAAAATCAAGCAAAGACAACAAAAATAGCCTCTAAAAATCAGTAAACCATCAAAAACAGTCAGAATAGAATCCAAAAACACAATAAAACCCTAACCAACTTATTTGCATTTCTCATAAACACATTTATAGCCAATTAAAGAATAAACACCTTCCTTTCCTTAACCAATCCAATGCATTTTTTCCTCAATCAGCCCTATGAAAAAACGGTTTGAGGTTTGATTGTCAAAAAATAGACAAAAAACGAGGAGGAAGACCTCTCGAGAGGTTCATTTTGACCTGTGGAACACTAGCTCAAGATTAATCGAGCAGACGCCAACTCAAACGCATATCCATTCATATTAAATACAAGGGCTTACTTATTGTTAAAAGTGTTGAAAACAGCTAAAAAAAGTTTAATTTTTATGAAATCGGCAAGTTTTTATTGAACTGTGTTCTGGACAGGTAAAAGACGGTTTTTTCAAAAACCAACAAGAGGAACCACATTAAAATAGAGCCAAACCTCTTTTGTATGACACTCAATGTACTAGTCCAAACTTTTTCTTATAAGTTATAACCAATGAGCCACACTACCCAGATACTTTTTTTGGTAGGAGTTCTATTACAACATGTGGACAAAAACCGTCATTATAAAGAGAGTTTCATAGCATCATGAGTCATACTGAAGAAGTTTCACTGTATAAAGGGCCATACTGAAGATAATTCACTGTATAAAACATCATAATAAACAGACTTCATCGTAAAAAAATTTTTTTTTAAAACGTTCTAACCAGCAAATTAAAAAAATTTTTATACAAGCTAAAAGTTATGTAAAATACGCACCGGAGGTTCGATAGTCGTACAAAATGATATCACCTATAATTCCATAGGTAAAACAGCACCTCAAGCAAAATGCGACGTTTTTATTCGTTTGAAGGTGTTTCAAATCAATAAAAGTCTATTTGAAAACTCATCAAAATGAGGAAGAATGAGTTGGAAAAACAGAAAAAAGGAGAGAAACTTGGCAAAAAGTTGAAAAAAACAGCAAAAAAGTAAAAAAAAGGTTACTTCAGTCCTAAAAAACCGCTAAATAGTAAAAATTTCCTTCCAAATAACTTATTATTATATTGACCTATATTGAAGATATCAAACAACACTCATAGCAATAAAAACACCATATACTACAAATTCCTCTCCCTATGACATCCAAAAAAGATAAAAACTGTAAATCGCCTTTACATCTAAACCTACTTATAACAATAACATAAACCCAAAGAGTAAGTAGCTCGTTCGAATGAATAAAACCGCATTAAAACGGGCTGATTTTTGTCAAAACGCCTCTGTCTTCAACCATTTTCTCCTAATTAAAATTTTATTCCCCGCCAAAACACACTGTTCTCTTATCGGACATCGATGTGATAGCAGTTTTTGTTGATAAACAACACTGTTTTTGGTGATTTCTTCGTATAATTAGATTGTCTTACTTATAAAATGTAGAAGCTTCATGGGTTTTAGATTATAGGTGATTGAATGAGCGCCATAGTTCTACTATGCTTTGTAATACAACTAAAATTAGCCAAGAAGTATAAAGAGTAAATCAGTATCGTCATATCCAGAGTTCCCCTTTTTGAAAATTTCAGCTCCGGCTCCGCTCCGGGCACTTTAAAATTTCAAGCTCCTGGCTCAGGAGCCGCGGCTACTCCAGAGCTGGCTGAAAGTTAGCACCAAAGCCAAAAAGAACTCTAGTCATAACTTCCATAAAACCAGTAAATACTATATCTTTCAAGCATGACAGTTTACCCCGAACGTACCCACATAACACTATTATAATAGGTGTTGTGTTAACTCGATTTGCGGTCGAAATTACCTTTCATTTGTTCTGTTTTCTCTTTTAAATTAACTTATTTCAACGTTCCCATGCCTGCTTACAATTCTATTATTTTTTTGTCGAAAACACTATTGTAAAATTGAAGTGAACATATTATCGTAGTGTTATGTTATCATTAGTCTTGTATTTAGATTCTGATTTGTTTTGGGATCTTTTGTTATAAGGCTTTGTGAATCTGCTAAAGCTTTGTTGTAAAGACTTGTGGATCTTACAAAGCCTTTTTGGCCGTATGCCAGTGCCCCGTATTGTACCATTTTTTAAAGTTTTTCTCGTATCTAAGATTGTAAGATCACATTCTACCATTTTTTCGACCAACTGTTTTGTATTTCTACACTTTTTCTTTACATCAGCTCAATTTCAAGTTATGAGTCATTTTATAAATTACGACCACATAAAACTGCTCCAAAAGAATCAAACTGCAAACTTACAAGGTTTTCTGGAGATTCGTCGGGCGGCCGCTTTCTCTTTACTCACAAAATCTGTGATTTTATCTTTTACACCCATAATTACGTTCAATTCAAAGCGTTACTTGAACCTTCTTTTCATGGTCTAAAGTTTGATGTATTAGCGACGTTAACGCTCGTAATTAACGGTAATATCAGCACGGGGCGTTGCAGAGGTGAATAATACCAATAATGCAAAAAAAAAAAAACGTTTTGAAATCTTTCGTTAAAGAAAACCTAAGCTGAGTCCCTGAAGCCCAGGCTTAGCTTAGACCCCTACAATAGGAATTTTTTCCACAGAAACAAAAAAAACCAATAAAAAATTCTAATTAACCACCAACCCTACTACTACTACTACAAATAACACCTAGTGTCAAATACGTCACCGAATATCAAGTAAGCCTCATACTTACACTACAAGCAAGCATTCTTAAAAAGTCAAAACAAAATTCGGAATAATAAGCTTAACGAAAAACAAGACTTTTCATAGCCATTCCCTTCAAATAAACCCTTTTCAAAAAGTTATAACATTTTGGAAATTTCAAACTTTGGTCTGCCACATTTGTTAGTCAATAAATCTGTTCCAAAACTTTAAATCTTGTTTCAAACTCTCATATAAAACATGAACCATTCAAAAACTTAAAAATAACGTTTATTGAGCCGCCTACACTTACTTCAAAAAACTTTATTCTAGTCCTAGATAGAACGGAAAGGTCGGGCCAGTCCGGAATATGTGGACCCTAAAAACCGGTCCCAAACCAATTCCCTAAGAGCCAAGCTTAGATCCCGAAACGAAGAATTTGACTCGAAAAAAACGTAAAACTAACCTGATGCGTCCGTCCTCAGTACGATACAAGTTGTCCCAAAAATTATTTTAACAATATTTATATAAAGGGCCGGACCAAGCCAAAACAAATTGGAAAGAAGCCAAGCCAACACACGTAAATCCGAGATCCAACGAAGCCCAAAAACTTGGCCCAGTCCTATTTACAAGCCTACTCCCACATCCGTAAACTAACACACCCAAGAACCAATTCTTATTACGTTATAGTTTTTGTTGATTTCCAGACTGCCAGATATTATTCACCTCTAATCCAGAGTTTCTCATTCCGATGCATGAATCATTATTGACAAATGTGGGTTCAAACTTCGTGAAAATATTTTAATTCGAAGTGTTAAAATAGTCGCTTTGTTTAAAAGTTCAACGTTTTTTTGAATTGACAAAAGAAATTGTGAACTTCACGCCTTATATGATAAATTTAAAAGAGCATTGCTCTGAGTCATAAAGGTATAAACTTTAAGGAATGGTCAAAGGGGCTTTTGGGGGTTTTGAACATTATTACTTTTATTGTTCGTATGAAGAGAAAACTCATACAATCCATAAAAGTAACATTCCGCAAACCCCCCAAAGCTCCTTTGACCATTTCTTGAAAGTTATACCCTTATGAGTCAAAGTAATCTTCTAAGTCTAGTAGTAGAGTGGGTTTTTATAGGCTCTGTTAAAGCAAAATTCAAGCTATAACTGACCTAAACTGGCTGGTTTTCCAAGCCCAACCCACAAGCTAATAAAGTTTCGGCCCACCGTCCATTTCTACTCCTACCACCCTCACCATTTCCTTAAGTTTATCCCAAAGACCCATGCCATAAAATAGAATCTAATCTACCTCTCCCACCCTCTTCTGTTCCCTAACCTCTATCCCAAAAAACCTATGCCATCTAATCAAACCCCACCCACCATACCTGACATATCAAAAATTTTAAAAAATTCAAAATTGCGCAATCCAATCCATTCCATTCTATATATTATTCATGAATTCATAACGTGAACAAAACGTTTAATAACCGCAAACGTTTGATAACACAAGAAAACAGGGCCAGCTGATCAAAGAAAGACGAGCCACGTCTCCGAGGTTCGGTTTTCACAAAAGGAAAAACATAAAAATTCGAAAAACAGCTCGTCCGTGAGTCAAGGTTGACATTATACACTGACTGAATTGTCTCCAACTTTTGTTTCTTTCTAATTGTGATAGGTCTCGGAAAGGTTGTTGATTATTGGGCCTGCGGGTCTATAGGGCCATTTAGAGTAATTGTAGGGGGGTAAAGTTTTAAAGCAAAATTTTTTTTAAGAGGGGGGGGGGTGAGGAGATAGAAATTAAAATTCTTTTTTTTAGTTTGTAACAGCCATGAAAATGTAAAAAAATTTTTTTTTACAATTATCCTCCCCCCAAAAAAATTCACAATTTGACTTTACCCCTCCCTCTGTAAGGCTATGGCTCAAAAAGTTACCCCTGACCCTCCCAAGAAAAACTCTTATCAAACATCATTGATAACCACCCCCATTCATCTCTCGACACTTAGCGCCATCCCTGCTCATATCCATCCCCAAGATCCCCATCACCTTCAGTACGATCAAGATCTCCACAACCAACCACCGCCTTCTTACGAAAAACTTTCCCATCCGATTCACACGCTTATCACTGATATATATTAGACGGTCTGGTTTTGTTATTTACGGACTGATTGTGTGCTTGATTTGCCTTTGTTTGGATTTGTATTTTACGATTCGTCGGCTTATTTCGGAATTTTATCGTACGTTTTTGTAATTTTATTGTAACTTTTGGTATTTTTTGTTTCCATATATAAAATTCACAAAATGTTTCGTATTTTACATATTATGGATCATTATTTCAGTATAGATATTATTTATTATTGTTTGAATACAAACTTCAACCCGTATTTTACACATTTTTTCAAATTCAAACCATTTTAAATCGATAAACTAAAAAAAATCATTTTTTTTGGCCCAAAAAATTTAAATTTTTACATTTTCAGCAGAATAATTACAATTAAACCCCTTTTATTACTATCCGAACCCCTATCAAATAAAAAGTCTCAACTTACATCCCCTGCGGCCGAATGAGTCAATCGACGGGCTGCGGCTTCGGGCCTCCGGAGTTGAGACCAATCTTGTCCATGAACTTTGGAAAAACTTGAGTTGCACCATTGTTACCACTAACAGCGACAATGGCTTAAAGAACCGGGTGAATAGAGATCTGAAGATGATGTTTTTAAAATTTTTTACATTTCAAAATTTTTTTTAAATTTATTTTCTTTATAAAATTGCATTTCTCTGGTCTAAAAGTTCGTAGAAACTTCAATTTACTCAAACTTAAACCATTTCTAATCTTTGCCAATACTTTTTGAACAAGAGTTAAAAATGAAAAAAGTTTTGTCGTTTTTGGCAGTGCAAAGCCATATAAATTGACGACAAGACTTTTTTTCCCGCTTAAATTGAACCCCTAAGATCATATTTTATACCCAGTCCTCAAGCAAACGGCCCTGTTCCTTTCAAAATTGCATCAGCATCGCCCAATCCGGAACCAACGCCATGCCTAGTAAGTCCCGTTTCGAGTCTAACCTTATCACTAAACCTAAAATTTCCAAAAAAATCTTTAAAACCTACGCTTGAACCTTGTCTGATTTAAAATCGACCAATCCAATGTCTCGATTCCATTCGTCCGACAAGCCAGTGTATTCTTTCCAGTATTTTGGTACTTCTGGGAACTGATAAATGTACAATGAGATGATAACAATCGACGAGTATACAATGAGGGTTGTGAGGATAAGGTAGATTGATTTCCGGAAAAATGCAAACGATATCTGAAAAATGTGACATTTTTAAGCAAAAAAACATTTTTTCTGAATTTTTTAGTTTGTTACCTAAAATTTTTTAAATTTAAAAAAAAAGCTTAAAAATAGAAAAAAAGCAAATTTTATTACCTAAATTTTCAAAAAATTTAAAAAAATCAAAAAATTTCACTTTTTGTTACCTAAAACTTTCAAAAAAAGCTAAAAAATCAAAAAAAAAACTATTTTTATTACCTAAAATCCAAAAAACCAAAGACTTCTGACTTACCACCAAATTACAGACCAGTCCACTCCAGAGCACAAAGTAGCCAAGTGCATATAACACTGGAGGTTCTGTTAGGCAATTGTACAATAATGTTAGTGCTACTACAAATATCCAGATGCTGGCAAGGTATTTGCTGATATTCTCAAAGGCTGATATCTATAAATAGAAAATTATTACCTAAAAACCGAATTACTTCAAGAAAATTTAAAATTTTAATTTCCTAAAAAAATTTCAAAAACGTTACCTAAAAATAATTTTTTTTTTAAAATAGTCAAAATTGTTACCTAAAAATTTTAAATAAAAAAAAATTCACTTACTAGATTCCTATCAATAAACCTTACGTCTCCCCTGATGAAACTTCGATCCGCTTCGCTTGTCACCTCCTGTACCGTATCTTTTCTTCGTACTTCGAACGTGCCGTAGTTCAGTTGACGTAGCCGTTCGTGGTCCGACAATGAGTCGTAGAAATGTTCACGTAGATGTAGACGTAGTAGAATGAAGAGTGGGAGTAGGAGGAGGAACTGAAAAATTCAAAAATCTTTTTTAAAATTGTAATTTTAAAGCTTTTTTTTAATTTTACATATTACTTCACAGTAAAAACGTCAAAAAAGTAGTGTAGAGTAAGGTAAAGTAGGATAGAGTAAACTAGAGTAGGGTAAGATAAGGTAGAGTAGGTCGAAGTAGAGTAAGGTAGTATAAGGTAGAGTAGGGTAGAGTAATATAAGACAAATTAACGTAGGGTAAGGTAAGGTAAGGCAGAGTAGAGTAGAATATAATATTGCATAAACGGCAGGGAAAGGTAAAGAAGGCTAGGGTAAAGTAAGATAAGATGGAATATTAATCCCAAATCAAATTATGCGTTGATTTGCAAATCAATTTCGATTTTCAACACGTTCACCTCCTCATATAAAGCAAGCGTTCCACATCGAATATTAAATGAATTATCGTATGATTAACTCTATCATCTTCGAAGCAAATTTCACGTTCCAGCTCACGGCTTTTTCTCAATCAATTTCAACCTTCTTTTTACAATGACTTTAATGAAACGAGTGGGTAAGTCGAAAGTACTTGATTTTTATGCTCTTTTAGGTATTTTTCTATTAAAACAGTCAAATTTAGAAAAGAAAGGAAGCAGTATGGATAGGTAGTTTAAGAAAAAGTAAAATTAAGGTAGAGCAGAGTAGAGTAAGGTAGGACTTAAAAAGAGGGCAGGGCTAAAGTAGGGCAAGGATAGAGACGAAGAATAAAGATCAACTAAGGCTTGAGCAGAGCAAGGATAGAGGCTAGAGTGAATTTAAACTAGAGCAAGACCACGGCAAGGGTAGAGGCTACGATAGACATGAGAAAAAGGGCCGAGCCAGCCTTGAGCAAAATTTCGATCAAGCCGGGTCTGAAAAATGGGTTCGGCCCTGCCCGTTTCTCTTGTCTAGGCTACGGTAAAGCTAAAATTTAATAGATCTAGGGCATAGTTAAGGCAAGGAAAGGACAGAACTATAATCAGTGAGAACAAAAAACATAAAGATGCCCTAGAGCATTAAAATCCTCAACTAGCCTACCTTTACTCAGCCTACCCTGCTCCATCCTCACCCAAATCACCCTACCTTATCATACCTACCCAGCCCCTTATACTATCAACCCTATCTTACCCTGCCCACCTGCCCCTTATCATACCCACCCTACCTTACCCTGCCCATCTCTACTCCTTATCCTACCCACTCTACCCCTTGATCTACCCCCCCCAAACCTCAAATATAATCCTAGAAAACAGTTACGATGTTAACATCATTCTTTTCCTCATCTAATATGTATATCATTACCAATTGGAAACGGCTACAACAGATTTCTTTGACAGTCTTAATCAAGCCCTCACCATCATCCTCATGTCTCAAAAAAAATTAAAAATTTATTACAATGATAACGCTAATATTTGTAAATATTCCCCTCCAAACCCAATTCCATATCCGTGAACACATTCGTTCGTTCGTTTATAAACATTCATTTCAATTAAACACAGCTAAAGAGCAGCGCAAAACGGAGATCCAAAAGGAAATCTCAACAAAAAAAAACAAAAAACAACAGCTAACTTCATAATCAATTAAGGAATACGAACTAATACCATTAGAAGAAGATACTAGTAAAGCTTTCTTCAAATGAAAAAATGCCTTAAAGTCAGTTTTTAAGGAAGAAATCATCAACAATGTCTTTTAAATAACTCTGATATATAATGATCGTATTTTACATAAACAAAAATTTAAATTTTCAACTAAAAATTTTAAAAACAAGCCGAAAAGACTAATTTTCCCCATTATCACTTATCACTAACGACATTTTGACTTTCTAAACCTTCTAAAACGAAAAAAAGATAGTTTCTTTAATTTTCATGCCGTTGAGCTGTCCGTTTCTTTTCTCGGTGTTCTAATTTCGGGAGTTGAGAAACCGCCAAAAAATCAGCGCAAAAAGTCTTCGAGAGCTTGAGAAACCACGAGAAACCAAAAGAATCACAATGTATTTAACGAAAGAGAGCTGCGGGTCAATAAAAAGTTGTTTTAAGTTAAAGACGAAAAGGTTTAGGTCATAAGAAGTAAGATAGTAGCAGAGCTAGTGTTAGACAAGGCAAAACAAAGACAAAACTAGAGTAGATTGCTTAAGAAAAACTAGATCAAAGCTAAGGTAGAGCTAGAGCAAACTTAGATCTTAGAAAAAAAAGGCTAGGGAAAGCAAGATTGGAAGCAAGGCAAAGACGAAGCTAGGCTAGATCTAGAACAAAGCTAGAGCAAATGAGCAAAACTAGACCGGATTTTCGGTAAGACTAGGCCTAAGACCAAGTTTGAGTTAGAATATGAAGAGCTAGTAAAGCTACAGCAGAGCTAAAGCTAAGACAGACCTAAAGCAAAGCTAGACTAGAAAAATGCTAGGTAAGAGCAGCTCAGAGCAAGACTAAAACTAAGCTAGGTCCTAAGCTACGACTAAAGCAAGGACAAAAATAGGGCAAAACAAGGGGAAGATAGAGTAGAGCCAAAGCCGAGCTAAGTCAAAGTTAAGCTCACACAATGCAAGACCCAAAGTCACAGCAAGTCTAGAACTATGCCAGAGCCCAGGCAAATACCCTTACCCACAAAAACCCCCAAAGTTACCCATTTTTAGGAAAAAAAGCCTCTCCAACCCAGCAAAGAACAGATTGCGGGTGGTAGAGCGGCTGATGATATCATCTGACACTTTTTTGTTTATATATTAATTTAAAGTGACATGTTTTTAAAGCGATTCGAATTAGAGGAAAAAAAACCGACCAAACATTTTTTGATTATCCCTCACACTTTTCGTGTGGTTTTTTGGCCAAGTTATTACTTTTTTTTATTTTTCAGAAGTTCAGCCAATAGTAAAAACATAGAAAAGTTAAAAATTCAAATTGACAATCAAGCAACTTATCAAACTATTCATTTTCTTAAGCTTAGTCCAATATAAAACTTCAAAGATTGTAAAAATCGTTACCTAAAATTTTTAAAAAATTCAAAAAAACTTCCAAATTAAATACAAAAGTATTGTCAACTAAACAAATTGCGTAATTAAACTGCTCTTCTACTGTTTGTATAGATGGCTCATAAACATTGCTGCTTCCGAACCTTCTTTATACAAAAAACATCCCCTACAAAGTTTGATCAAAAATTTCAACAATTTTCCAAAAATTCAAAAACGTTTTTCAAAATTTGGTCAAAAAGTTCATAGAAGACCAAAAATTTTACATTTTAAAATTTCTTCCAAATAATTTAAACTTTTTCAAAAAAAAATTTTTTGTCAATGCCAGTCCAACCCTACCTTTGTAGCAAGTGTAACAAAAGCCATAGTTCGATTCGCAGCCAATTGAAATCCAATGATCTTCATGTAGTTATCCTGCGGCAACAAATCCTCCAATGGCATACTGTAGATGTATTGAGCTATCAACAAGAATTCAGCGTATGCCACAATGACTGGACTCAATCTGAACGACCATTGACGTGAGTTTGGTAGAGCCCACAACATGCACGGTAGTAGTAGGAATACTAGGCCAAATACTGAGTGATACAGTAGGGCGAATGTCATCATGGCTAGTAGGGCGAAGGCGTAGCAGTGATAGAGGATAAAGTAGCAGATTTGTTGCATACTTCGACGCCAAATCGAGGGGACTTTTCCTTTACCTAAAAAAAGGGTTTTCATTAGGTACTGTAAGTTATAGTAGAGTAGTAAAAAGATAAAGTAAGGTAAAGTAAAGTAGTATATGGTAGAGTAGGTTAGAGTAGAGTAGGTTAGGGGTAGGAGTAAATGTAAGAGTAGAAATAAGAGTAAACGCATAATTAAGATAAGAGTAAGGGTAGGATAAAGCTGTTGGTAGAGGTAAACGTATGGGTAGAAGTAGAGATAGGATAACATATATTACATTATCATATAGAAGGTACCTTACCTTTAAAGATAAATGAAATTTTCTGTCGATCAACAACTTCTGAAGTGATTCTTTGTAACGGGAAATTGCCATCTGGATTCGCCTCGGTATCATTGGGTAACAACTAAAACAAATATATAAATTTTTAAATTTAATATCACTTTCTTACAATGAAAATAATATTATACCAAGCATAGTTTTAGCATGAAAATTTAGAATTTCAATCCAAAGCGAAGGCAAACTCTTTAAAATGTACAAGTTACTGAGCCTGATCAAAGCTATGTCGCTAGGTTTGAAATGTTATAAGTAAGTTCAATCAATTTTCGAGCTAGGCTTTAGCCTGTCGGTAAATTTTTGCTAAAATGGCCTAAACGCTGGCTTTAAAAAGTTATACGTACATAACTCAATTTTCAAGCTAAACCTCAGACTGTCAATAAGACTTTGCTAGACTAGCCTGAAACTTAGCTACGAAACATTGTATGTTCGATCACGTTTCAAGCTAGGCCCCATCCTGTCGATGAACTTTTGCTAGATTAGCTTAAATTTTTATTCAGCGAAAGCGTCGTACTTCCATAGGGTTAGGGTAAAGCCAGAGCCTTCGCTACAGGAGATAAGAGGGTAAAAACAAAGAAAATTATCTGGTCCACAGACAGCAGCTTACTATGCACCTAAGCTTTTTTGTCCAATTTGGTACAAAAGCTAGCTACGTCCCTGAGTAAAGCTAAAATCCTTAATCAATTGATGACGCCTCAAAATTTAAAAAAAAATCAAAGAAAATGCCTAAAGCCAAAGAAAAATGCAAGAAATCCGTATTAAAAGTTCCATAGATCATGTTATCTTAAAGTTTAAAAGTATAATTACAAAAAATATTGTTAACCAAAAGCTAGTCTTTATCAAATTCTCAAACATTTTTACCCAAAACAGTTTTTCATATTGAAAGCTCCATGTTATTCAGAAAAGTTAGCTTTGAGTGACCAAAAATATGTTATCATAGCTTATTATTACAGATTCCAGGTATCGAAAAATTGTTATTATAGCTTGCCAGTACCAAAAAAAAGTCATTTCCTCTAAAATTACCACGGATTTCTTGCTAGAAGTGAGCCGTTTTCTTTTTTGTTGTTCATCCGGCTCAATTCCGATTGCAATATAACAACGCCCGTCTTCAGACAGACTTATACTTTCAGTTGAAGAGTTGCCTCGGTCTGGTACCATGTTGGTCATTTCCATCACCAAATTACTCTCCTACGGCACAATTTTTCAAGAATTCACAATTTTTTATATTTTTTCGTTGATTTTGACGTTTTTTTGTTGTAAAGAAAGTTCTTGCCATTTTGCGTTTTGTAAAGAAAGTTCTTGCCATTTTTTGTTTTGTAAAGAAAGTTCTTGCCATTTTTTTGTTTTGTAAAGAAAGTTCTTGCCATTTTTCGTTTTGTAAAAAAAAGTTTTTGCAATTATTTGTTTTGTAAAGAAAGTTTTTGCTATTTTGCGTTTTGTAAAGAAACTTATTGCCATTTTAAACTTTGTAAAAAAAGTTCTTGCCATTTATTGTTTTGTAAACAAAGTTTTTGCCAATTTTTGTTCTGTAAACAAAGTTTTTGCATTTTTTCGTCAAAAACCAACTTTTTCAAAAATTTCTTAAAAATAAACAATTACAGTAACCCACCTCCTCATGCACACTAGATTCCGCGTCCTCTTGGCTAATGAATCCTCTAATACCATTCTTTGTCCATCGATACTGCATGATTAAGACATGATAAAACACGAGTAAGCCAAAGAAATTGACATAGTATGTCCATTCCTGTGTTTCCGACCATCCAATGTCCCAGAACTTGTCACATTTTGGTGACACAATCGAGTTCAGGCCGCTTAACTTGGCCGGCCACGCTTCTGGAGGTGAGAAATCTTGTGTAGCCTTGGTTTGATACGCTAGATACACAAGAAAGTGGAAGGCGGTATAGACGATCAAGTAGAGTTTGATTCTGTTGAGGGTACGGCGTTTGAGGGGAGTGTAGAGCGCCCACCAGGTGACGAGTAACAGAGCTATGGCAAAGTAGATGAAGTTCATCAGAGATGGCTGAAATAATAAAAAATTATTTTTTTGAGTTTAAAAAGCTTTTTCACAAATTTAAAAAAAAATTTTTGCCATTCTTTATTTTGTAAAGAAAGTTTCTGCCGTTTAAAATAATTTTTATGTAAAATACGTTCGCCAACAAGTTTTCACTTCAAAAACTTACATTAACCATGCCAAGAGCAGCCAAAAATAATGTTATTGAAACATCACTCATCTTTTTGATAGCTGGAAGGAAGCTATGGGTTGGGAACTTCTTTGGAGCTGGGTGAGACTCGCTAAAATTTGTATTTTTAAATAAAATAAATAAAAATTACCTTGAGCTAGCACTAGTACCTGGTAGTTCCATAATATTTTCCGTTGATGAAGTTGTCGACACTGTAGTACCTCCAAATATGCAAATACATGAAGTAATAAATGATGTTAACAATACTGCAATCTCCGGCCCAACTAATCTCATCGCATCAGGCCAGTGATTTTGATCAACCCTACATTTAGATAATTAATGTCTATATCAACATAATTTTACAGATATAAGAATGTTATTGACTAAATCAACATAAAATAATATAAACCAATGTCTTCTACTTCTCTTCCTTCGCTAGCAGACCTTTAATTTGTTAATTTGTTACCTAAAGATTAAAAAACAACAAAATCTTACCAAACAAAGCCAAAATTAAACAATATCCGAAGCACATCATCATTTTTACACTTGTCAATGTAAAGATCTTCACTTGTGATAGCCAAATGTTGAGTTATTTGAAAAACAATCTGCCCAACACCAAAAATCGTCGATAACAACAAGGTAATAAACAAATAACTTGATGTAGCTCCTAAAATAAGGTAAAATCAAATTACCGTCCTAAAGTTGCTAACTTTATATCAAAACAAACCTTTATTTGATAAAACTATAATTATTCGATGTGTTACCTAAAAACAAAAACATAAAGAATGAAAACATACCAGAAAGTGAAGAGTTATTGCGAATCGGCGGCAAAAGCGGCCCCAAAAGCCCCAGAAATCCGTAAACCAAAGATAAATAACATGGCCTGATGATTGCAGCTAAAAAAATTAATATCATTAGTTCCAGAATTCGCATTTTCATACTGACAAACAATTTCTTATCCCTAGCTATCTTTGGTAAAAAGTTATGACCATTCTTTCACCAAAAGATACCTAAACCAAGGTAATGAACGAAGTTGTTTTCAAGCCCAAATTGGTCTTAATCTTACAGTGAAGATAACACTGATCCATAATACCTAAACTGCAAAAAATAATACTTAAAAACGTACCTGCAAACAATGAAAATGGCAGCAGACCACGATAAAACACGGTCTTGACCACCGCTGAAACCATTTTTAGTTGCTTCTATACAAATTCAAGTCGTTTAATCGCATACTACAATATTTTACTCTGAAAATAATTCAAAATAAGTATCTAAACTTTACAGTATTAAAAAGTACATTAATTCACTCGTAAACATTAAATTTTGATCAAAAGTCGCAAAAATTCACATTAGTCTATGTTAATATAGCCCAGAACACATTCCAATAAAGCCTCAAACCCCCAAATTGTAATTTAAAACATCAATTAGTTTGTCTATCATCTAACTAAATTAAAATAAACAACCGGGACAAAAAAGCGCTCGAGCAATCTTATCTTATTCACCCGAGTTCGAGCGAAAAACGGCGTTGATAACCCAAAAACTTTGTAAAAAATCTTTGATAAACCCGGAATAAGGTTTGGGAAAGCAGCCTAAACTCGATCACAATATCAATTCACAACTATCAACCATGTGCACCTCCAAATTAATGAATAAAACATGAGCTCGAGATGGAAAAACAAAGTAAAACGAGAGTTTACGGCGAAAAATATATTTTTCGAAGGCTCCCTTTTCCCGCGCAAATTCGGAGTAAACAAGGCCGGATTCGAAGGGAATTTATGGCAAAACATGGTAAATAACATTGTTTATTGGTCTAAATTAGTAATTTTATTAAATTTTGTAATAGGCACGAGTAAAAATGGCGGAATTTGAAAAGCCGGCTCCTAGACCTAAAAAATCGACGGACTTTTGATGTTTTAGCGAAATTTAGGTAATAAAAATACATTTTCTGGGGAAGTTTTAAGGCAAAATATTGTTCAACATCCTAGAAATGTATTTCAAACACAAATTTTTAAAAACCTTTCAAAATTGACCTGTTATAATTAAAATAGCGCTTCAAACCCAGCAAAAATCTCAAAACTTTAGTCTACAACAACATATCTCGAAAAGTAACAATCAGATTTTTATGAAATTTTACATTTACATACTACATAACAATAGAAATAAATGCTAAAAATATCAACTATTATGCTCTTTCAGAAATTTAGATATTTGAGTTAAAATCTTTGGGTTTCAAACTTCGCGGGGTTTTGGCATAACGTTATCAGCTGTTTTTTGTTACGAAAATTTTGACCTTTTTGTTGTAAACACGGTTTTTGACACTCACTTATGAAGCATTATAGTTCTTATGTTTCAAAATGTCCTTTTGTGGACGTGAAATTAAGCTTGCTTCGTTATGCCAATAGGCACGAAAGGTAATAACGAGTTTTTAAAGTTTGTAGCCATGCCTGAAAGACGAGTGGCAAGGTGAAAATGACAAAGTAAAATCTCGTTGTTTATGAAAAGTCATGGAATCTTGAAAAAAACTGGCTTCATCCCCGCATATTTAATTTAGGGCCAATATGAATCAGGTCAAAATTTAACATCAAACAATTATTGGCTGAATCACGCGAAAATATGTTTCCGACTAATCAGTAAAAATTATATTGATAAACAATAGGATAGACGTGTTATTGTTTGTCTTTCAACGTTGGCCTGTTTTTACTAAAAATCGACAAAAAACGTAATAAAAATAAAGCTATGAATCCGCTGCCCTGCCCTGCCCTGCCCTGCCCTGCCCTGCCCTGCCCTGCCCTGCCCTGCCCTGCCCTGCCCTGCCCTGCCCTGCCCTGCCCTACCCTACCCTTGCCATAGTTTTGCAATATCTATGCTTTACCCTTGCTTTATTCTCACCCTAACCATTCTTACGATACCCAATCTTATCATACCCTACCCTTCTTTATCCTTCCGGTTCCTTCTCTACCTCACTCTAGTTTGCCCTCCCATCTTATATTCAACTCTGTTATACCGTACTTTACTTTACGCTACTTTATCCTACCTTTTCCAACCCCTACCGTATCTCAATCTCACCTTCTTTACTCCTGCTTTACTTTACCCTATTCCATCCTTACCTTATTCTTCTACGCTACATATTAATAAAAACTTAATATGAGTCTACCCCGCCCGCTATATAAACATCCGTAAAAATAGACCGTTTTTTCCTTATCACAGCTCTGTATTACTTCATTGAATATTAAAAAAGCATTATCTTCATATGACTAACCATTTTATTTTAAAACAGTTCAAAACAGTTTTAGCAGCTCAGTTATGGGTTTTACACAAAACAAAAAGTTTTTTTGACTACGAACTGCTACTTGAAGTGATAGTGTACAACAATATTTTCCACATTTTTAATGTTTTGTCTTTTTGGAATGTAAAAAGAAGTAAATAAACAACAATATTGCGTTAAAAAAGGCGTTTTAACAGAGGGGGGGGGGTTACCTAAAAATTTTTTTTGCAGAAAAATTTTAATACCCTCAATTTGTCATTTTCCCTGCCCTTTCTCTTGCCCATTTATCTGCCTTTTTCTCTGCCCCTTTCTGTGTTCATTCCCTTGTCGTTTTCCCTTTTCATTCCTATGCTTTTTACCCTGCCCCTTCTTCTGCCCCTTCCCTTACCTTCCCTCTTCCTCTGTCCCTTTCCCTGCCTTTTTCCCCTGACCCTTCCCCTGCCTCTTCCCTTGCCCTTCTCATGCCCCTTTCCCTACCCCTCCCCCTGCCTCTTCTCCTGCCCCTTCCTAACTCACAATCAAACAGAAAACCATGCCCTTTGATCAAAAAAGTTCGCATACTTTTCCCAAACCGAAATTCAAGCGCTGGCCACCGATTTGCCTCTCCTTTTTCGCCATAAAAGGGCAATTGAATGATTTTTTGCAGATGGAATGAACGATTCGAAAAAAGTTACCGCCAAAGGTTTTTGAATTCGAAAAAAAATTAGAAAGCAAGAGAGATAGTTCTTGACTAATTAATATAAAGAAGACAAACATGATTAGAATTGCAACAAAGGTTCACTTAGACATGAGTAACGGGCCGGGCCTAAATTTTAGGCCCGGCCAGTTTTTGCCTTTCGTCAGGCCCGGCCAGGCCCGGCCCGATCAGAAAAATTCTAGGACCGGCACGGCCCGTTTTCAAAAATTTTAAAACTTAAAAACTAAACGGAAATTTGGCTTTATATTGTTTTTTTAGGTCATTTATGGATCATAGAATCCAATAAAATCGAAAAACATAAACGGGAATTGAAATAAAAAATTAAAAAATTTTTTTTTGGGCCCGGGCCTAATTTCAAGCCCGGCCCGCGGGCCGGGCCAAAATGCCGGGCCAAGCCTATTTCATCCGGCTTTCGGAACGGGCAATATGTTTTAGCCCTGCTCCTCGGGTTCGCACAATTAGGCCTGGCCTCTTAAACCTTTGTTTTGGCTTTGTTCGGCTCAAGACCGTTGCCGCAATTTTCTATTATAGATCCCCAATACTAGCCTTAGGACTTAACAGGTATTTTTTTTTGTTGATTTTTTTTTGGACCGGACCGAAAAAAAAGTTCCGGACCGGACCGGAAAAAAATTTTTTTTTATTTTAATAAAACTGTTTTAAAAATTGCAAATAAAACTATTTTTATGAGTTTTTAAACGTAAAAAAAGCAGTTTTAGCGCTCCTGGTTCTTTTTAAAAATAAAAAAAAATTTTTTCGGACCGGACCGGACCGAAAAAATTCTCATCCGGACCGGTCCGGCAAAACACTGGATATAATTAATAATTGACATATGAGGTCTAGCCCATTTTGTAGGAAGAGCATCACGGCCAATTCTCGATTGCTTCGACTCATTTGTTCAGTTAAATATTAATAATACAAATGTAGAATGTGAACTAAAAAGGCCTAACTATGCTTTTTTTAAATCATTTCATCTTATAAAGCAGCTACAGTCAAGAGCGGGCGGGGGTCGAAAAATTCGGCACCGGTAGCAGCTAACCGTGCCGATTTTTTGCAAAAATTTTTTTTTTAAATTTACAGAGGGGACCACGTTCAACTTTTTTCGAAATTTTTTTTTCTGTTTACCCCCCCCCTCCCTCCACCAGCGCCTGGCCCTGGCTACAGTACGCTCTCTATATAAGCTACCCAAAGGAACCGGCAATTTGTGTTTACTATAAGGGGTGTTGCCTTTACAGAGTAATTTTTAGTGCAAATTGACTTGGCTGGGCTAAATTTCTTGTTGACTATAAGGAGAGTTGTTTGTACAGATGGTTTACTATATAGAGAGAGCACTGTATTTTATAATATCTTATAAAACCACTATTTTGTAACTACAGTACGGTAAAACTTCTGTACAACTAACAGATGAGTATTTAAATTTTGTCTGTCACAAATGTGTGCCGTTGTAGAAGAGCTTTAAATGCTCTGTGTATTGACATTTGACCTGTTGTAACCCGTTTTGTTCTTGAATTTTGGCATAGAACCTTGGTACAACATAAGCTTTAGGTCAAAGTTCATCCAATTCAGAATTTCAGATTAAACTTTGCCTTAACCTCATAAGGTTTGACGTCCTTATGAGGAAGTTGCCATTTCTATGGCCAGACTTTGTTTTACGTGTAATCAAAGTAGTAAACTGGGTTTGTTTTTTCGACTCAAACGTTATGTTTTCTTGAACGGAACGATGAAAGACTTCCGAAAATTTTCTCTTGGAAATTTATTTGTCGTGTTTTTGTCAATCGAAAAATAAACTGCCAAATACATGGGATTGGGGCTGGGATAAACTTCTGTTCTAGTCCAGTAAATGGGCCGGGCCAGCTCAATTTGTTTTAGCGGCCAGGGACTAATAAAGCCCGTTTTCAATGGAGACCACAGTATTATATGATGGCTCTCCTGGGAATAAAAAAATAATAATTAGATGAAGCGAGGGTGTTGATTTCTAAAAAACATCAAAGTGATTTTATAATTGGAACATTGTATAGGTTTTTAAAAAAGAAGATATAAAAGGTATCTTTTTCTGTTTCACTCTCATTGTTTTAAAAAGTTAGTCTCAGCCCTTTAGCTTTAGCTTTTTAGTCATAGCTCTAGTCCCGGATGTAGCTCTCAGCCCTAGCCCTACATTTAGCTTAAACATTAACCCTAGCTCTACCCTTGTTTTAGCCTTCGCCTTAATTCTAGTCTTAGCTTTCAGTTTT